AACCCGTTCTCTTAACTGCCGCGACGGGAGATGGAGCGGGCGACGTAGAGAACCTCAAAACAAAGATCTCACCCCTACTTTGGAAAATATCTCCCCCACCACGGTGTACTAACGTCACAAGCGGTGAACGAGTGACGCGTGTGGGTGACGTGAGATCCTCACGGTGTACTGACGTCACAAGCGGTGAACGAGTGACGCGTGTGGGTGACGTGAGATCCTTATGGTGTACTGACGTCACAAGCGGTGAACGAGTGACGCATGTGAGTGACGTGAGGTCCTCACGGTGTACTGACGTCACAAGCGGTGAACGAGTGACGCGTGTGGGTGACGTGAGGTCCTCACGGTGTACTGACGTCACAAGCGGTGAACGAGTGACGCGTGTGGGTGACGTGAGATCGTCACGGTGTACTGACGTCACAAGCGGTGAACGAGTGACGCGTGTGGGTGACGTGAGATCCTCACGGTGTACTGACGTCACAAGCGGTGAACGAGTGACGCCGTGCCGGCCCGCACGGCCTTGTGAGAATTCCCAATTTCGGCAGCACCGATTAATTCCGCACAAACACTCTGCACTGGTTTCGACAAACAGAGCCTCATCAGCAGCACCGCAGAGAGGACGTTGCACTCCGGAAGGACCGCGGGGAAGTGTCACGTTCTCACAGACGGCACACGGGCCACTGTGGCGTCCGCCACGTGCACAGCGCCTCGTATCGATCCACTGCTGGATGAGTGTCTACCCCCCCCCCCCCCCCACAGCTCTAGCCCAGGGGTCGGCAACCTGCGGCTCATGAACGACTGTTTCGTAACGTTGCCTAAAGACCACCGTCTCGTGTTCGCATCAGAATCAGAAAGGGTTTTATTCGCCATGAAAGTTCGCACAGACAAGGAATTTACTTTGGCAGGAAGGTGCATACATTCAACATATAGGAATTTTAAATCTTAAAATAAAGTAACTATAAGATACAATCTAAAAATACAAATAGGGTAACATAGTGTAAATATGGCAAGGTGTCATTTTGTAGATAAAATGTTAAAGTCGGTGTAAGCCCTTGGCCTTGTTTAAGAGGCCAGCAGCGGATGGGAAGAAACTGTTTTTGTGGCGTGAGGTTTTGGTCCCGATGGACCGCAGCCTTCTGCCGGAGGGGAGTAGCTGGAACAGAGAGTGTCCAGGGTGGGAGGAATCGGCCACAATCTTCCTCGCTCGCCTCATGGTCCTTGTCGTGTGCAGGTCCTCGAGGGTTGGTAGATTGCAGGCAATTACCTTCTCAGCAGTGTGGATGATACACTGCAGTCTGCTCTTGTCCTTGGCAGCAGCGTACCAGACGGTTATGGAGGAGGTGAGGATGGATTCAATGATTGCTGTATAGAAGTGCACCATCATTGTCTTTGGCAGGTTGAATTTCTTCAGCTGCCGTAGAAAGTACATCCTCTGTTGAGCTCTCTTGGTGAGGGAGCTGATGTTCAGTTCCCACTTGAGGTCCCGGGAGAGAATAGTGCCCAGGAAGCGGAAGGACTCCACAGTTTTGACTGGGGAGTCGCACAGGGTGATCTGGGTGAGTGGGGCTGTATTCTTCCTGAAGTCCACAACCATCTCAACTGTCTTTAGAGCATTTAGCTCTAAGTTGTTCTGGCTACACCAGGTCACCAGGTTGTCAGCTTCCCACCTATAGTCAGACTCATCCCCACCAGAGATCAGCCCAATGAGGGTGGTGTCGTCCGCAAACTTCAAGAGTTTGACGGACAGATGATTGGAAGTGCAGCTGTTGGTGTACAGGGAAAATAGCAGTGGGGAAAGGACGCAGCCATGAGGAGTTCTGGTGCTGATGGACCTGGAGTCAGAGACTTGTGTTCCCAGCTTAATGCACTGCTTCCTGTCAGACAGGAAGTCTGTGATCCACCTGCAGGTGGAGTCAGGCACGTTCAGCTGGAAGAGCTTGTCCTGAAGCAGGGCAGGGATGATGGTGTTGAAGGCAGAGCTGAAGTCCACAAATAGAATCCTGGCGTAGGATGTTGGGGAGTCCAGATGCTGTAGGGTGAAGTGGAGGGCCATGTTAACTGAGTCGTCCACAGACCTGTTGGCTCTGTAGGCAAACTGAAGGGGGTCCAGGAGAGGGTCTGTGATGGCTTTGAGGTGTGCCAGGACCAGGCGCTCAAAAGACTTCATTACCACAGAGGTAAGGGCGACCGGTCTATAATCATTTAGTTCTGTTGGCCTTAGTTTTTTGGGCACAGGGATGATGGTGGACTTGAGACAGGCTGGTACATGGCATGTCTCCAGGGAGGTGTTAAAGATGTTGGTGAACACCGGAGACAGCTGGTCAGCGTAGTGCCTGAGGGTAGCTGGAGAGACAAAGTCCGGCCCAGCTGCTTTGCGTGGGTTCTGCCTCTTGAAAAGTCTATTAACTTCTCCCTCCTGAAAGGAGAGAGTCGTCTCTGTAGTCGTGGTGGCGGATGGGGCCTCTTGGGTGGGAAGGGGGAGTTCAGGACAGTCCAATTGTCTTTCAAATCTACAGTAGAACTCGTTCAGGTCGTTGGCCAGGTGGGAGTCGTTAGTGGTGTGGGGGGCTCTGGACTTGTAGTTGGTGATCTGCCTGAGCCCTCTCCAGAGAGAAGCAGGGTCGTTAGCAGAGAACTGGTGTTTTAGTCTCTCTGAGTACAGTCATTTAGCCTCTCTCACCGCCTTGCTAAACCTTTTCTTTGATTCCTTGAATCTGTCTCTATCCCCACTCCTAAACGCTTCCTCCTTCTCCAACCTCAACCTTCTGAGCTTTGCTGAGAACCAGGGCTTGTTGTTGAAGTTCACCCTGGTACGTGTTGGAATACAGCAGTCCTCACAGAAGCTGATGTATGACGTCACAGCCTCTGTGAGTTCATCCAGACTATTGGTAGCAGTCGTGAACATATCCCAGTCAGTACAGTCCAAGCACGCCCGCAAATCCTCCACAGCCTCACTGGTCCACTGTTTGGATGTCCTCACAGCAGGTTTACAGAGCTTTAGTTTCTGCCTGTATGCAGGAATCAGGTTGACAATGGCATGGTCAGAGTGTCCCAGTGCTGCTCGGGGGACGGCGTGGTAGGCTCTACTGACTATAGTGTAGCAGTGATCCAGTGTTCCCTTCTCTGGTAGGGCATTTAATGAATTGTATGTATTTGGGGAGTTCGTGGCTAAGATTACCTTTGTTAAAGTCGGCAAGTACGATAACCAGCGGATCTGGATTTGCTCGCTTCACACTCAGTATCTGGTCGGCGAGCATGCGTTGGGCCTCTTTAACCTGAGGACAAGGCGGCAAATAAACTCCAACCAAAATGAGCGACGCGAACTCGCGAGGCAAGTAAAACGGTTTACAGGTTATAAAAAAAAATATTCAAGGAGCGGAGAACAATGTTGCAGAATCACTGTGACATCTACACACCAACCACTGTTAATGTAAAAACAAATACCACCGCCGTTCGTCTTGCCGGAGTGCTATGTCACGATCCGATCTTACAAGATGGAATCATGCCAGTTGTAGCGCAGTGTCCGGAATCAAATCACACAGCCATGTCTCCGTGAAGCACAAAACAGAAGCTGAAAGAAAGTCTTTGTTTTTTACCATCAGTAGCTGAAGTTCGTCCATTTTGTTGCACAGTGAACGTACGTTGGAGGGGGAAAAGCTCGGAAGCACTGTTCAGATCCCGCATCTGCGTAGCCGTACGAAAGCCCCCGACCGTTTACCCCTTGGGCGGCGTTTCGCTGCTTGAGCAAAGCCTAGCGCGGCTTTGACCAGAATGCCCACTAATTCTGCTGCTGGAAGCAGAAAAGTGGGATGTCTAAAAGTTCGTCTGTTGTTAGGGAACTCCGAAAATATTGGCAAAACACTGAATTAACAGACAAAACAAGACAAAACAGGGCGCATCGACCGGCTGAGGCTACCATCATCGGCGCCATCTTCTCACCAGCACGGATGTGCTGAACAGCAGGCCCCCCTCACAAGCACAGGTGTGCTGAACAGTAGGCCCCTCTCACCAGCACAGGTGTGTCGATTTTGAAATATTGAGGTTTTGTTATTTTGGTTGCTGACCCCTGCAGTCGCCTTAGCGAGGGGCACTGCTCGCAATCGGAAGGTCACGAGTTCAAATCCTGGTTTGAGTGTCCACTCAGAATGCTTTAGAATCAGAATATTTAGACCGGAGAAATCCGATGAGCTATTAAGCTCTTTTTCACTCAGCCCATTGCCCTGCTCACGCCCAGAGTGCGAGCAGCATCGCCTACTCGGCCCCCACGCCTTCCTCGGCAGACAAAGGGGGATAACCAACAGTTGAAAGTGTGAAGAAAATCAAACACTTCCAACGTGAACCTTTTCAGCCTGGCATTCACAGATGGAAGCCACGGAACATTAATGGTACAAAATACATGGTGTGCAAACATGTCGAAAACGAATTTCTTTAAATTGAAAACTAATTCCTTCACGACTGCTTTGACGTTTAGTTTGCTTACCGTCCCTCGCACCTCCAATTAGCTGTTAGCTACGCACGGTGCAGGTCAACATACAACCACCACCACCACTCCGGTGTGTGTATGAGCGCTGAGCACGCTGCGCTACGAACTCGGTGACCCGAGTACAACAGCGGTGACAATTATTTGAAGCGGTGCTGGGCCTCCCCTAGGTCGACTCAGCCTCATACATAACCGAGCGACTATTTGAATTGCACGGAATAATGGGTAATGTACAGCGGCCTTAAAGTTTTGAAAGAAAGATGCCTGTGAAGAAATAACATTTGATGATTGTGCACCAGTTCAACAGCGGTTTTCCTGTGGCTAGACTCGGCTCCCGCTAGAGAAATGTGTAAACCACCGCCGCTGGCTCTGCATGGGTGTTTTGTGAACGGGGAAACGGATTTTGTAAGTCAGGGCTGCGAGGGACCTCGGGGACTTGGCAGCCGTGACCGACGGCCCGTGACCAGGGCCACCCGCAGACAGACGACACACGCACGCACCTCTCAAGCAAGCACTCTCACCGTTGAACAGAACTCACGCTGCTTTAATTTCCGTGCCACAAGTCGAGTCCAACAGAAGATTGCCCCCCCCCAGCCCTGCAGTGTGAATAGTCGATCCCCCCCCCCCAATCCCCGCCGTCAGTAGTGAATTGTCGAGTCCAACCAAACCCACCCACACCCCCGCAGGAGAAACAAATGAGAGGTTCACACACAAGCGTGGCGCGTGCAGACTCCAACAGAACTCCGTGTGGCACACACGACACGGGGATAGTGGGGCAGGGGGGGGGCGGAATGATCCGCTCAATCGGGCCGAGGCTGCGCGAACGCGGAGAATGCAGCCACACAGCAAGAGCGAGCACGGACTCACCCACCCACCCACTAACTCACCCACCCACTCACTCACCCACCAACTCACTCACTCACTCACCCACTCACCAACTCACTCACCCACCAACTCACTCACCCACTCACTCACTCGCTCTCATTCGCTTGCCCATTCACACGCACTAATTGGCTCTTACCCACCCGCTCACTCACACATTCGCTCATTCACTCACCCATTCGGTCATCCACTCGCTCAAGCACGCACTCATTCTCTTACCCATTCACGCACTTACCGGCTCACCCACTCACTCATGGACTTTTTGCACAATTCACTCACCCAATGGCCAATCCACTCGCTCACCTGCTCACCCACTCAGGCACACGCCCACTCGCTCACCCTCTATTCCACTTAGGCACGTGCTCACTCGCTCACGCACTCACCCCTCACCCGCTCTCTCACTCGCTCACCTGCTTGGCTCCGCTCGAGCTCGCTTCCAATAAAAAAAAGCAGCACAGCCTCGAATACAAAAGCCGCTTGGCCACCATAAAAAAATTCAAACCAGAACCCAACGTTGCCTGGCCCGGTTACGTTTTAAATATCGGACCGACACCGCCGCATTGCCGAGGACACCACCGCTGCCGCCAATAGAAATCGTGCCCTGGGCAACACGGGGCGAGGGGTGACAACGCGTGTGTCAGTGCGTGTGTCAGTGCGTGTGTCAGTGCGTGTGTCAGTGCGTGTGTCAGTGTGTGTGTGTCAGTGTCAGTGTGCGTGTCGATCGGGGAGCGGTAGCGGCACGAGGAACCCAGCGACACGGCCTCCCACAACAGTGACGAGCATCTGAACCGATCCTGGGCCTCCCCGAGCTCGACAGCCTCAAAAATGAGTACCTGGTGCGGTGTGTAATCGTCACTGGGGAGACAAAGGCGGCCGGGCGTGGTGATGGCCACCCACCCGTCATATGCCATGCTGGCCTTCATAGGTTCTTACGAACAGCACTTGTCCAAACAGTCTGTCATGGCTATACGGGGGGATCTTTGTCTTTGCATGTGTGCGTGGGAAGGCGAGGGGACCGAGTGTAATAACCCTGGATGGGAGAGAGGGGGGCGAGACGCGTTGAGGTGGAGCGGTGGCACAGTGGTCAGCGCACCGTGATGTGAAACCGGTGAGGCAAATTCCAATAGCTCGCCACGGCTAACACCAGTGGTGAGCAATGTTCTAAAGAGGCAGGCAGGTTGGTAGGTGGGCGAGTTGGCGAGCGGTCGAGTGAGATGGCAGGTGGGCAAGTGAGCAGGTGAACTGATGGGTGATTGAGTGGTTTGAGTTGTCAGGTGAGCGAGCAGGTGGGTTGGTGAGTGAGTGGGTGGGTGGATAAGTGAGCGTGTCTGGCTGTGCGGCGAGAGGGTGTTTGTGGCCATCGTTACACCAAGGTGAGCGCTTACAATTGGGGCACGGTTACCACCCCGCCAGTGCCCCCCCCCCCGCCCCCCCCATCAAAGCATTGCAGTTACTCATACACCGCGGTTACCCCGAGGCCTCGTCGCCGCGGTTACCCCGAGGGCCAGGTAGCTGTGGTAACTCGAGGCCTCATTGCCATGGTAACCCCGAGGCCTCGCCACCGTGGTTACCCCGAGGCCTCGTCGCCGCGGTTACCCCGAGGGCCAGGTAGCTGTGGTACATCGTTGCCGCGATTATTCCGAGATCGCGTCGCTGCGGTCGCCCCAAGGCCTCGTCGCCATGGTCACCCCGAGGTCTCGTTGCCGCCATGCAGTCACTCTAGAGGCCTCATCGCCACGGTGATCGCGAGAACCTCGCCGCAGCAGTGACCCCGAGGGCCTCGTCGCTGGGGTCACCCCGAGGACTTCGTCGCCACAGTAACCGTGAGCCCTCGTCGCCAAGGTGACAGCCAGGGCCTCGTGCAACGATGACCCCGAGGGCCTTGTCGCCAGGATGACTGCGAGGGCCTCATAGCCACGGTGACAGCGAAGGCCTCGTTGCCGCAGCGGCCTCGAAGGCCTCATCGCCATGGTGATCCCGAGGACCTCGTCGCCCCGGCGACTCCGCGTGTCTTTCCCTAGTGGCGGCTGTAGCGGTGGAGGCTCCGTGATCGCGAGCGGGAGCGCGAGCGTGACAGAGAGCGGCTCCGTGACCGAGACTTCCTGTGGGAGACATGGGGGGGGGGGGGGCAGGGAGGAGGACCATGGAAGACGAAGAGGAGGGGGGAGAGACGGAGACACGTTTCTCGACGTTCAACAGAACCTCGACGTTCAACAGAACCTCGACACTTGCGAAGAGCGAAGGTCTCGTCGAGGCAGGCTGAGCGCGTCTCTGCGTGCACAGCGGGCGACACTGGGGGGTGGGGGGCGGTGTGAAAACGTGGGAGTAGTGAACTATTTGTCTTTTGTCAACGTGACACTTTTTTTGCTGATTGGCCGTGTCGGGTGGTGGAGGGTTACGACACATTTATAAATAACGCGATCTAACCCAAAAACCATTATAATGAATAAATATAATTATTATATAACATTATTCTCATTATTATGATAACAGTTTGTGATGTACTACCGCCGAACAATATCCGCTCATCGCCCTCACAGGGAGAGAGGACGACTCGGAGAGAGGGGACGACTCGGAGAGAAAGCGCGAGGGGACGGCTCAGAGGCGCCAGGAGGAGGAACCACAGACGAGGAGCAGGAAGGCAGCAGCAGCCACCGAGTGGTGAAGAGCCGCATGGCTGTCGGTGGCAGTGTTGGAAACGGTGTTGCTGGTGGCGTTGGTGGTGGTGTTGGAAACGGTGTTGGTGGTGGTGTTGGTGGCGGTGTTGGTGGTGGTGTTGGTGGTGGTGTTGGTGGCGGTGCTGCTGGCGGTGTTGGTGGCGGTGTTGGTGGTGGTGTTGGTGGCGGTGTTGGTGGCGGTGTTGGTGGTGGTGTTGCTGGTGGTGCTGCAGGCGGTGTTGCTGGTGGTGTTGGTGGTGGTGTTGGTGGCGGTGTTGGTGGCGGTGTTGGTGGTGTGTACACGATGACGATGGGATGTGAAGCAGCAGCGCCACTGCCGTTGCACGGAGGAGAGGGAGCAGTGAGGGAGGGGAGGCGGCAGAGGTGCTGTGATTGAAGGGGAAGCGTTGGTGGGGTATGGGGGGGCGAGGGGACAGGGGGGTATGGCGCTGGCAGGGGGGGCACAGAACATGTGCTTTCCGCGGCCGCACGCGAACGAGACGGCACGCGAATTACGACGCCCTGGGGGGGGTGGGGGGGGGGATGGTGGGGGGGGAGAGCTACGCAGTGCTTCACTCCGGGAGAGTGAGAAAGCACAATGACAGCTGTAGACTCACCACAGAGAACCATAAGCTCACCACAAAGAGACCCGTAGACTAACCACACAGAGCCCCGTAGACTCACCACGCAGAGACCCATAGACTCCCCACACAGAGCCCCGTAGACTCCCCACACAGAGACCCATAGACTCACCATACAGACCCATAGACTCACCATACAGATCCATAGACTAAAACAGAGACCCAAAGACTCACTACACAAAGACCCATAAGCTCACCACAAAGAGCCCCGTAGACTAACCACAAAGAGCCCCATAGACTAACCACACAGAGACCCGTAGCCTCACCACGCAGAGACCCAGAGACTCACCCATAAAATAACACAGACACAAAGACGAACAGAGACCCATAGACTAACACAGAGACCCAAAGACTAACACAGACACCCATAAACTCGCAGAGACCCATAGACTAACACAGGGACGCATAGACTAACACAGGGACCCATAAACTAACCCACAAACAGAGGTTTGTGGGAAATAATAGGCATTTTCTGTACTTTTGAGGCATAAGCAATTAGAAAATAACACTTACTACCCAGGAACAAAAAAAATATAAAAAAATTGTTCCACAGTGTTATAAATGTGGAGGGGAAAACCAGAGGTTGCAGAGAGAAAAAAATGCGTGACCACGGGGAGAGAGACGCAAATTCCAAATATAAAACAGGCGTCAGGATCGGGATCAAACGCACGACCTCCTGCATACCAGGCGAGGGAGTTAACATCTCGCCACCGCTAAACAAGCTTTGCGGTAATAACATAATTAGTTTGTTGCGCTTCCTCGCACCTCCGATTAGCACGGTTGGCTACATAACCGTGCTGAAAAAATGAAAGATACATGACAACAAAGCTCCTCCAGTGGCTACTATGGTGTTGCATGGGGGGGGGGGGGGCGGTGACGGTGAGCTGGACGCGAGGTGCTCTCGTGCCCGATGCCAATGCCGTGGGCGAGCGCCCCTCCCCGCGCTTCCCCCGCGCTTCCCCTGGCGCTCCCAGGAAGCGTCGCGGCGAGCGGGAAGGGCCTCGCACGTTCGTCAGGAGCCCTTGAACGCGCGCCAGGCGGCCGCTACTGCGGCCGCCGCGGCCGCCTTTGAAGAACGGGGAAGAGGGGGGGGGGGGCCCATTGCAGCCACTTCCTGTCCGAGGGCCCCACAAGAGCCCAACGCGCGTTTCCTTCTCCCCCTCCCTGAGGTTTAAAATAAATAATGAATGGTGTTGTTTTTTTTGTGGTTCGCTGTTGCCGGTTGCGCGCCACGGCGTGCCGCTTCACCATCGCTCCGCGTCTACTACCGGGCGACGCTCGCCCGTCGGCGTTCGCGCGCTTCCTCCTTTTATCCTTCAAAGCCACCGGGCGCTGCCGCCCGTCCCTGGCCTGTGCCACTTGGCAACGGCCAAGCGCCGGGGGGGGGGGGGGGGGGCGAGGCGCCCCCCTCTCTCGCTCTCTCCCCGTAGGATAACGGCCACGTGATGGGCCCCCCCACCACGTCCCCCCACGGGCACCCCCCCCCCCTCCACACCCACCCCCCTGCCCCATAAGACACACCCACCAAACCGGTCATCGGCACTGTGGCCCACCAACTCCGACCCTCCACTCCACCGCTACCGCCGGCCTCGCTGCCCCGAACGTCGCCTGTCAAGATATTATTTTCTTTCTTTGAATGCCACACGCACACAAGCACGGGCACGAGGTCATTAGCGACGAACGCGTGCGCGGGATGCCGTCTCGCACGGCGTCGAAACGTTCACGTGCGCAGCGGGCCTGCTGCTCCACCTACGGAAGGCGCTGCTGTATAAATAATAAAGTATCGCGACGACGACGGAGATTATCATTGTTGTTGACGTGCGGCTCGCCAAGCGTACAGAGGCCCCCCTCGTGGGGCCGTGGCGAGGAGCGAATGGGGGGCCCGGTCCGGGGGCCCACCGCAACTGACAACGCGACGCAGAAACTTCACACCGCCACCGCCGCCCGCCGTGTGCGCAAAACAAAGACAAAGGTGCCCGCCGCCTCTGCGTAGCCTACGCGGGGCGTGGAGGCAAAGTGCCGCTGGTGACCGCCACCCGCGATGGCAGGCGTGGGCCACACGGCCACCCTTTGTCCTCTCACAGGGCCGAGTCCACATTTAGCGGAGGTTAAAAGACACCGGGGAGGGATAATTCGATGTTGGCCGCGAGCGGGTGAACGACCTTCGGGTCACCGGCTACATTGCGCGGCGGCGCCAAACGCCGCGTCACCGCTTCTCACCCAAATACAAAAGATCCCTCGTGTAGCCTTAACAGACTTTCTTGGCAAGTGCTGTTAAGCGAGCACCTATGAAGGCCGGCACGGGATACGAGGGGGGTGGGCGGCCAGCACCACGCCCGGCCACCTTTATATCACGAGTAGCGATGTCTACACACCGTACTAGGTACTAATTTCAGGCTAAGTCGACCTAGGGGAGGTCCACTACCTGTTCAATTATTCTCCATCGATATTTTTCACAGGCGAGGAAACCAACTCAGGTCGCCGGGGTTGTAGCGCGGCGTGCTAACCTCTGCGCCTCCACTCCCCGAGCACGCACATACACGCACACATACACGCATGCACACAAAGACAAAAGTGGGTGGCCAGCACCATGTCCGGCCGCCTTTGTCTCCCTCGTGCCGATGTTTACACATCGCACACACGTACATACACCCCGCACACACGTACATACACCCCGCACACACGTACATACACCCCGCACACACGTACATACACCCCGCACACACGTACATACACCCCGCACACACGTACATACACCCCGCACACACGTACATACACCCGCGCGCACGCGCACACACGGCGGCACGCGCACACACTCAACGCCCCGGTACATGAACACTTGAGCGTGGAGGGAGGAAGGTGGTGTGGGAGGGTGCCAACGGCGGTGGCGGAGGTGGTAGCTTGTACGGCGGAAAAAATAAATAATAAATAAAAAGGGGGACGCGTTTGCACCTCACTGACAATCCAATTACAGCGACAATGCAGCTCGCTGTGCCAGGACCCGCTCCTATAATCATCCCCTCGCGCTGACATTTCCATTGCACCGCACGCGCTTATTAGAATTAAAAATTAGATTCTCTCCCCGTTTTTTTTATGGCAATGTGGCGGAGGAGGTGGCGGCAACGGGTGGGCGGTGGTGGGGGGGGCTCCTCCCCGCCCACCACCCCCCCGCCCACCCGTCGTGCTAACGGAGCGCGGTGTCAACCGGGGCAGTAGAAAGATCAACAGCGAGAAGGGACGTGCGCTACGCCGAGCTGACGAGAAGACATTCGTTTTGCGCGCTGACCTGACTTGAGTGTCAAATTAGCCCCGCGACACACATACATAGATTACATACACACATACACACACAAACACTATACACTATACACACACTTATACACACATACACACACACACTCACATACAACACATACATACACTCACATACACACACACACATACACTATACACACATACATACATACACACATACACACATACACTATACACACATACATATACACACATATACACACATACATACACACACATACACACACTCATACACACACACAAAGATAAAGATCCCCCGTATAGCCTGAAACAGACTGTTGGGACAAGTGCTGTTAGCGAGCACCTATGAAGGCCAAAACGGCACACGAGGGGGTGGGTGGCCAGCACCACGCCCTGCCACCTTTGTCTCCCTAGTGGCAATGTTTTTACACACCACACCAGGTACTCATTTGAGGCTGAGTCGAACTAGGGGAGGCCCAGGACCGGTTCAGATAATAGTCACTGATTTTGGCCGTGAGCGGGAATTGAACTCGGATAAGAAGGTTCGTAGCGCAACGCGCTAACCGCTACACTACCGCTCCCCACATACACACACACTATACAACAACAACCGCCATTCGCCACTAAGTGGCGGTGACATCACCATGACACTTGTGCCAGTCCATGTGCACCTTGAGGCCACGTGAAGTGTCGAACGCCCGCTGGCAGGAAGGAGGTCACGGGGCAGACCCAGGTGCCACGGGTCGACTGACTGAAATGACTGGCTGGTACACCACCTGTGCCCCCTACTGTGCCAACCTGCTGTGCTTTAACCACCCGGTGCTACACACAGTATGTACACACATCCATACTCACATACACTATACACACACACTCACATACACACACATACACTATACACAAAGATAAAAAAACAAAGATCCCCCATATATCCTTAACAGACTGTCGGGGCAAGTGCTGTTAGCAAGCACCTATGAAGGCCGGAACGGTACACGAGGGGGTGGGTGGCCAGCACCACGCCCGACCGCCTTTGTCTCCCTAGTGGCACCAGGTACTCATTTGAGGCTGAGTCGACCTAGGGGAGGCCCGGGACTGGTTCAGATAATCGTCACTGGTGTTGGCCATGAGCGGGAATCGAACCCGGGTCGCCAGGTTCATAGCGCACTATACACACATACACACACTCACATACACTATACACACATATTACACACACATACACCAAATACACGTGCACACTCACACACGATACACACATACACTATACACACACTCACATACACTATACACACACACATACCACACACACACTATATACACATACTACACACACACATACCACACACACTATATACACATACTACACACACACATACACCAAATACACGTGCACTCACACATACACACACATATATACACGCAAATACACGCACACCCAAAACACACACATATATACACGCAAATACACGTGTGCACACACATTTTAAAAGCACAAATATGTATATACATGTGTGCACGCATGCACACACACCAAAATATTTTCTCGCGCGCACGAGCACACACAAAAACACAAATATTACAAAGTCAAAAATCCCCCGTATAGCCGAGCAGACTGTTGGGGCAAGTGCTATTAGCGAGTAGCACCTATGAAGGCCGGCACGGTACACGAGGGGGTGGGTGCTCAACACCACGCTCGGCCGCCTTTGTCTTCCTCCCAAGTGATAATGTTTACACAATCCACCAGGTACTCATTTGAGGTTGAGTCGACCTAGAGGAGGCCCAGTAACCGGTGCAGATAATCGTCACTGGTGTTGGTTGCCGGGTTCGTCGCGCATTCCGCTAACAGCTCCGTAACCGCTCTCCACATACACTTACACACAGAGACAAAGATTCCCCATATAGCCTTCAACAGCTGTTGGCCTAAGGACAGAATGGTACACGAGGGGGTGGGTGGCCAGCACCACGCTCGACCGCCTTTGTCTCCTCAAGTGGCGATGTTGACTACACACCACCGCACCAGATACTCATTTTAGGCTGAGTCGACTTAGGGGAGGCCCAGAACGGGTTCAGATAATCGTGTTGGCCATGAGCGGCATAGCCAACACCACGGTAACTGCTACACTACACACTTATAAACACACAAAGATCGTATTGCCTTAACAGACTGTTGGGGCAAGCACTGTTAGCAACCACCTATGAAGGCCGGCATGGCACACGAGGGGGTGGGTGGCCAGCACACCCGCACACACTATACCTTCGCGCGGTTACACACATGAAATGTACTCACAAATACACACAAAGACAAACATTCATACACGCACACACGCATATTACTCACACGTACACGCACACAAAAACACACGTGCACACGTACACACGTACACACGTGCACACGTACACACGTACACACGTGCCCACGTACGCGCGTTAAGAACCGCGATCATTTTGTCCACCTCCTCTTGGCAGGGCTCACAACCAGAAAATTACTGCGCGGCTCCTCTTAACCCCCCCCCTACTCCACCCAACACAAACAATATTTATAATAATCGTACTAATAATTATAATACCAATGCGTGTAAACAATATTTATAATAATCGTACTAATAATTATAATAACAATGCGTGTAAACAATATTGATAATAATCGTACTAATAATTATAACAATGCGTGTAAAAAATATTTATAATAATCGTACTAATAATTATAACAATGCTTGTAAACAATAATTATAATAACCGTACTAATAATTATAATAACAATGAGTGTAAACTATATTTATAATAATCGTACTGATAATTATAATAACAATGCGTGTAAACAATATTTATAATAATCGTACTAGCTTTAAATCAAAATAATTATAGTGATCGTACTAATAATTATAATAACAATGCGTGTAAACAATATTTATAATAATGCGTGTAAACGGCAGAAGTTGCCTTTGTGAATGTGAGCGCACGTGGGGAGGGTGTGTTTTTGTTGATTGGAAATCTGTGAAAAGAGCTTCACAGCTCTACAGATTCCTCCAGGATAAATAAATATTCTGATTCCGTAGTTGGTGTCGTCTCGTCAACTCGGTGAGAGAAGCCACCATTACCACCACCACCACCACCGTCACCAACACCGTCACCAACACCACAACCATCGCCACCACCAACACCAACACAAACACCACCACAGCCGGTGGGTCTCCATGTGAGTCTGTGTGTGAGCCTGTGAGTGTGAGTCTATGGGTCTCTGTGTCTATGGGTGTGAGTCTATGGGTCCATGTGTGAATCTTTCGATCTCCGTGTGAGTCCGTGGGTGTGACCCTGTAGATCTCTGTATGAGTCCATGAATCTCCATGCGAGTCTGTGAATGCGAGTCTGTCGGTCTCTGTGTGAGCCTGTGGGGCTCTATTCAGCGGTGTCCGTGTAAGTCACCGAGAGTGGTGTGATAGCTCGCAACAGAACTCCCCGTGTGAGCCAATGGCAACAAAGAGAGACATCAAAACTCTTGCATTATTAACGAGTGGGGGGTGGGGAAGCGAGCTCAGTCTGTCTCGGGAAGCCTGACCCAAAACTCGCGAAAAAATAACACAAAGAGGTCCGCGCAATTCAATTACCGGCGCCTCTGCCGCGCGTCTACCCGCTACCAAAAATCGATGCTAGCGCCGCGCCGGTACCAGAGAGCGTGCCGGCCAACCCAGCGCTAATTGTGCACGCCTGGCGGTGGTGGTGCAAGTAGCGGTAGTGATGATAGTGGTGTCGGTGGTGGAAGTGGTGGCGGTAGCAGTGGCGGTAGTGTGGGCTGTGATGTGAGTGGTGGTGGTGGTGTAGGTGGTGGCAGTGGTGGTGGTACGAGTGCTGCAGAATGGTATGCAAAACAGTCTTGTTAGGCGAGAGAAAAGCACAAACATGGAGACAAAGTGAGAGACGACAGAGAGACAGCGAGACAGAATGAGAGAGACAGAGCGAGAGGGTGGGTGAGTGAGCAAGCGAGCAAGTTAGTGAGCGGGTGGGTGAGTGAGAGGTTGAATGAGTATATGAATGGGTGGATGAGTGCGTGAGAAGTTGAGTAGACAAGTGGGTGGGTGTGTGGGTGAGTGAGCAGGTGAGAGTGTGAGTGAGTGAAAAACGTTATTGAGCTTAAGTGAATCTGGGAGTGGGAGAGCGAATGAGCAAGTGACTTAGTGAGTTGATGAGAAAGTTCATGAGCATGTCGAGGAGTGAGCAAATGAGTGATTGAGCGAATGATTGAGCGAGCAAATGATTGAGCGAGCGAGTGAGAGGGTGGCGAGTGAGGTGTACCTAGACTTGTAGGAGGAGGAGCCGTAGTCTCGACCTGTGGGCAAGAGGAAACACAGGAAACACGGGATGAGACACGGGATGAGACACGGGAGGAGACACGGGAGGAGACACGGGATAATACACGGGAGACGACGCGGAACGAGACGCGGGAGGAAACCGAAGAGATGGGCGTTCTCCCCAAAACACTCACACCGTGTGCAGAGTAAGAGACAGAGGCAGGGAGAAGCAGGGAAAGACTCGGGGAGACGCGACTGGGCGAGCGTTGCGGGTGGTCCTCACCATGTTTGGGGCTGCTCGAGCGGCTTCGACGCTCCCGGTAGTCGTGCCGATCATCGTCCCACTCATCGCGGTCCTTCTCCCTCTCCCTGTATCCCAGGTCACACGGCGGACGGGTCAGAGGTCAGGGGTTGAGTTGTTGTTGTTTGTGCACCACTGCCCATGCCGCAGCAGCATCACTGAACAATGTCGTGAAGTTATTTATGTAACGAGGCAAGGTGGAACTCAGGAGACCAGGATCAGAGGCTCATTTACGAGAGCCGGGGTCACCAAAATAAAAAAGCAAATCGCCGTCAAACGGTAACTTGCGAAGGGCGGCTGGGGACAAATCGTCTCTGGGCTGACCATGACGCAATTACTCGTTACGTCGCGACAGTTTTCACGACAATGTCACGATGTCTTGCCAATAATCACGAGAGGGGGCACGGGAGGCACGAGGGGGTGGGGTGGTGGTGTCGACTACGACGCCTCTTACTTTTGTCGCATTCGTCGAGCCAGCGCCCTCAGCTCATGCTCGCGCTCCTGGGGGTCACAACAACCACAGCAGCAGCAGCAGCACGAGGGCATCATCGCATCGTCCGGCGGCTCGTGACGACGCGCCAAGAAGGTGCCCCCCCCACCCCCCCCGCCCCCTTTGTCTCCCCAGTTAACACACTGCACCGGGTGCTCATTTTGAGGTTGAGTCGACCAAGGTGAGTCCCAGAACCAATTCGGATAATCGTCACTGCTGTTTTTTGGTGGCCGTGAGCGGGCAATCGACCTCGGGTCGAAGCCGGGTTCGTAGAGCGGAGCTCTAACCGCTGCGCCACCACTCCGACACACCGAGACGCGCACACACGGACACACGCAGCAGACATGCGCATCTCTACATAAAAGTGAATGCTATTGTAATTGCATTCTGTATAAAATTTTAATGGGGTGTAATCCTAATTACATTTTGGAGAAGTGTAAATAATTGTAGCCAACCGCTGAATGTATTTATTTAATAATAATAAAAAGTGCCGCTCATTTGCGTGGCGCTGGCGAAACTGCGGCACCATTACCCCGAATGGCAATCTCGGCAACAGTTTGGGTAAAATACTCGCACTGTTTAAAGAGCGCACGGTGAAAACAAGTCAAGCCCAGCGAACGCATGCACCGCAAATATGCGCGCTTGCACACGCGTGTGTAGAGACAAAGACACCCCGTGTAGCCTTTAACAGGCTGTCAGGGCAAGTGCTGTTTGCGAGTAGCAGCGGCACCTAGGAAGGCCGACACGGTGCACGATGGGGGTGGGTGGCCAGCACCACGCCCGCTAACCTCTACATCCTCACAGCACCACCTGACCCACACAGCCCTACACCTGCTCACCCACACACTCACTCACCCAAACACACAGCCCCACACTCACTCATCCCTACGCCCGCTCACCTCTCTCTCCTGGGCTTGCTGTGCCTGTTTGTGATGTGCGGCCTTCTTATCGGCTTTATCTGTGGTCAAGAGGGGGGGAGGGGTGTTAGTGAAAGGTCCACATTCATGGGTCAGAATCCAGGAGCGCTGTTTCTCACGGTCACATTGAACAACGGAGTGACAAGCACCAAGCAGAGTCTCAAAGACAGGTTTCGTGAAGGTGCCGCCACAGCAACAGGGGTCTGGCCACTGATTATTTGGAGTATTTTGACTGCTATAAATTTCCACATGATAAGCGACTTTTTTTAGCTATCATTTGTGGCCAGGTCGCTTCTGAAAAATAAGTGAATACCTCAGCAGGTACATCTTAAACCACCTCATCTACGTCGTTTCTAAACTTCCCCCCCCCCCCCGTCTCATTTGCCGATCTTGTTTGCCTCCGTGAGCCCCAACGTTAACTCCTAGGGTCAGAGGCACAGCCCTGCAGTTTGCCTGCTCACGCCACATCACCGCCGGTGCCAGAGTGTCTGCTCGGAGCGGCTCTTAGAGAAGAGAGACCCCTCCAGGTGGCACCAAGGGCCGAATCTCCTATGCGGGACTGCGACGTATGTATGTTTTAGTCGTAGTTTATTTAACATCTATTTTGACCACGTAGTTCGTGAAGCCTTCAATAGCTCTACCGGGGGAATCTCCATATAAAATGGGAGGCTGATCGATGCCCGGGTGCGGTCAAGGGATTGCTCCCTATTGCTCAACCACGTTATGTATGCCGATGATTTGGTAATAGCTGCTCATTCAGAGGAGGAGTTGGAGACGCTGCTGCTGAGACTGGAGCGTGCTACTAAGAGATGGGGCCTTACCATCAGCCCCACCAAAACGAAGCACCTGCCTGGGTATTTTGTACCATCGGACACTCCACCCCCACAACTCCCAATCGGTGATGGGGCAGTTGTGGAGAGAGTGGAGAGTTTCCCATACCTGGGCAGTGTGCTTATGACCGGCTCCAGTTTAACAGCAGAGGTCTCACTCCGAATGAGTCGAGCGGCAATATCTTTTCATCGGTTGTGTAACGCTGTGTGGAAGCTACCTGGTCTGTCGCTCCGCACTAAGCTTCAGGTATTCTCGGCCATGATCATTCCCTCCCTTCTCTACGCTTGCGAAACGTGGACCCCCCTAATGGAACATCTTCGCCGGTTAGAAACATTTAGGCTGGCCTCCCTACGATCCATCCTGGGTTTAACCAGGCTGGATTGTGTGAGGAGCTCACAAATCCTTGAAAGATCTGGGCACGGTCCCATCGGTGAGCTCCTCCGGCAGGCAAGGCTGCATTGGCTGGGTCATGTAGCCCGCATGCCCAGCCACCGCATGCCGAAACAGCTTTTGTTCGGCCGGATCGAGGGGGCAAAACGGGCGCGGCACGGGCTAGAGAAGAGATGGAGTGATGTGGTACAGGAGGACGTGAAGTTGAGTGGACTTGCCAATGACTGGTACCAGCGGTGTCAAGATCGGCCTCTGTGGAGGAGGCTCATGAAGGACGCTACTGGGCAGTTGGAGGCAGTCGCCCTCCAACAACAACGGAGGGCGGAGGAGCGACCCTCACAACAACGAGCGGAGCGCCGGGTGGCTAAAGCACAGCAGGTTGGCACAGTAGGGGGCACAGGTGGTGCATCAGCCAGGCGTCTCAATCATCTCAGTCAGTCGACCCATGGCACCTGGGTCTGCCCCGTGACCTCCTGCCAGCGGGCGTTCGACACTTCACGTGGCCTCAAGGTGCACATGGCCTGGCACAAGCGTCGTGGTGACGTCACCGCCACTTAGTGGCGAATGGCGGTTGTTGTTGTATGTTGAACTTCTTTCGCACCGAACGTAGCCGGACCGGGAGAAGGTAAACAAAGTAAACACAAATATAGCAGTTCTAAAATATGAGTTTTCAATCTATTTGATGATGATTTAAAAGTGCACATCTCCAGTGGCTTCCTAATATCGGAATGAAGAGCATTCCAGACGGTCGCAGAAGCGCATCTGAAAGCACGCAATTCGGTGACTGTCTTTATTCCGATGGCCAGCCAAGAGCCACTGCTGCGAGGATGAGCGGAGTTCGCCGTGATGATGGTTTACGCCACCACCACGACAGCTACCGACGGGACAGAACCACGGTAAAACATCGGGCGGCACGTGGCGATGGCGTGGGCCAACCGCGGCCGGCTTGGGACCAGAACCTCTCCCCGCGAGTCGACGTCGCACGCGCACGTTAATAAAACACACAATGTTGACAACACATTAACGGGGTGGGTGGGGAGGGGGGTTGGGTGCGTGTGGGGTGGGTGGGGGGCGAGCGAGGCCGCCAGCCCGTGACACACGCAAATGCACGCACGGCCCTCCAGCGCTCACATTTTCGGCGCAGGGCTTTACTCGCGAATGTAGTTTTTTTATCCAATCAAGAAAATAATTATTAATTTGAATTTATTTTTGGGATGGGGGCGAATGGTGGTGGTGGGGGTAAACCCCCCCACCCACCAACCCATGAACAAATGAAATTAAAAACAAGGTGAATGTAATATTCAATGAACGCTTTGGATTTTTTTTCGGGAGCACCAGAACTGCAAATTGGCACGGAGGCTGTGAGCGCGCGTTCCGGGGCGCGTGACAACGCGGCGCCACAGTGTTGAAAGTCGCGGCGCAATCACTGCCGTTAACCGGTTAGGGAAGGACCACGGCGCTGCACGCACGGTGTGTGTATGCGGTGTGTGTGCAGTGTGCGCACGGTGTGTGTGTGTGCGGTGTGTGTGTGTGCGCGATGTGTGTATGCGGTTTGTGTGCAGTGTGTGTGTGTGCGCGATGTGTGTATGCGGTTTGTGTGCAGTGTGCGCACAAGTGTGTGTGTGTGCGCGATGTGTGTATGCGGTTTGTGTGCAGTGTGCGCACAAGTGTGTGTGTGTGCGCGATGTGTGTGTGCGGTGTGTGTGCAGTGTGCGTGCGGTGTGTGTGTGCGCGCGGTGTGTGTGTGCGGTGTGTGTGCAGTGTGCGTGCGGTGTGTGTGTGCGCGCGGTGTGTGTGCGCGCTATCAGCGACCGAGCATTCACACGCCTCTAAGTGTACCGAGACTGACACAAGCACCGTGGTGACGTCACCGCTACTTAGGGGCGAACGTCAGTTGTCATTGTGGGCGCCCGGTCCAGCTACCGTCCAGCGCAAAGCGAAGGAATGGCCGCGGTGACGGTGGGAGAGGGGAGGGGGCAGTGAGGGGGGGAGCCAGGGTGGCCGGACACGATGCCCAGAACTGCTGCGTTCGTGATGCCGAACAAGTCACCGGGTCACCGGCTAGCTACTGGAAAATGGTGGCTACGTGACGAGATTCCGCAGCCAGGAGAGGGTAATACCGAAGGCGGTGTGCCGGGTTGGTGGTGACGCGGACCGACCCGGGTGAGACCTAAGGCCCGATGATGCCGTGATCGAGAAACCCACCGCACGGCGGCGACGGTGGAAGTGGCAGGGGTGGCGACGGTGGTGGTGGTGGTGACGGTGGTGGTGGCGGCGGTAGTGGCGGTGACGGCGGTGGCGTTGACGGTGGTGGTGGTGAGGGTGGAGGCGGTGGTGGCGGCAGTGGTAGCACGAGCCACAGGTGGTGGCTCGTGCGACGAGCGGCGAGCGATCGGGTTAATCGCCATTAGCACTCGACACGACCGCAAAGTTTTCACAATTATCAATTGAACATCGGGGTGGGGGTTGGTGGGTGGGGGGTGCCGGCCCCCCACTCCCCCTTTTATTTTGCGAGCGCGCGAGTGTTTTTCGGGGTGGAGAGAACGCAGCAATTAGCCTAAATAATTCATCCTCCGCAGCGCACGCGCAGCCACTTCTAATTAGCGCTAAAGCAGCGGCGGGGTCCGCACGCGCTGCGCCCCGAGTGGCGCCCCGGCCGATCCATAAAAGATGGCGCTGCGCGTTTCAAAGTGTCAGGTCGGCTTAGGCACGCAGCCTCCCGGTCCGGGCTTACAGCCGCCGCGCTCGTCACACTTAATTCGGGACAAACCCCGCCGCCGACGGACCCGCGGCTCGTTAGGGTAGTGATCCGGCCGTGGAGGGAGGGGAGAGCGCGGGGCTGCGCGGCCGCTAAAAAATTAACGCGCCGCCCGAGGGCCTAGCTGGCTAAAGAGGGTGCAGCCCCAAACGGTTATTTAAATCTCGCGAAACGCCCGCCATCATCTCGCTCGCTCGCTCGCTCTCTCTCGCCTAACGCTGCCGGGATTGCGGTCGCTCCCCTGCCCACAAGCCCCCCCGGCTCTCTCTCTTGCCCCGAGCTAAGCGCGAGTGGCGTGACCGACGGGGCTTCCGGCGTTCATGATGTGGTGAGACAGCAGCGAGCGGCGCCGGGCCTAGAGTGGGCTTCGGGGTTATTGCGCATACGCGCACGTGCATGCGTGCGTGCTCAAGGTACCAGATGAATGCGTAGCCCCTGCAAGTGCTCACACGTGGCCACAGCCGACGGCACGACCTCTGCTAGAGGGCGCTCTGCAGAGCCCTTCCAGTTGTCGTGTTTGGTCTGCTCTTTAACGCTGGCTGGCCAGTACGTCTCGGGTAGCAGGGATGAGAAGAGTACCCACACTTTACCCCGCCGTACACGACCCGCCGATCAGAGCCTGCGGTGTACACCTCAACTGCCGCCGCCGGGAGATCGAACCGGCGTCTTCCCAGGGGGGGGGTGGGGGGGAGGGAGTGGGCAGTACAGCAAGCGGGTCGTTAGCGCGCCCAGCGTCTAGGGGCGGACGCGAGCGGGTTGCGACTCACATTGCTTGTTGAGAGCCTTCTGCATCTTGATCTTCAGCCTCTCCCGCGGGGTCATCTTGGGCTGCAACGGAACGGCGCGGCGAGCGGCGCGGTGAGCGACGACAAGGGGCTGCGCGAGCAGCGATCGGAGCGACGACTCTCACCGCCGCCACCATAATTAACGCGCCACGCGCGCACCATCAGCACTCGGCATGCGACCCAAACTCCAGCGGCGATTAGCTACGCCAGACAGGCGTTGCCTCGACGTCACCCCCTTCCCCCCTTCCTCCACCCAAACCCCCCGTGTTTCCGTTAGCATCCCACAACTTGATTAACTAGGGGGTCTTTAAATAATCACGAGCTAAGACGGAGACCTCGAATTTGCCACGTTGTGTCCCGAGAGTGGGCTGACATATTCAAGGATCTGTTGTTGGTGCGCGACAACGATGATGATGATGAGGACGATGTTCGTAACTTCGTGCCAGTTAAAAATAAAGTTTCCTTCCCACGGGACCTTTTTTTTTTAATTGGGTAATTAAGCTTAATTACTCGGGTCACTACGAACACAATGATGCGGAAGAACGCCGCCGCGCTGCTGGTGCATAGAGTGGGAACAGCGTGGACGTCCAGAATAACAAACACCTCCTCATTCAAGACATCATCATCGCACACCTCCTCACGGCTTTCACATTCCGCATCTTCCTCGAAGACACCGGCGGCGTAACCGTCGACCACATCAGAACATCATCAGCAGGCCGACGCTGCACCACATCTCCTTCACGAAGGGAAAACTGAAGACAGCCACAGTGGTGCGTGACTGTGGCCATGCAACCCAACACGATGTCCAGGAGACTGACGCCAATGTGGAGGTTCTGCTGCTGCTGCTCGCCACGACGAGAGGGCTTCAGCAGAGAGAGAGAGAGTTCGTGTCGCTTCGCTGTTCCTCCTCTTCCTGCGTTGAAGGAGCGCAGACCACAGTGGGTTTACTCTGCGGTCTACAGGTTTGTGATGATGATGGCATTCTTGATAATGATACTGCTGTTGAAGCAGCTAATGACACTGTTGCTAATGTTTCTACAGCTGATGACAATGATGATAATTCGATAAGGAAAACTCTTGCTGCTACTGCTGTTGTTGCCGACGATGAAAATGATGAACGTGATGTTAGGGCCGGGTCACATGTCCCCAACACAAACCCTGACCCTCTGGCCTGAACACTCTGACCAGACACACCAATCTGACCTGTTAATAAATTATTAAGAATTATGCTTGTTTAGCCACTCAAGCCTCGAGTCTCGCGTATATGTCTCAGTGGAGGTGGGGGGGGGCGCTGATCGCTACCGAGTACGCTTGTATGTATGTTGAACTTATTTCGCAACCATACGTAGCCAAACGCGCTAACTAAAAGGTGTGAGTGTGGTTCCAACGGAGCAACTGGCAAGTGTCATTGTCGGAAAAAACGTGGCGGCGGTGCGTTTGTATTTTTGATTCCGCACGCCAGAGACGAGGTGGCGAGCGCTCTGGCCGAGAGAGAGAAAACCGGCGATGCCGGCGCGTTCGGCGTCACCCACGATGTTTGCACCAGTAAAGGATTCACTTCGATTGGCACACAATCTCAATTTTTGTACAACCGTGTCACACGTGCAAATGCACGCACATACAATGACAAAGATTCCACCCCCCCTCCCTCCCTACTCGCTCACGGCAAGTGCCGTGAGCGAGTAGCAGCGCCGATGAAGGCCGGCGTGGCGCACGAGCGGGAGGGTGGCCAGCACCACGCCTCGGCCGACTTTCTCTCCCCGGTGGTGATGTTTCACATGGTGTATACAGGTTACTCGTTTGAGGCCGAGTAGATCTAGTGGAGGCCCAGGACTGATTCAGATAATCGTCACCGGTGTTGGTGGCCATGAGCGACATTAGAACTTGGGTCGCCGGATTTGTAGCAGTGCCCTAACTGCTGCGTCACCACTCCCCACACATACGTACACACATATGCACACACACATAAAGATACAAACATGCACATGTACACACACACACACGTATAAAAACTAAATCACATGCACACGCATACACACACGAGCAAAGACAGACACGGTGTCTGCATGACTGGCAGCTGAAACAAAGACAAAGCTAAATTCTTACTGACTTTGGCAGCTCCAGTTTCTCTACCAGTCGGTGTGTCCGGCCTGCAAAACACAAAAACCCAATGAGCTAGGAGCACTCCGCAATCAACAGGTCACTGGACAGACCCACGCAAGCACACGCAAGCATACACGCACGGAGGCCAAGTCGATCTTAGGAAGGCCCATTACCGGTTCAGATAATCGTCACCGGTGTTGGTGGCCATGAGCAGGAACCGAACTCAGATGGATGCGTTCGTAGTGCAGCGCGATAACCGCTCCCCACCAATATCAATACCCACCATTCGCCACTAAGTGACGGTGATGCCTGTGCCAGGCCAGGTGCACTTGACAGGTCACAGGACAGACCCTGGTGCCATGGGTTGAATGAGATGACTGGCAGATGCACCACCTGTGCCCTCGACTGTGCCAACTTGTTGTGTTTTAGCTGCCCGGTGCTCCACTCGTTGTTGTGAGTGTTGCTTGTTTGCCCTCCCGTTTAGCACCTTTCACGAGCTTCCTCCAAAGAGGCTGATCTTGACACCAGTCACTCACCTCCATATCCTCTCGGACCACATCATTCCAGTCCATGTCACGCCCATTTAGCCCCCTCTATCCGGTCAAGCAAAATCTGCTTAGGCATGCGGTGGCTTGGCATGCAGGCTGCATGACCCAGCAAATGCAGCCTTGCTGCCGGAGGAGCTCATCGAAGGGACTGTGTCCAAATCTTTCAAGGATTTGTGAAATTCTCACATAATCCAACCTTGTTGAACCCAAAATAAATCGTAGGCAGGCCAGCCTGAATGTTTTTAACTGCGAAGTTGTTCTATTTGGGGGGTCCACATTTCGCAAGCAAAGACAAGGAAAGGCATGACTGTGGCCAAGAAGACCCAAAGCTTTGTGTGAAGCGACAAGCCAGGTAGCTTCCAGAAAGCAGCGTTACGCAGCTGCTGAAAAGATGCTGCTCAGCTGATGTGGAATGTGCCCTCTGCTGCCAAACTGAAGATGGTCATAAGCACACTGCGCAGGCATGCAAAACTCTCCACTTTCTCCGGAACTGCTTCATCACCAATGGGGAGTTGAGGAGGTGGAGCGTTTGATGGCACAAAATACCCAGGTAGGTGTTCAATTTTGGTGGGCAGCAATCACCAGATCATCAGCATACATAACATGGTTGACCAATAGGGAGATATCCCCTCGACCGCACCCAGGCACCAATCAGCCTCCCATTGCATCTGTAACAGATGTAAATTGCTCAAGTACAGCCTCTGCTGTAAAACCGTAGCTGGTCCTGAACCCTCTCCACTCTCTCCACAACCGCTCTCCAAGTTTACACACACACACACGTGTTAAACACACACGCTCTCGCAAGCGCGCAGCTGGGCGCTCTTACTTTTTAAGTCTGGGCCCAACGACCTCAGCCGTGCCGCCCGGGTTCCCGGAGAAGCCCGACGAGGAGGAGGCCGCCACGGTGGAGATTCCGGCAGCAGCAGCAGCAGCAGCAGCAGCTGCTGCCGCCCCCCCCACAGCCATGACCGCTCCCCCCCCCACCCCTGAGGCCGGGGGGGGGGCCCTGAGCTTGAGCGCCGTGGCGCGCGGGGGCCGGGCGGGGGAGCAGGGGGACCGGCTGCGCGGGGAGCGACTGCGCCCACTTCCCCGGCCACGGCCGCAGCTCATCTGGCCCCTTCCCCGATTCCGGTTCCGGCTTCGTGATCGGCTCCGGCTGCGAGTCCGAGGAGTCCGGCTCCGGCTGCGTGTCCGAGGAGTGCGGCTCCGGCTGCGAGTCCGGCTCCGGCTGCGGCTCCGGCTGCGGCTCCGGCTGCGGCTGCGAGTCCGGGTCCTGGTCCGGCTCCGGGTGCGGCTGTGGGCCCGGCGGCCCTGCCGACGGAACCGGTCGGAGGAGTGGGAGCGAGAGCGTCGCGGAGCGCGCGACCTGGGGTGGGGTGCAGGGGGGAGCGCCGGTCACTTCCCCGCTCGACGGGACAAAGCGCATGAGACAAAGCGGCCCGCAGAAGCGGACCTCACAGCGCTACCCGCGAGCACGCAGTAGGAGGGGGGCAGTACTTCGTGGGGGAGGGGTATACGGGGGAGGGGGGTCACAACACATACAAAAGGTGGAGGGGGGCTGGTAGAGAGGGAGGGTTGCGCAGATGGGGAGATGATTACCGAGGGTGGCAACCAATCGGCGTAATCGACGGGACAGAGCGGGTTAGAGAGAGAGCAGCTTGCGAAAGCGGACATCACAGAGCTACGTCCGAGCACACAGCGGGGGAGGGGTGGCACTTCCCCACCCGCCCTGCCATGCAGGAGTGATGTTCATCACACGGCAAGGTGGGGGGGGGATGACACAAGGGGGAGATTCGTGGTTCGTCACCGCGAGGAGTAGGGGGAGCGGTTGCGCCGCTCGTGTGATGAGTAGGGGGAGCGGTTGCGCCGCGGTGCTGGGCGGCGCCAGTGGCGGCGCGAGCGCGAGCGCGACCTCCGGCTCGACGAGGAGCGCGAGCGCCGTCTCCTGCGGGGGGGGGGAGTAGGCGAGAGGGGGGGGTGTGGAGATGGGGGGACGATTACTGGGGGTGGCAACCAATGAGCGCACGAAAGTCGTTCGAATACGTCCGGTCGAGCAACGAGAATGCAGAACCTACAGTGGAGTGAACCTGTGTGTCTCTGTGCCTCCGTGTCTCTATCTGTGTGTCTCTGTGTCTTTGTCTGTGTGTGTGTGTGTGGCTCCGTATCTGTGTCGACGTGTCTATTTATATGTCTCCCTGTCTGTGTGTGTCTGTGTCAACGTGTCTGTGTCGACGTGTCTGTGTGTCTCTGTGTGTGTGTCTCCGTGTGTGTGTGTCTCCGTGTGTCTCCATGTGTCACCATGTGTCTCCGTATGTCTCCGTGCGTGTCCGTGCGTGTCCGTGTCTCCGTGTGTATCCGTGTGTATCCGTGTGTATCCGTGTCTCCGTGTGTGTGTCTCGCCTCAACGTGCACATAGCCTGGCACAAGCGTCGTGGTGACGTCACCGCCACCTAGTGGCGAATGGCGGTTGTTGTTGTGTCTCCATGTGTGTGTGTCCGTGCTTTTTTGTCTGTGTGTCTCCGTGTCTGTGTCTCCGTGTCTGTGTCTCCGTGTCTGTGTCTCCGTGTCTGTGTCTCCGTGTCTGTGTCTCCGTGTCTGTGTATCTCCGTGTCTGTGTCTCTCCGCCTGTCTCCGTCTGTCTCCGTGTGTGTGTGTGTGTCTCCATGTCTGTATGTCTTTGTTTACCCAACTGCACCATCACCCAGTGAGCTGCATTCTAACCACTCTACACACACGTAGTCGGCTCCTCTGACACCTGCAGTTGTGCACCACCTGTGCCTCCTCTGTCTCACAAGTCAAAGGTAGCCGCTACTGCTTTTCAGAAAATCTACAAAAAAATATTTTACAAGATTAAGCCCACCGAGATATATAGCTCTTTTTCAAAAGCGACCTGGCCACAAATGATAGCTCAATAAAGTGGATTATAATATTTAGGAATTTATGGCAGTAGTCAAATACACTAAACGCATGTTGATTCTAAATGTGGAGGGAAAAACCAGGAGACCTGGAGAAAAATCTATGCAGCGTGGACGTGTGGATTTGACGTCGTCACGACGGCCGAAGAGTTGGGCCCCCGGCAGTGTGGCGTTTCCCCGTGTCACGGTCCAAATGTTGCCAAATTTGAATCAAAAATCAAATCACACCACAAATTGCTCAGCTGGGAGAAAATACGGAGCAACGTCGCCTGTCTGTTGAGAAAAACTGACAGGACCCTCCTATGAAAGAGTCCCGAGACTCGGCGAGACTTTCCTGGGTGAAACGAGCACAGTAACAACCACGACGGTAACTGGCAGTGAGCAACCGAGCTACTGCGAGAGACGGAGACCCACCATCGGCCGCCCTTTTTATCGAGCCTCTCTCCTTAACGAGGCCCGCGCACACGAGGGACCGCGGTGTCCGCCAACGCTTAATTGTTTTAACGAGCCGCTAAACCCACCGGCGAGCGGCCCTGTCCCCCGCTCCCCCCCACCACCCCCTCGCCCCCCACCCCTGCCCCCCCCCACCTCCGTCCCCCGCCAGTTTATGCTGGCAGGTGTGAGCTGCCGGGTTCGGCCATTTGCGCCTGGCTCGCTAACGCGTGTCAATTAGTGCTTCCTGTGTGGCGTCGCCAGTGGCCGAGCCGGTGCCGGGGAACGTGTGCCGGCGCGTCGCACCGTCACGGTGAAGCTCGACTGTGATTGGACGGCATGGACGGGTAACACCGTCAAGGTGAAGCTCCTACTGTGATTGGACGGGACGGACGGGTAACACCATTACCATGAAGCTCGACTCAGATTGGACGGGATGCACAGGAGACACAACCAATTAAAAACTATCACATGACAACCCATTCCAGAAAATTCTAGGAAGATCAATTACTATTATAATTATTATTTTTAAGCTTGTTAGCCAGGAAAGCCTCATTGAGTCTCAAGACCCAAGATTCAATGAGGGCCCTGCCAGTTTGTCTCAGTAGGGGGCGATGTTGCTGCTGCGTGTGGTGATTCCACAGTTTCGTGATTTGTAGGTAATTTTTGCAGCAATGGGATGTTTGGCCGATAGCGGCTGTGTGCGGTTGTTATTTAGCTATGGGAGAAGGAAACCGGGAGAAAACCCATGCAAAACAGGGGGAGAGAATACAGACTCCACTTGGTCATGGCGACATCACCACCGGACTCGCGCCAGACTAGGTGCATTTTGAGGTCACATTAAACACAAATGCACACACATTCACATAGATGCATAACCTGACATGCAGACAGGAAGACACCACACAAACACAAAGATCCCCCATATAGCCTTAACAGAATGTTGGGGCAAGTGCTGTTAGCGAGAATCTATGAAGGCCGACATGACACACAAGGGTGTGTGTGGCCAGCACCACGCCCGGCCGCCTTTGTCTCCCCAGTGATGATCTTTGCACATTACAGCAGGTACTCATTAAAGGCTAAACTGAGGGGCGGTCCAGGACTGCTTCAGATAATCGTCACTCCTCTTATTGCTCGACAGCGGGAATCGAACTCGCGATGCCAGGTTCGTAGCGCAGTGCGTTACCCACTGCACTACCGCTCATAAACATAAAACAAAGGTTCATCAGCAGGCTATTGGGGCAAGTGCTGTTAACAAGAACCAATGAAGGCCACCATAAACAGAGTCACACTGAAACACACAGCCTCACATACACACACAGTGCCACCAACACAATCCCACACAGTCCCAACGACACGCAGGCACACCGACACACACAGGGCCGAGAGGTGAGAAAGTTTGAAAATTACCGACCGGGACGCGGCGCTATCACTTAGCGCTGGGGCGTTGGCCTTGCCGGAGCGCGACGCTGCGGCGGCGCCCCCCGCCGCCGACCCTCCACTGGCGCGTCTGTGCGTCCCCCCGGCGTGGGTTCGATCCCCGGCCCTGGCTGTCGCCGACGAAGTCGCGGCGGCGGCGGCGGCGGCGGCGGCGCCCTTCCCGGCGACGGCGCCCCCCGCCGTGGCGCCGGAGGCCGCGGCTGCCCCGCTGGCCCCCTCGTCGTCGCTTCCCCCGAAACTGGTGATGAAGGTGATCTGGCCGAGACGGTCGCGCGACGCGCAGCACGAGCGCGAGCTCGAGCTGCTGCGCGAGCGCGACCTGTGGCGGCGCGCGGAGACACGCAAAGACACGCGTGGTCACACGGAGACACGCAAAGACACGCGTGGTCACACGGAGACACGCAAAGACACGCGTGGTCACACGGAGACACGCAAAGACACGCGTGGTCACACGGAGACACGCGCACGGGGACACGCGCACGGGGACACGCGCGCGGGGACACGCATGGTCACGCGGAGACGCACGCGGAGACGCACGCGGAGACAGGGAGATGCACGCGGAGACACAGAGACGCGCGCGGTCACACGGAGACACGCAGATACAAACATCCACCGTGTAGCCTTTAACAGAGTTGTTGGGGCAAGTGCTGTTAGCGAGTCGCACCTATGAAGGCCGGCACAGTGCTTGACGGGAGTGGACGATGATCTGCTGTGGGTTAGTGAGTCTTTCCACAGCCTCCACCCCCCTCTCTTAAATTAAGCAAATCACCGGCGAAAAAGTGTGGAGGCGGGGGAGGTATGGAGTGGTTTTTACTTCCACATTTCGAATCAACACGCGTTTCGATTATTTGCCTGCTACTATAAATTCCAACATGATTATAAGCCACTGTGTTGAGCTATCATTTGTGGCCAGGTCTCTTAGAAAAAGAGCTGCTACTCTAAAAATATTTGCACATTATAGTTTTGTATAGCCCTGTGCACGAGTTGGGTCAATGTTAGCATGTTTGCTGGGTGCGTGCTATTCTATCCCTGCGTATCACGCAATGCGTTCAGGAGTTTCATGCCAATGTCGAGGCCTGATAGCAACGAGAGGCTTCGGGAGCGAGTGCCTTTGATTGTGCTGTCCCCCTCCGTTGAAGGAGCGCAGACCACAATGGGTTTACGGTTCATAGTTTAGGTTGTATGGCCACAGTAAGACTACTGTCGCTTGTCTTTAATGTATCTCTACGTTTCTCTGTGTCTCTATCTCTGTGGGTCTCCTGTGTGTCTCCACGTGTCTCGGGGTTTACTAGACGGTCCCTAGTTTGGGTTGCATGGCCACAATCGCACGACAGTGGCTTGCCTTTAATTTTCCATTCGTGAAGATGTGCAATGAAAAAGGGCCATTGCACGAATCGTCACCTATTATAAATAAAAAAACATATCTAATTTTTTGTTTAGGCAAATCATTATAAGCCCAGCCATTGCCGTTCCTGTTCGGCTTCCGACTTCCCTGCGCCCACGACCAAACCACGGAAGCCCAGCAGGGTTGAGGCTGGACAGCGCTTGGGTGCGTAACGGCCGTAACGAGTGGATGCGCACGCCGGTACCTTTTGTAGGGGTCATAGGTCGGGCTGTCCCTCCTCGCGTAGCTGCAACACAGAACAAGGTGGACGCGTCACGACCGGAGGCACGGGGGATCCGCCGCCAACCCCCCACCCCCCGTCTGAACGAGGGGGTCCACCTGGTGAGGGGGGGGGGGGTGGTTCGCGGGGCCCCCTTAAAGCCGCCACAACCGCCCACGTCGCCAGAGCGGGGTTCAGGAGAATCGTGGGAGGGTGTCCAAAGGGGTCGCAGCACCAAGGGACAATGGCGGAGCTATCGAGTAGTGTGCAGGCGGTGCAACGGCACCAACGAGAGTGGGGGGGGGGCGTGTGTCCCGGCCACTGGGCTACGAAGAGGGGTGGGGATGGGGGGAGAGGGGTGGGGATGGGGGCCATGGTATGGGGGGGGGGGGCGAGTGGTCGTGGAGGGTCCTGGCAGTGTCAGCTTTGGCGGCGTGGGCGTTTGCCTCCCGGGCGTCCCGGCTGGAATGAATCACTGAGACTCGGGGGGGGGGGGAGGGAGGGATGTGGGGGTGGCGGTAACGGCAAATCGTCGTGGTTTGGCGTCTGCGATTGGTGGGTCGCGCGTCACGTGAACTGCCCATGGAACGCCGGGCAGCAGCGGCTTAACAAAGATGGCGGTGGATGTGCATCGAGACCGGGGAGGAGGTGGAGCGTGCGGGGAGACGATGAGGAGGAGAGGGGTTACCTGGGAGGGCTAATCTTCCTCTCCTTCAGCCGTTTCTCCCGGAACTCGCGTCGCTGACGGCGCGACTTCCGGCCCTGCGCGCACGGAGCATCCCAACTCTTACAGCGATTCAGCTTGGCAGCCAGACCACTCGCTCACTTACCACTCGCTCACCCACCGCTCGCCCACAAACCGCTCCCTCACCCACCGCTCGCTCACACCTCGGTGGACTGGTCGAGACCAGACTCACAGAGCGCTCACTCTCCACCCTCTCGACTCCCCCCACTCTCGACTCACCGAGTACATAGACTTCTCCTCTTCGAGGGCCTTCGCGTACTTAATGGCCTCAATTTCATCCTTGTCCTTCCGGAGCATCCTGCGGTGAAGCATCATGACGGGGTGGGGGTGGGGCATTAACGGGAGGACACTAACAGGGGGGGGGGGGGCAATTTTTGGGGGGGCTCTAACGGGCGCAAACAGATCTCCTACAAGCCAGCTGCTCGGGCCAAACGAGAGGTGCCAGTGCAGAGATCTTCTTCTTTCTTCTCGTACGGCTGATATAGACGCAGAGCACCAACTACAATCTCACATTCGGGTGGTCAAGCCAGAAAACGGCGTCACGAGCGGCGGAGTGTATTACCGTCGCTGTGATGTGTCCTTCGTATTTGTGGAACTGGGCATTGTGTCGTTATGTTGTATGGTCTGTTCTGGATGACCATAGTCGCAGCACTGTTGGAGAGTTTTTAATTTTCCATTTGTTCATCAGGTATCCACATCTGCCATGTATGTATGTACGTTGAACGTGTTTCGCACCGTACGTAGCCAACCGTGCTAATCGGTGGTGTGGAATCAGAGGTGCGGTTTGTGCAGCATGGATGCGGTTTAGGGTGGGACCATTAGCTTCTTAGAAGATCAAAACCCTCACGAGTGAGGATCGAGTGAGAGGTAAACGCAAGGTGATAGCGGATCGCTCACCGCTCCCTGTGCAGGGTTCGCAGTTCGAATCGAATTTTAAACTAAACTATTTTAATTTTACCAGGTAAGGGCCATTGAGCAGTCCCCAGGTTAAGGAAGACCCGACTTACGGAAATACGACTTTACAGAAATGCTCCCATAAATCATGTAAAAAAAAAATTCAATACTGGATGCATAAATGTTTGCAAATAGTGCAGAGCAGTGAGGTTGAGGATGAAGCGTAAAGCGGGGCCGCATGTTCCCCAAGGCGGTGGTGTACTGTATAGCACTCACGCTGTTACATTGTTACCGTGAGTATACTGTAGCCGCCACATCGTCTCGTAACTTTAGTGTAATATTACCCTTAATTGCATTGCAACAATGACTGGAAAGCGACCAAGTGCTTGCAAGAGTGCAGGACCTGTTCGTAAGCGTAAATTGATTAATTTAGAGCATAAACGCCGCCTTCACAACCAAAATTCCGCCTTCACCCGAGCTTCACGAGGATTCAGGTAAATGTAATTTCCTGTAGCGTTGCATAATCCTTTTCCTCTTGTAGCATTACGTTATTGTTTTTTTCTATGCTTCGTGTATTCATAAACAATTGGACAGTACAGTATATGTTACATTAGTTTAAGCAAGGATAGTGTTAGGGTATATATTCGATCAAACGAAAGAATCAAAGGAAGTGCAGAGTTTGCGTACAGCAATACGATATGAGTAGCAAGAAAGAACGCACGACAGTGTGATACAGTACCAACTATTTCCGGATATGTGATTTTATCTTGATTTTGTGGGGAAATTGCTCGGTTTCCGACATACGGAAAATTACATTTACAGATATTTATCGGGAACCTAACCGTTCCGTAACCCTGGGACTGTGTGTACAGTTATTTTTCAGAAGGGACGTGGCTATCACAAATCACAGCTTAAGGAAGTGGCTTACAGCAGCAGCCAAATAGTCTAAAGGTGTGATGTTGATTCTAAATGTGGAGGGAACCGGAGGAAAAATCCCTGCGAGCACGGGGAGAGAGAGAGAGAGAGAGACACCCAAACTCCAAATATACAGCAGGCATCAGGGTCGGGATCGAACCCACGACTTTCTTGTATACCAGGCGAGGTAGTTAACATATCGCCACCCTGGCACGTTGACTGGTTAACACCGGGTGCGTGTCATCAACCCGTCACGGAGCAGAAAGCGACAGTGTTAAGAACCTGGCAACCAGAGTTCGATTTCCACCCACGGCAAACACCAGTGACGATTATCTGAACCAGTCCTGGGCCTCCACTAGGTCGACTCGGCCTCAAATGAGTACCTGGTGCGGTGTGTAAATATCATCACTGGGGAGACCAAGGCGGCCGGGCGTGATGCTGGCCACCGACCCCCTCATGTGCCGTGCCGGCCTTCATAGGTGCAACTCGCTAATGGCACTTGCCCCAATAGTCTGTTAAGGCTACAGGGGGATCTTTGTCTTTGGTGGGGTGTGGGGGCCTCACCGGACGTAGTCGGCGTCACTCATGCCGTAGTTGGTGGCGCATTTGTTCATCTCGGCGATCTGCTCGGCGTTCAGCTCATCGATGTCCACCTCCACGTCTAGCGGGTGGGACGCGCACGGGGCGAGACAGCCACAACTCACGCACTAACGCACATGCGGTACGCACAACACCCACAAAGACACGCACGCGCCACACACACCGCACACACCACCCCACAAAGACACGCACGCACCGCACGCACCACATGCACACCCCTCACAGAGACACACACACACCACACACGCGCCACACGCACCACCCCACAAAAACACGCAAACACTACATGCGCATGCAGACACCACACGCACCGCATGCACACCACCCACAAAGACACGCATACACCGCACGCACGACCCTACAAAGACACGAATGGAAAAATCCCCTCCAACCGTACCGATGTCGGGGATGGTTCCGTCGGACTCGCTGCTGCTGCTGTCTCCATCGCCACCATTGTCCCCGGCCCCCTCCTCGTCCTCCTCTTCCTCCTCCTCTTCGTCGTCGTCGTCCTCCTTCTCCTCGTTGCCGCCACCATCTTTATCAGCTCCCTCCCCGTGCTCTTCCGCTCCGCGCGCTCCGGGGCCGTGGCTGCTGCTGCTGCTGTTGTTGTTGTTGTTGCCGTGGGACGAGGAGGCGGCGGCGGCGGTGGCCGTGGAGGAGGAGGAGGGGATGGCGTCATCGGGGGCGACCACCGGGGAGGAATCCTCGTAAGTGTAGCCGATGGTTGCGCGCTTCTCCGCCAGCCTGCCACGAGCGCACACAAAAGACAAAGGTCCCCTGTGTAGCCTCGACAGACTGCTGAAGGCGAGTAGGGCGCCAAGGTGGCGAAATCTTAACATTGTGGGTTCGATCCCGACGCCTGTATATTTGGAGTCTGCATGTTCTCTCCCACCGTGGTTACGTGGATTTTTCTCCAGGTCCTCCTGTTGTTCCCTCCACATTTACAAACATGCGTTTAAGAGTATTTGGCTGCTATAAGTTCCACATGATAAGCCACTTCGCTGAGCTGTGGCTAGGTCATTTCTGAAAAAGAGCAAAATAGCTCACTGGACATGACCTGGTAAAATACAAAATAGTTCAGAAGTAGCAATGCCGTTAGTGAGCAGCGCCTATGAAGGCCGGCGCGGCAAATGTGGGGGGTTGGCAGCACCGCCACGCCCGGCCACAGTTATCGCCCCAGTGACGATGGTGACATCGCTCCGGGTACTCTCTTGAGGCCGAGTTGACCTAGGGGAGGCCCAGTACCGGTTCAGACAATCCGTCGCAGGCATTAGCCGTGAGCGTAAATCGAACTCGGGTTACCGGGGTTAATAGCGCAACGGCACTAACCGCTGCGCTGCCGCTCCCCTGCCACATGCACATGCACAGGGAGGGAGCCTATGGCTGGACACGGCAGGCCCGAGCACACAGGAGGCCTACCAAGGGCTTTGTTTATATCTGCGACTCGTAACCACTGCTACAACGAGAGCAATGCGCCAGCTATACCGGATGTGATGTGGCGAATCCATTCTGCGGTTGCCAGCCCTCCAGCAACAGCGGAAGGACAGAGCAGCGACACTCACAACAACGTGCTCCCCAGTGGGGAGGCAAAAGTGGTGCATATCTCCCAGTCATCGCAGTCGGTCAACCCATGGAAGCATGACCTCCTGCCGGCAGCGAGCCTTCCCCATTTCGCGGGATGGCCTCAGGAGTGCACCTAGCCTGGCACATGCGCCGTGGTGACGTCACCGCAACTAAGCGGCGAAAAGCGGTTGTGTTTGTTGTTGTTGTTGTGGGTTACCCGCACCTCCGATTAACGCAGTTGGCTACGTACGGTGCAAACGAAATTCAACATACAGTCTGTTCTCCTATAAGACGTGTTTTATAATGCAAATTTAATACAACGCGATTGAGTGCGCGAGTAGGAATAAGCGGCCGTACAGCTTCCTCGGTGTAGCATCACACAAGGCATTGGGATGCTGCTGGATGCTTCTAGATGCTACCCAAGCGCCTCAGCCTTAGTTCGTCCTGCGTACGCATCTCAAAAATTATCACGGACTGCGCATTACCCCCAAATATTATTTCTAATTCATGACAACGCGATTTTTTTACATAACGCGGTGTTCTTCAGGAACGCTACTACAGCGTTATAGGAAAACAGACTTTACATATGTACATACCAAAGTATCCGAGAGTCCAAATTGGGTCCTCGGTAACGAGAAGACTCTACACAGTGCCGGGCCAGCCTCAACCCTGACCCCGCGGTGACAGCGCGAGCGCATCAGCCATTCCTGTTGCCCTGGGCCTAGGCGGGTGGAGACGGCGCGCGGAGCAGCAGCAGCGAGCGACTAAGTCACTGCCGCTTGCCCATTAAAGCGAGGCGGAACACGGGGCGGCGATGTTACGGTGTGGGAAAAAAGTATTTGATCCCCTGCTATTTTGTACGTTTGCCCACTGACAAAGAAATGATCAGTCTATAATTTTAATGGTAGGTTTATTTGAACAGTGAGAGACAGAATAACAACAAAAAAATCCAAAAAAAACGCATGTCAAAAATTTTATAAATTGATTTGCATCTAATGAGGGAAATAAGTATTTGACCCCCTCTCAATCAGGAAGATTTCAGGCTCCCAGGTGTCTTTTATACAGGTAACGAGCTGAGATTAGGAGCACACTCTTAAAGCGAGTGCTCCTAATCTCTGCTTGTTACCTGTATAAAAGACATCTGTCAACAGAAGCAATCAATCAGATTCCAAACTCTCCACCATGAACAGGATCAAAGAGCTCTCCAAGGATGTCAGGGACAAGATTGTAGACCTACACAAGGCTGGAATGGGCTACAAGGCCAATGCCAAGCAGCTTGGTGAGAAGGTGACAACAGTTGGTGCGATTATTCGCAAATGGAAGAAACACAAAAGAACTGTCAATCTCCCTCGGCCTGGGGCTCCATGCAAGATCTCACCTCGTGGAGTTGCAATGATAATGAGAACGGTGAGGAATCAGCCCAGAACTACACGGGAGGATCTTGTCAATGATCTCAAGGCAGCTGGGACCATAGTCACCAAGAAAACAATTGGTAACACACTACGCCGTGAAGGACTGAAATCCTGCAGCGCCCGCAAGGTCCCCCTGCTCAAGAAAGCACATATACATGCCCGACTGAAGTTTGCCAATGAACATCTGAATGATTCAGAGGACAACTGGGTGAAAGTGTTGTGGTCAGATGGAACCAAAATGGAGCTCTTTGGCATCAACTCAACTCGCTGTGTTTGGAGGAGGAGGAATGCTGCCTATGACCCCAAGAACACCATCCCCACCGTCAAACATGGAGGTGGAAACATTATGCTTTAGGGGTCTTTTTCTGCTAAGGGGACAGGACAACTTCACCGCATCAAAGGGACGATGGACGGGGCCATCTACCGTCAAATCTTGGGTGAGAACCTCCTTCCCTCAGCCAGGGCATTGAAAATGGGTCGTGGATGGGTATTCCAGCATGACAATGACCCAAAACACACGGCCAAGGCAACAAAGGAGTGGCTCAAGAAGAAGCACATTAAGGTCCTGGAGTGGCCTAGCCAGACTCCAGACCTTAATCCCTTAGACAATCTGTGGAGGAAGCTGAAGGTACGAGTTGCCAAACGTCAGCCTCGAAACCTTAATGACTGGGAGAAGATCTGCAAAGAGGAGTGGGACAAAATCCCTCCTGAGATGCGTGCAAACCTGATGGCCAACTACAAGAAACGTCTGACCTCTGTGATTGCCAACATGGGTTTTGCCACCAAGTACTAAGTCATGTTTTGCAGAGGGGTCAAATACTTATTTCCCTCATTAAAATGCAAATCAATTTATAACATTTTCGACATGCGTTTTTCTGGATATTTTGTTGTTATTCTGTCTCTCACTGTTCAAATAAACCTACCATTAAAATTATATACTGATCATTTCTTTGTCAGTGGGCAAACGTACAAAATCAGCAGGGGATCAAATACTTTTTTTCCCTCACTGTAGCGGCCGTTAATGTTTAACGGGGTCGTGGTTGTGGGCGGCTGCATGTCTGTACGGTGGAACTTCTTTCGCGCCGTACGTAGCCAGTCACGCTAATCGGAAGTGGAGGGTAGTGGGGGGGGGTGGGGGGTGCCGTACTTTTTCTTCTCCTCCTCCAGGATGCGGGGGTTGGTGGCCGTGCCGTACAGCTCATCCATGTAGATCTGGTAGAGGCACTGCTCCTCCGAGACTGCCGTGGCGACACAAAGACAAAGGCAACGCCGGTGTAGCCTTTTAAAACTGCTATTTCGGGGCAAGTGCTGGCACAGCAGTAGCAGCAGCCGCCATTCACGGCGACGTCACAGAAACGCTCGAGCCAGGCTAGATGTACTTTAGGCCGTGTGAAGTGTAACAGGCTTGCTGGCAGGAGGTTCACGGGACAGACCTAGGGGGTATGTTATGGGTTAACATGTGACGCACGAAGAAGACACGCAACAGACGCACGCACGGGACACGCGACGCACGCAATAGTCACGTGACACGCAATCGCGTGAGACATGGGGCAGATGCGCAAACCCACGCATGACACCAACGCAACATACGCACACACAGACAGCAGACACGGCAAACACACGCGAGACACACGCGCACTCGTGTACATGTGCACTCCCATGAGCTTTAAGGCAACACTGTTACACGCATTAGTTTGTGTTTTGTTCGTCTTTGATGTGGGGGAGCAGTGGTGCAGTGGTTAATGCATTGCGATACGAAACCGGTCCTGGACCTCTCCTAGGTTTACTCAGCCTTAAACAAGTATCTGATGTGGTGTGTAAATATTAGCAATGGGGAAACAAAGGCGCCCGGGCGTGGTGCTGGCCACCCGCTCCCTCGTGTGCCATGCTGGCCTTCATAGGTGCTCGCTAACAGCACTTGCCCCAACAGTCTGTTCAGGCTATTCGGAGGATCGTTGTCTTTCGCACGTACACGTGTGCATGCGTGTGTGCGTGCATGTGTGTGTGCGTGGCAATCACTCACTTCCCGCGAACTCATTCTGCACGAGGCAGCGGTAGCGCTCGTAGTTGCACCGGCGCTCATCCCCATCCTCCCAGACGCTGCAGAGCACCACGCACGCACACACAAAGTAAAATATCTAGTGGCGATGCTTTTACGCACCACACCAGGTACTCAATTGAGGCTGAGTCGACCTAGGGGAGGCCCATGACCAGTTCAGATAATCGTTACCGGTGTTGGCTGTGAGCAGGAATCGAACTCGAGTCGCCAGGTTCGTAGTGTTGCCCGCTAACCGCTAAACTAATGCTCAGAAGGACACACAAGCAAGCACACACACATGGCTACACACACGCACACACAAGCGCGCCCACACGCACGCGCATATGCACATACGGGGTTAGCACACACGTACTCTGCTCGCTCAATGTCCACTCCTGGTCCCTTGGGTTCTCACCTGGTTAAACAAGATTAATTTAATCTCAGCCACTCAAATACTCACTCACTCGTTTACTCATTCACCCAACAATCCACCCAGCCACTCAACCACCCAGTCATAAACTCACTCATTTACCCAACCATCCACCCAGCCACACAACCACTCACTCAATCACTTATTCACCCACCCACTCATTCAACCGACCATTCACTCCACCACCAACTCATTCACTCACTCACTTACCTAACCATCCATCCAGCCACTCAACCACTCACTCACTCAACCACTCATTCACCTACCCACTCACTGACTCAACCAACCATCCACTGAACCACCAACTCATTCACTCATTCATTCACCCAACCATCCATCAAGGCACTCAACCACTCACTCAACCAGCCATGCATCCAACCACTAAACCACTCAATCACCCACCCACTCACTCACCCAACCTTCCATGCAGCCACTCACTACTCTTGCAAACGGTAATGTCCAGCCGGTCGGCAAACCAAACCGCCCAGGGGGGGTGGAACGCAACGGAAGCAGTTGGTCACCTGTCACCGGCAGCCAGGCCCTTGAACTCGGGGATGAAGTCCAGGTGAGCTCTCACGTCGAACCTGTCAATCATGTTGTTTGAGTCTCCCTGCCAGGGCATCCTGCGGAGACATAAGACAGGGCACATCACCCAGGGGCTCCCTCCCGGACCCTAAACTAAATCTGTAAACTGTTTTTATTTGACCAGGTCAGGCCGACGAAGCTACATAGCTTAATTTTCGGAAGCGACTTGGCTTTCACAAATGATAGCTCAATGCAGTGGCTTATCATGTGGATATTTATAGCAGCCAAATACTATAAATGCACATTGGTTCTAAATGTCGAGGGAAAAACCTGAGAAAAATACACGCGACCATGGGAAGAGAGATACCGCAAACTCCAAATACACAGCAGGCGTCAGGATGGCGATCGGACCCACGACCCCCTGCATACCCGGCAGGGGAGATAACATCTCCACGCCGGCACGGTCGCTCGCGCATTGGCAAGGTGGGGGAGCGAGGACGGTGAGGAGGTGGGAGCAGGAGCGGTCGTTGCGCTGCGGCGTCGAAACATTGGGAGCAGCCGGTGGTGCGGGGGTCAACAGCCCTGGCTGGGAGCCCCGCCGCCCACATGCAGGCCCCACGCGACCGCCGAATTATCATCAAATTAGCGCCGTGACATTTGGAGCGAACCTCCCATCTGTCTGCTCCGAGCGCCGCTGCCACCGCGACATCGCAACCACCACGTGGCTCCCCGCGGGACCCGACAGCAACGTGCGTGGGCGACTGTCTGCCTCCCTCCCTCCACTCTCTCCATACCTCCCTCCACTCTCTCCATACCTCCCTCCACGCTGCCCTGCCTCGCTCCTTGCCTCCCTCCCTCCTTAGCTCCCTCCCTACTACACTCCCTCCCTCCTTAGCTCCCTCCCTACTACACTCCCTCCCTACTACACTCCCTCTCTCCTTAGCTCCCTCCCTACTACACTCCCTCCCTCCTTAGCTCCCTCCCTACTACACTCCCTCCCTACTACACTCCCTCCCTACTACACTCCCTCCCTCCTTAGCTCCCTCCCTACTACACTCCCTCCCTCCTTAGCTCCCTCCCTACTACACTCCCTCCCTCCTTAGCTCCCTCCCTACTACACTCCCTCCCTCCTTAGCTCCCTCCCTCCTTAGCTCCCTCCCTCCTTAGCTCTCTCCCTCCTCCTTAGCTCCCTCCCTACTACACTCCCTCCCTACTACACTTCCTCCCTCCTTAGCTCCCTCCCTACTACACTCCCTCCCTACTACACTTCCTCCCTCCTTAGCTCCCTCCCTCCTTACTACACTCCCTACTACACTCCCTCCCTCCTTAGCTCCCTCCATTACCCCCGTATCTCTCTCCTAAGTGTGCTAGGAGCGTGCGTGGGGGTGCATACAGTGAGATGGGATGGTGTGATAGGCGAGCGAGTAGAGTAAGACGGGGTGGTGAGTGTGGTAGGAGAGTGAGTGGAGGTGAGTGGAGGTGAGTAGAGCAACTGACATGTTCACCGGGCTCTCTGCCGCCACGGCCACAGCTGGATCCAGGTTCACCCTGTAGGACCGGCCATGCACCTGCAGGAACTGTGCCGGGTCTTTTTTCTGTGCCGTGAAGGAGCATGGGGGGGGGGGAATGGGGTGGGGGGACAGTTTGGCAGAACAAAAATGCATAACAGTTGATTCACCAACATCCATTATCAGCCATGATTATGGGTCGGCAACCAAAATAACAAGAGGGGACATTTTTTTTTTAATTTCAAGAGCCGAACTGCAGTCCTTAGAGAGCCACCGCAAGCAGCTCCAGAGCCGCAGGTTGACGACCCCTGGCCATGATCGACCCACTGCTGGATGGAGGCACATCCGAGAGCCGCCACCATCTATCGCCACCCCGTGATACTGTCGAGGCGATCCAATAGCAATGACGCCAGGCTGCACACAAGGCCTGTAACCCAGCACTGTGCGCAGCATGACAGTGAGCGGAGATGGTCGCTCACTCACGTGGTCACGCGATGACTCAGGAGGCGCGAGGAAAAACCACTGGCACACAGAATGGCAGCAAAGTGATCATCCGGACTCAACAATTGCCCAAACTCTGCGGTCCTCTGTATATTAAGGATCTGTCGGTCAACTCATGAGTGTTTACACGTTGGAGGAAACCGGATTACCCAAAGAATACCCACGCATGTGAGGTGGAAACACTATCGCATAGACTATTATAACGGTTGGCTACGTATGGTGCGAAAGAAGTTCAACATACAAAAATACATACAGATGGGAGCCCACATTTTTGCTAAAATGTCTTATGCCGGCAAGCCAGGGTATGGCTCCTCCTCGCCGCCCGCCCACAGGAAAGGAGGAAGTTCCACAACATAATCTCTGTGTGATCCACCAACCCTCGCTGCTCCCTTCACAGTGCGAATTACAAGCAGCCAGGTGCAGCACAGCGACCACTACCTGACCAATGGGCGATGAGTGACCGGCAGGCACAAACAGGTTGTCACAGGAGGCTTACGGGGCGACACAGTGGGCAGCAAAATCAGAATCTTTATTTGTCTTGGAGAAATCCGATGAGCTACGAAGCTCTTTTTCACACATGTCCAGTAGTTTCACAAGTGCCCCCTCCCCCTCATCCCCCCTCCTGGCTTCTGCCCCTCACCGATCCCCTTTGTCTTCCCAATGCAATGATGCCAGATTATTTTTCAGCCCCCCACCACAGCTACAACGAGGCCTATACCAACCCCTCATCAATCCCTTTTGTTTCAACTGCATAAAAACTATACCGCCACTTACAATACCCCAATTCTTCATTTCAAATAATTATCATCCTATGTACAATTTTATTATTGCCGTAAAGTGCCTTGGGAAAAGCGCTATATGAATCTCAAAAAGATAAAGGAAGCGCAGTAACATTCACCGCTGTACATATGTATTCGATGAGCTACGAAGCTATTTTTCACACCTGTCCAGTCGCTTCACAGCTTGACAAACACTGCGCACCAGCACTCAGCTCTGCCAGTCCTGGGCCTTTCTGCTCAGGAGCGTCACGATGGCGCCCTCTGGCGAGAGCACTGTGGCGCTACTGCCCTACACGTGAACGCGTCTCCCGCCACGAGGTGAGGTGGACTGTGGGAAATGGCACGACAGATACATCGCCGAGCGTGATGCAATGTAGGAGCCGGCACTACAGGAACATCACAGAGTGTGATGCATTCTGGGAACCGGCACTACAGCTACATCACCATGTGATGCATTGTGGGAGCCGCGACAGATTCAGCGATAAAACGCACCACGTTCGCCACGAGTCCGCCCATGAGAATGCCCTCTGGGGACGCTGCAGAAATTCCACTGTGCGTCCCCGCACATAGAGCCAAGTGGGATTTGGGTACTAGACCGTGCACTTCCCAGTGCATCGACTGCTTACGCTCTGTGCGATTCCCGTCGTTTAAAAAACTCAACTGCTTTATTTTACCAGGTAAGGCCCACTGAGCGATGTAGCTCTTTTTCAGAAGCGGCCTGGCCACAAATGACAGCACAACGAATTGGTTTATCATGCGGAAATTTATAGCAGCCAAATACCCTAAACGCATGTTGATTAAAAATGTGGAGAGAAAAACCAGAGGACCCGGAGAAAAATTCACTGGAAGAACACGCAAACTCCGTATATACAGGCATCGTCAGGGTTGGGATCGAACCCACGAACACCTATACACTAGGCGAGGTAATCTAGAATTGAAGCTTTCGTGACTGCAGAAATTACTATACTCATTGGTTTTTCCGGTAAAGTCACGTGTGTGACTTTACATGAATCACGATGTTTCGAACGCAACACATCCCAACCCTGCCGGCTTTAAACCTCGCGACGCGCCCCGCTCAGACCCGGTCGCCGTAGCTCAACGGGGAAACCTCACAGCGACGAAGTGTGAAACCCCCCCCACCCCACAACACCGGCGCTGACACTCACGATCTTCTCGTAGTACTCGCGCCGGCGCTCGACGCGCTTCTTGTAGTCCACCATCATGCCACGCAGCTTGCGCTCCTGCTTGCGCGCCTCGTGCCACATGGTCGCGGTCGTGGGGGAGGCGCCGCCGGTGGGGGTGGCGGCAGCAGCAGCACCACAGAGGAAAGGGGGAGCTGCCCCGCCGGAGATGGACCGCCGTTGCTCTGCTCCGCGCGAGACCTATGGGTTATTGTGAGACCTGCAGACGAATACAGAGACACAAAGAATAAAACAGGGACCCATATACTAACACGCAGATCCATAGACTATTAGTTAAACTAACACCCAGACCCATAGACTAACACCGAGACCCGTAGGCTAAAACAGAGACCCATAGACTAACCTCACAAAGATTCCCCGTATAGCCGTAAGACGATTGTTAGGGAAAGCGCTGTTAGCGAGCACCTATGAAGGCCGGCACTGAGACACGAGAGGGGTGCCCAGCACCACGCCCGGCCGCCTTTGTCTCCCTCGTGACAATGTTTAGACACCGCACCAGTTACTCTTTTGAAACCCAATCGACCTAGGGGAGGCCCAGGGGCGCTTCAGATACTCGTCAGTGGTTGTTGGTGGCCGCGAGAGTGAATCGAACTCGGGTCGTCGGGTTCGTTGTGCAGCGTGCTAGTCACGACACTATTCAGGGCCAACGTGAGACACACAGATCTATGTTTAAACTGGGACCCGACCCTACATGCATACGCATAAGCGTAGATTGCGTTCCGCTTTCCAAAGTGCAGTGCGTTAACCACTGCGCCGCCGCTCCCACCCCCTTCTCTGCACCAGCCCTCATCAGTCCACACCTCACAGTCGACACAAAGTATCAACAACAGCCAAAGGTCCCCCGCCGCATAGCCTTTAACAGGCTGTTGGGGCAAGCAGTGTTGGCGAGCACCTCTATGAAGGCCGGTAGGGCACACGAGGGGGTGGTGTGGTTAGCACCACGCCGGGCCGCCTTTGTCTCCCCAGCGCTGGTGCTTACACGACGCGTCAGAAACACGTCGCCGGTGTTGGCTGTGAGCGTGATTCCAACTCCCGTTTCACCGGGTTTGGAGCCAGTGCGCTAACCACTACGCCACCGCTCCCCGCCAACGACAGCCATCACCACTGTAAACATCACCTTTAATTATTTAACTACTAATTAATGTCGTCAGCCGCGGTCAATCCACTGCTGGATGAAAATCTGCCCACCTATCACGATCCTGCGATGTCAACAATTCATCCAGACCCAAAACTAATTTCATATTTCCCCAATACGACAAATCCACAATATTTCCCAGTGCGTACACAGTATTATTCACTTAAGAGTTGCTTCGGAGGTGGTACATGGTGAGCGCACTGTGCGACTTGCAATCCACACGGGGTAGAGTTCCCATCTCCCGGTGCGGCAGTGGAACTAGTACAGTTCAAGAATCCACAACTCGGTCTGTCCAATCTTGATTTGTCTGTCGAGCAGCAGAATTGTAAACAGCACGGTGATCTACGATCGGTAGGTAAGCGGCGTATCGTGAGGAAAGTCGTGGGTACTCTGACCTCTTCCAACGCAGTCTGGTGAGCGTGGAATCCTTTAGAGTCTAGAGCTGCCTCTAAGCGGAGGCCCCTTCCGCCAGCAGAGGCATTTCGATAGCAATTGCAAGGGGCGCCGCATGAAAATCCAATACAGGGCCTAGACTGCAGGCTTCTAAGCCTGAGGCCTAGCGCCGCTCACCTGTGCTTGCCCCGGGGAAGCGAGAGACGCGGGGGCCGCTATCCCCTCCCGGTCGCTTCTGCAGCCGCGAGGCCGGAACTCTGTGGGGGTCGCCCCCCCCCCACCACCCCTCTCCCGCTCGAGGCCTGGGACTCGCGCTCCTCGCACGCTCCTCGCACTCTCCCCCCGCGCTCTCCTCGCACTCTCTCGGAGTCTCGCGCTGCCATCCACCAATCACGAGGGAGAAACGGCGACCCCCCTCCGTGTTGTGAGGGCCAATCACGAGCCAGCACCGATCCCCGCCACCCCACCACCGCTCCGGACTTCGACAATTCCGGACAATCGACTCGCCGGACATTGCACTTTGCCGTACGAAGGTCTCTTCCCTCCCGGTTCATAAAAAAAAAACCTAACACATCTATATATAAAATTGGTGAAGATTCTGGCAATGGTCCTTCTCCATAGCACATATTCACAAATGGACAATTAAAAACAAGCCAGGCGTGCGATCGTGGCCATGCAACCCAAACTATGGACCGTCTAGTAAACCCAGAGACACGTGGAGACACACAGGAGACCCACAGATATAGAGACACAGAGAAACGTAGAGATACATTAAAGACAAGCGACAGTAGTCTTACTGTGGCCATACAACCTAAACTATGAACCGTAAGCCCATTGTGGTCTGCGCTCCTTCAACGGAGGGGGACAGCGCAATCAAAGGCACTCGCTCCCGAAGCCTCTCGTTGCTATCAGGCCTCGACATTGGCATGAAACTCCTGAACGCATTGCGTGATACGCAGGGATAAAATAGCACGCACCCAACTCGTACACAGGGCTATACAAAATAATGTGAAAGTATGTTTAGTTTAGCAGGTAAAACCCACTAAGCTCTGTAGCTCCTTTTCAGAAGAGACCTGGCCACCACAAATGAGAGCTAAACGTATTGGCTTATCATCATGTGCAAATTTAAAGCAGCCAAATACTATAAACGCGTGATGTTGATTCTAAACGTGGAGGGGAAAAATCGGACCCGGGGAAAAATCCACGCGACCACGGGGAGAGAGGGAGACACGCACACTCCAAATGTACAGCAGGCGTCAGGGTCGGAATCGAACCCACGATCTTCTGTATACCAAGCGAGGTAGTTAACATCTCGCCACCGCAACGCTGGTGGAAGTACACAAGCAACATATTATTCCGCTTGTTTGCCCAGGAAAGTCTCACCGAGTCTCGCGACTCATTGTCAGGAGGGAACTGCGCCATTTTCGCAGTAAGGGGAAAGCAGTGGTCAGGAAGGAGGCAGCGTGGCTGGGAGATGGTTACATGAAACAGCTACAGCAGGGGCGTAGTTGCTCATCTCTTAAAGCCAGTCGGGGGGGGAGGTGTGAGAGTGGAGGGGGAAGTGGGGATAGACATTTCACACCTCGATATCAAACATGAAGGTGTTAAACCAACCGAATTGCAGAACGGTCTCGATTAAAACAGCAACATTGTACCTGCATGCATGGATTCATATTGCTCCCATCATGAAGTGAAAAATCATAAGAGTGCAGTTGTTTTATTTTCCCTAAGTCAGACCTCCTATCAATCATTCTTATTGCTGCTAGTTTTTTAATCTTCAGAAAAGCCTTACTGAGTCTCAAGACTCTTTTACAAGAGGGTCCTGCCAGGTTCACAGTAATTTGAGCAATGTCACTGCTTTGTGTGATCCCTAATAAAGTAATTTTCAGTGTAATATTGCAGCATTGGGAATGTTTGGCCGATACCAGTTACATTGTGTGGTGGTTTTTTATTTAGCTACGATAACCAGAGAACATGGAAAAACCCATGCTGAACAGGGGGAGAGAACATGCAAACTCCACTCGCACTCACGCCCGAGTCAGGAATGAAATCAAGGTGATCTCCCAACATTGGGATCAAATAATTTAATTGACTCCAAGGTGACATCAATATAACTGCCAAAAGCCATAATTAGATTCCGGAAGAGAGAAAAAAACAATAAGCAAAGCACGCATTTAATTGTTAATAGCTCTTTATTTATAACTTTAGTTGTTCTGTATATGTTACTTAATAAATATTTAGTCAGGCTACGAAGCGTTAAAATTAATAAATGAGCCACTTCATAACCCAGCAATCGGGCATTACACAGAAAATACTTCACAGTAGTCCGAGCCAGCTGTGCCTTAAGTTTCAAACAACACACAAGAGACGCGTGTAAAAATCGCTCAGCCTTTGTGCGTTATGCAAAAAAACTCCCCAACGGTTCCTGAGGAACTGCACGGTGGTTCCTCTTGTCTTAGTTCACCATCAAAACAAATTTGAGCAAACATGTAACGACTGACGGGCAGCGGTGAGACAGATATAGACAACTATAGAACGGTATGTAGATCGGTTTCGTGTTTATTAGGACTCATCAGTCGCTATCTTGGCGAACAATCAGCGCGTGAACCCACGCACCCAGGCGCCAGTCCACGAGGGACACTGAAGCGAACCCAGACTATAGCCAGTCTGTTGCTGTCTCTCCGCACCCAGTCAGTTACTCTCTCCAGACACGGACCCACGGCCTGCAGTGTAGAATATTTGCTTCGTTATAAGCCTTGATGCCGGTATTCTTAAAATAATCTATTTTTTTATTTTACCAGGTAAGACCCACGGAGCTATGTAGCTATTTTTTAGAAGCGACCTGGCTACCACAAATGACAGCTCAACTAAGTCGTTTATCACGAAGAAATGTACAGCAGCCAAATATTCTAAACGCATGTTATAAATGTGGAGCGAAAAACTGGAGGACCCGGCGAAAAATTCACGCAACCACGAGGAGAGAAAACGCAATCTCCAAATATACAGGCGTCAGGATTGGGCAATCAAACTCCGATCTCCTGTATACCAGGCGAGGTAGTTAACATCTCCCAGCCACCGGTGGCGCCACCGTATTCTTAGTCACAGCTCGGCTCAGGCTTCGGCTCAACAGCCGCCTCCAAGCCCCTGTGCTTAATGTAATGCCGGCTCCAAGCATGGTCCCAGCCATGCTCGAGATTTTCCAGGAACCCGAGCTGTGCCACAGCTAAGTAGCTCACTCGCGTCACGCAAACTCCCTCCGGTCATCCTCGCAGCAACGGCTTTTGTTTGGCCTTTGAACAAAGACGGTCACCGCATCGCGTGAAAAATGAATTAAATGAAATGAAAGATGCGCTTCTGCGGACGTCTATAACGCTCCTCCTTCCGAGATTAGGAAGTCACTATGCACTTTTAAATCTAAATTGAAAAATTATTTTTAGAGAACTGTTTTTTGCATTTAATTAATCGTCCTTCCCCCGCACCTCCGCTTAGCGTACGGTGCGAAATTTGTTCAACTTACGTCCATCCATGCCTCTTTGGAAGCAACTGAGCAGCTCAAGCCTGAGCTGGAGTGTAAAAGATTCCGAGACAGAGCCGAGCCGCGGCTGTGAATGCGGCCATTAGCAGCAGCCGCCACTGCCAATGAGTCACTGAATGTCAAAACCGATCCAGGGTGAATGAAAAGCAATCCTGCCGAAAAAATACACTCTTAGTAGGTCGTGCGGCTGAAGGGGATGTACAAAATAAATATTTTTGTGTTCTTACGTGGAGAGACGGATAGATAGCGGGGTATGGTCTGCTTCTGTTGTAGTTTTTTAGACATGTTCACTACTGCATTGCACGTAAAGAATCAAGTGTTGTTTTAATATAATTAAATTCGATTATAAAAGACGTCTCTGCCTGTTGACATCCCAGGAAGCGAGTTTGGCTGACAAAAAATTGGCTGCGGCGTTTTGGACATCTCTTGCTCCGAATCGGTTGGCACTAAACTCTGATCTCACCCTTGCTTGCAGGAGTGGTCTTCACTGCAATGGTTTCCTCGCCTGGTAAAATAAATAAATGCAATGTTTTCATTGACGGCTCGGGGTTTACACGGACGATTCGTGCGTGGAATACATATAGCAAGGGTGATCCGTTTATAGATACCCCTACTAAATATAATAGGGAGATAGTTGAGAGAAAACTGAATGTTATTTTCAAACGCTCTACATGCACCATCTCCCCCCACCAAATAGCAATACACTTATTCAAAAGTTGTCACGCTTTCACAATATTCAATCAGCCGTTGAGAACCGAGGACCATTAGAAATCAGTGGGGTATCTATAAATGGATCGCCCTGTACAGTTTATTGCATTAAAAAAACTCAATGCGTTCGTAAACTACACTGGCTTTGTGTAATAGGCGACGTTTCGGGAAATGCTCCCCCCCCCCCCAATTGCACATGGCCTGAAACGTCATGGATATTGTCCTTTAAAGGGGCTACAGCAAATTCCGAACGTGGTTTTGTTGTCGTCGTTTGTGCCCCGCTGCGTAGACGCAGCAGCAGCAGCGAGTAACACGTTCATGCCCTTGGTACAAAGCACCCCGGGGTTCACCGCGCTGCTGACGTCTTGTTCCAGACTCCCCACGGGCAGCTTGGGTGGCTTCAGGTGGCCCAATACCGCGTCCAAGACATCACCGCCAACACCGCCGCCGCCACCACCCTGGGTTCCAATCCAGGTTTCCGCCGCGCCCGAAATTAACGGAGCGTCCTCAAGAGGACAGCGGCGCCGACGGTTCCGGGCGCCGTCACCGATGATCGCGCGCAAGAAAAAACACGCAAAATCGAATTTGGGTTTTCACTCCAAATCGGTCGATTCTCATGCTCCAAGACAGTGGGTCACAACCTATGGTGCACCCGCAAAGCCGTAGAGAAGTGGTCCGCGGAAATGTTGCAGAAAGGAAACACGAGATTTCTTACCGCCCGTCGCGGTATATTTAGTCAATAACAATGCAAGTTAATTGTTTCCATGGCTTTCCTATGCAACATTTAACCACACCTTGAAATAAGTTTTAATTTTGAAAAAAAACGTTATCTGTACAAGGTGGCCTGCGGCGATGTTGCGTGGGTACGTTTGTACATATGTTGAACTTCTTTCGCACCGTACGAAGCCAACCATACTAATCGGAGGTAGGGGTTGACAGTGGTTAAGAACCACCGTTACAAAAATAAAAATTAAGTGTGACTGCAGCGGAGACGAACCCTGACATGGCAGCGCATCTGAGCATGCGAGCCACCCTCGTGTGAATAAGAACCAACTGGAAGGACCTCAGAAGTAGTTCCGTGTCGTCATTTTCCAGATAACCTCCTTTAACATGGGGCGACGTTACGCTGCTTGCGGCAAGCACCAAATACAAATTTTCGTCCTGTAATGAGACAAATAGTACAAGTGGAATATAAAGATAAAACGGCAGTTACCATAAACCTATAAAGCACACCCATGTTGCCAAAGACAGCATTCTACACACTTCATTGAACGGCATTTGTTGCTATTAAAGTTACTTAGACATGCCAAGAGATGTATTAGTCTGGTCACGAAGAGAGTGAGATATGACTTGTCCTAAAAATGCATTTCTTTTGGTAGCTTGGCCCCAAACTCACAGAGCACTCACGCGACCGGTAAAACCTCTCTTCGACTGCACAACCCCATCCGCGCCGGGGCCATGCCGAGCCAGACCCACGCTGTTCATTTTGCACTGGGCCATTCGTCTTTCCATTGCAGAAGCCGAGCCGCTGGCCTTGCGCACAACGAACGAACCGAGGTGCGTAGAGACGATACGGTGACGCCGTGTCCCCCCAGGGGGTACAGACGTCACACGCACGATGCTGCGAACAAACCGAGACGCACGCAGACGGTGTGGTGACGCCGTGTCCCCAAGGGGGTCCCCCCCTCCCCCCCCAACGTGTCCGTCCACGGCGTACCGACATTACACGCAGTGAACGTGTTGTGTGCGCCGCCGCTTGGCCCTGCTTGAGCAAAATTCAGAAGTTGCGGGGGGGAAGCGTAGCACGGTTTGGTTTTGACTCTCATCGGCAAATATCCGGTGGGAAAAAAAAACACCCATGCCGTGATGGGCCCTACTTTGGCTCGGCTCGGATGTGCCAGTTGACAAGGCGTCCAAGTCCAACACCACGGCAGTTTAAAATAAACAAAAACGACGACTCGCGTTACACTGCACAAAGCCGAACTAATCACAAATCGGTTTGAACTTTTATTGTATGAAAAAAAAAACCAAGTCAAAATAAAACTGACGACTCGGTGAGCAGTAAACGCTCGCAGGACCCAACGCGCACGGTGGCGGCGAGGGGGGCGGGGGTGGTTAGGGGGGAGCGGGGTGGGGAGATCTGACAAAAAAGGAATGCGATGGCAGGTCGCGTGAAAATACAAGGTGGGGGAGTGGGTCCAACGGGGATTTGTAAAACCGAGAGGGGGAGGCCCAAGCAGCTGCGAAGAGTGTGCGGGTGACCTGGTCGACAGACGCACAGAGAAACACGGGGGACCAGATGGGATCAGGTTCAGGTTGACTTCCAATAAAGAGAACATTCCAAACAAGAGCGGCGACACACACACGCACACACACACACACTGGCACACAAACATACAAGCGCGCACACAAATACACACAAACAGGCATGCGTGCACACAGATTCACGCACACAAATACACGCACACGAAAACACACACAGGCGCGCACACACGAATACACAATCTCATAGCAAGACACACAAAAACACATGAACACACCGTAATAACGACTGCCATTCACCACTAAGTGGCGGTGACGTTACCATGGCACTTGTGCCAGGCCAAGTGCACTCTGAGGCCACATTAAGTGTCAAAGGCTCGCTCAGACGAGGCCATGGGACAGATCCAGGTGCCATGGGTTGACTAACCGAGATGACTGTCAGATGTACCAGCTGTGTCCCCTACTGTGCCAACTTGCTGCATACACTAATACATACACACACTCATACCCACAAACAAGGACATGAATACAAACACACGTGCACACACACACACGCACACAAAATCATACAAAGATCTCCCGTATAGCTTTAACAGACTGTTAGGACAAGTGGTGTTAGCGGGCACCACACACTCATACACACACACGAATACACACGCACTTATGAACACACACACTCATACCTACACACAAGAATACACATCCTCAAGCCACATTCAAACATGAACATACACAAACACTCGCGCGCGCGCACACACACACACACACACGCCTCGTGCCTTCCCCGCGCCTCTCTGGATAAACCATAGCGCTGCGCCATGCACAGAAAGGCGCAACTGCAAGCAGCTACAGACAGTGAGGGGGATGACCGTTCACTCTCTCTCTGGGTTTATCTCTTGTGCTTCTGGCGAGCCAGGCTCGGCGTCGTCTGCGTCGCGGTCTCCGCCAGGTCCTTCGCCTTGGCGGCCTTGGCCTTGCCCGCCGCGACCTTGCGACCTCGAGCCGCACCACCTGCATCCGACGAGGGGGGGGCGACAGCAGGCGCTGCACATTGCGCAACCGGCAGTCGCGTTTCCAACACACAAAGATTTACGTCGTAGTTAGTAATTATTATAAAGTAACATATAACGCAGAGTACTTACTACTCGATTTAGTAAAGACAAATATCCCCCATATATCCTTAACAGGATTGGGGCAAGTGTTGTTAGCGAGCACCTATGAAGGCCGGCGTGGCACACGAGAGGGTGAGTGGCCAGCAACCACGCCTGGCCACTTTTGACTACTGAGTGGCAAAGTGGTGGCAATGCAAGTGACCTGTAATCCAGCACTGTGGAGGCAGCGAGGGTTGGTTGATCACCGCACAAATGTTAAGAAGCTCCCTTTCCGTGGGCGTCGAGGAGGAGTCACACCCTGGCTCGCCATGAGAAGGCATTACAGCAAAAATGTGCTCCACCTTTTCCATGTTTACGAGATAGTTTTTCCCTCTCAGTTTTCTTTGGATGCTCTGGTTTCCTCTCGAATGTGAACACTCATTAATTGGCCGACAACACCTTACAATAGAGGACTGAAAAGTTTGGGCAGCTGTTGGTAATGTCGGCTGATCGCGTGGCTGCGAACCTGCCTGTCTGTGGTTCCTCCTCGCGAGTCATGCGGAACGTCACACCATGACCTCCCACACCACCAACATCACTACTACTATACTCCCCACCACGATCACCACCACTCCCCCTCCTCCATTCCTCTAATACCAATAGAGTACCCGCCATTCGCCACTTCGTGACAGTGACGTCACCAGGGCGCCTGTGCCACGCCAGGTGCACTTTGAGGAGATTCGTATGAAGCACTTTGAGGCGACGCGAAGTGTTGAAGGCTCGCCAGATGGTGCCATGGGTTGACCGACTGATATGACCAGCAGATGGACCAGCTGTGCCCACTGTGCCAACTCCTCCCTACCTCTCATCACCACCACCAACCCCACCCTCACCACCACGATGACGCCCCCGCACCTCTGCCTGCTCCCAGCCCCCCCACCACCGCTCACCTTTCCTCGCGCGCGTGGACGAAGCCTTCGACTTGAGCAGACGAATCTCATCCTCCTCCTCGTCCTCCTCCATGCTCTCGTCGAGCTCAGCATAGGACACGGGCGGCCGCGCTCTGCCGCGACCGTTGGCGGCTGCAGCGGCGGCGGCCGCCTGGGAGGAGGGAGTAGTGGCGGGTGACCGTTGCCGTTTCTTACTCAACGGCTCCACCACCTCGCCCGCCCCGTCGTCCTGCTTCCTCCGGGCAGATGCGGTCCCGGCCGGACGCTGTAATGAGTCACACCACACCCCACCACCACCACGACGACGAGTCGTTAATAACTTTTAAGGTCGTGCTCATTCCACGCAAAGTGCTTGCCACAAATGCACCACAATACCCTGCTGATCTCGTCAAGGAGCATAAACTATCAGGTGAACTCCAGTCATTCCCAAAGTGGCGGCTTTTGTGTAAGCCATCGAACAAAAAAGACAGTCAATGCATCTCGCGCTTTTAGATGCGCTTCTGCGGGCATCTGTAACGCTATTCCTTCTGATATTAGGTAGCTACTGGAACTATGCACTTTTAAATCTAGATTGAAAACTAATTTCTTTCTAACTGCTTTTGTGTTTAGTTTGTTATCCTTCCCCTGCACTCCGATTAGCACGGTTGGCTATGTATTGTGCAAAAGAAGTTCAACATACTTGCGTACGTACAAGAGCCGAGCGACGATAGCAGCCAAGCAGGAGCGCAGTTTGTCGCACAGGTTTACGGTTTGGGCCCGGCAGTCAGTGTGCTCCCATTACTCCCTCCCCTCTTTTCCCCTTGAGCCCCCCTTATTTAAGTGCATCTCTTTCCCCCTTATCTTTCGTGACGCTTTCCCACTAAGGTCGAGCGCTTGAACACGTGAGCTCTGTAAGTCTGTCTGTCTATAGCGGTGGAGGGGGTGGGGTCACGGCAACGCTCGTAAAGACGATCCAATACAAATTAAACTTTACGTAAAGTCGTGGTGCTATTAGGCGCTTACCTGAGAGGACCGGGCACTTCGATCCAACGGCTGGTGGCAAGACTCAACAAATTTTTGCTAAAGTTATTTTAAAAAAAGGTTCAGAGGCAAGACAGTGACACCACTCGCGTCCCCGTGACGTCACTTCGTCGCGCGTAGCCATTTAAAATAGATTGCTCATTATATTTATTTTGCACATAGTTCTGGTTGTTTATTGTTTAATTGTGTATTAATCGTGCACTTGTTCCATGCAGCCCCTGTAAACCCTCCCTTCCCATGCAACTCGCTTGCCGCTGTCTCCATTGAAAAAAAAAGAGCTTCATAGCGCAATGGGTCTTACCATGAAATAAAGCGACCGACTGGGGTCTGCTGCACTTTCAATACGAATAGAGATCACTTAAAAAACAGACAAATTAACAAATGCACGGACGAACAAATGAATGGCTCAACGAGCGAACCTGCTTGGCGGAAGTGGCCGCGGGCCTGTCGGTGCGCGCGGGACCGAAGCGGAAGGTCAGCTGGTCGTCCTCCTTGCCCCCGATCGCCCGCAGGCCCCTGGTGAGGATGGTGCGGAGTTTCTGGTAGTCGGGCCGGTCCTCGTAGCCAATGGCGTGGGCGTACGCCAAGTACTCGGCAATCTCGGCTGCGGGAGTGAATAACATTCAGAATTTTAATTTTTACCGGAGGAATCCAATGAGCTATAATAAAGCTCACAGATGTCCAGTATGGAAGTGGGATCAGAGCGGAGGCGGGGACACAGCACCGCGTGGGAGCGGTGAACCGACGCGAAAAACGCCACGGCACACTGCCAACGCGGGGCGACGAACGCCACGGAGCGCCGACACACACACACAAAACCAGTCTACAACACACACCAGCACACACCAAGGCACGTCAACACACATCAATGAACGCACAAAGACACACAGCTTGACACCCCAGCAAACACAAGGAAACACCACAACACACACAAACGCACACCACAAACTACAACGCGTGAACACACCACAACACGGGAACAACACACACACCAACAGGTACCAACACATACAACGGCACAACACGATTCACCAAAGCACACCGATGCAGAGGACAGCTCTGTGTAAAGCGCACACACACACGCACCTGGCTTCTCCTGCGATGGGAAACACTTGTTCATGAGCTCAGGAATATTGTCCTTGTACCTACGAGTGAGGCAGACAGCGCAAGACTCGCACACAGTATCCAGCAACAGCCATGTGTGTTGCCATGGCCCAGCAGCAGCAAAACACTTGTCAGGAACCTATCGAATAAATTAGTCCCGAGACTCAGCGTGGCTGTGGCCGCATCTGCAGCACCATAGCTATGCTGCTGCCTGCTGCACGTTATTTGAGTCTCTGCTTCTATGGCCTTAAATCAACAGGAAGTCCAACCTCTGCAGGCCCCGCCCTTTCTCTTCAGACCTCGCCCCTGACTCCGTAGGCCCCACCCCTTCCTGATGAGGACCCCATTGTCTCCTCCTCCTCCATCTCCGCGCCTTTCCTTTTAAGCCCCACCCACTTCTTTAGGCCGTGCCCCTTCACCCCCCCAGACAAAGGATTGGGGCTGCTACGGGGTAGTGGTGGGGATCAGTAAGGGGCACGAGTGGTGCAACTTCACCACGACAACGGAACGAAATCCCTCTTAGACCAGCGATAGAATAATAGGCAATACAGTACATCATCGATTATCTGGCGAAAATTATCCAGCTTCCAACATTATCCAGCGGTCCTAGGCCAATCTGACAAATCTCTATCACAACTGATGAAGTTGGATTCCGACTCTGAATAATCACCTCCAATTCTACACCCCCTGTCATCACCCCATGCAGAGTCTTCGAGATTGGAATGGTAAGTACAGTACAGTAAATACAGTAACTTATTACAAGAGGATATTATACTTTTGTATGTTTATTTATGCCAATTCCATATTGTAAACAAATTTAAAACAATAAAAACAATGTAAAAAACAACACCTCAAACATGTTATTCAAGAATGTGCAAAAATAAAATATTTTAAATCATGATATTTTTTCCAGCAATCCGGTGCACAATAAGTCACAAAGACAATGACCCGAGTGTTATTGTTGTTGGATTTGTGTGGTAGCAGGGCGTCACCTGATCTTGGCGTCCCGCACGTAGTTGGGGTCCTTGAGGTTGTCCTCCCAGGGCAGTTTGCCGCACAGCCACTGCAGCAGGCAGTAGCCCAGGATCTGCACATCAGCGCGGCGCGACGGGGCTGCACGCACGGGGACACGACTAGCGTGGTTAGGATAAGGGGTAAAGGCCGGGGCTAGAGTGTGGGTGGTGGTTACTGTGGTTAGGGTTAGAGGCAGGGGCTAGCGTCTGGGTGATTAGCGTCGTTTAGGGTTAGAAGTAGAGGGAGGGCTAATGTCTGGGTGGTAAGCCTGGTTAGGGTTACAGGCAGGGGCAAGGCGTCTGGCTTGCCAGTTTGGTTACAGTTAGGGGTAGAGGGCGGCTCGCGTCTGGGTGGTGGCTAGTGTGGTTATGATGAGAGGCAGGGTTAGCGACTAGGTGGCTAGTGTGTTTGTAGAAGCTGGGGTAGAGGTCGGCTAGTGTTTGGGTGTGTCCAGTGTGGTTATGGTTAGGATAGAGGCAGGGCTAGCGTGGTTTGGGTCTGGTTGTCTAATGTGATTATAGGTTAGGATATTGCTTGCCGTGTGAAACTTTAGAATCGACAACCGTATTTGTCGACTGCCTGTCTCATTTGTATCGTCTGCTTTTCACGTTCCGTCCCATTAACTCCATTGCCATTAACGTGACGTGTACAGCCACCGCCTTATTGTGAATCCACTGTTGGATGAGGGTCTCCCCACACCCGTGAAGGCGCGGGAGAGCAGAAGTACAGTACAATAATGGATTTTCCCCCTCACTTCCCCTCTGTCGCACTCACCACCTATCCCCGGCAGCCTATAACACACCCGTGTCATGCATGGTGGTCATCAGTCCATCTACTATCCGGAGACCTGTCGAAATCGGGTGCGTTCCTGGGCGATCTGACCGTGGAGCACGTACGCACCTACTCCCTTGTGCGCATCAATGCTGGTGAACTCAATCGTCCCATCGTGGCAGCGCTTGGGGTCTTCCTTGTACTTGTTGTGAACCCCACAGGGGCCGTAGCGGTACGCCAGGCCATAGTCCACCAGGCTAACCTAAGTCCAAAGGTAAACAAGTCTGTAATTTTGGTACTCAGTAGATATCCTTTAAACCCTCCGTATAGCCTTAACAGACTGTTGGGGCAAGTGCTGTTAGCGAGCACCTATGAAAGCCAGAAAGGCACACGAGGGGGTGGGTGGCCAGCACCACGCTCGGCTGCCTTTTGTCTCCCGAGTGGCGACGTGTACACATCGCACCAAGTAATCAATTTAGGCCGAGTCAACCTAGGGGAGGCACAGAACCGGTTCAGAAATTCGTCACTGGTGTTGGCCGTAAGCGGGAATCGAACGCGGGTAGCCAGGTTTGTAGCGCAGCGCCCTAACCGCTACACTACCGCTCCACACAAAAGGAGATAAATATACCAATAACCGCCATGAACCACAAAGTCGCAGTGACGTCACCGCGGCACCCGTGCCAGGCCAGGTGCACTTTAAGGAGGTGAATATCAACACGCCCAGACACAGGGGGTTCCGGCGGTAGCGCCGCGTTCGCAGCTTGACGCGGAGGTTCACCGCTCAAATACAGCAGGCCGCCCTAGTTAATAACTTTCGGTTGTAATTAAACCGTAAAATAGCAATTCACTGTGGATGTGAAGGATTCCGTGATGTTGCTCAAAGAAGATTAGGTCAACTGTCCCAGTGTCACAATCAACATTTTGCAATTTTGAAAGATTACACCGCAAATTACTTTATTGGGAAACACATCACTAATGTTGTCCCAGACTGTGAAAAAGTTGCAGAACCCAGAGACAGCAAAACAGAAAGACACAGAGACACAGTGATATAGAGAGACCCGGTAGGACAGAGATAGTGAGACCAAGAGACACACAGAGACTATACAAAAAAACAAAGCGTCAGAGACCAAAGCAGACACAGAGACACAGATCCAGCGGATACAGAGACAGAGCTGGAAACAGAGACACAAAGAGAGACACGGACACAAATACACAGTTAAAAGAGACGGACAGTGAAAGAGAGAGACACACAAACACACAAAGACAGAGAAACAGTGGAAGAGAGAGATACGCAGACACACATAGACAAGAGATCGAGGCAGACCCACAAGCACGCAGAAACCGAGATTGAAAGAGACACAAAGACAGAGACACAGTGGAAGAGAGAGACACGGAGACACACAGAGACAGAGTGACAGTGGAAGAGAGAGACACGCAGACACAGAGACAGCGAGACGTTGGAAGAGAGAGACACGCAGACACAGAGACAGCGAGACATTGGAAGAGAGAGACACGCAGACACACAGAGACAGCGAGACATTGGAAGAGAGAGACACGCAGACACACAGAGTGACAGTGGAAGAGAGACACAAGAGACAGAGAGACATGTACACAGTCAGGTACCTGGTTTTTATCCTTGAAGCCGAGCATGAGGTTGGCCGCCTTCACGTCCGCGTGCACGTACTCATTGTCGTGGATGTACTCAAGGATGTCGAGCTATGATAAACAACGTCACTCGTTTAGCCAGCACAGCCTCACCGGGCCTCATGATTCACTTTCAAGGTGTCCTGCTATATATGTATGCTTGGGAAATGTAATTGAAGCAAAAATATATATACAGTCTTCTATAACGCCGCGTGTTTTCATGACGCGAATTGGGCATAATGCTATGAACGCATGAGGGAACACATTTTTTTATAGCGCGAATGTGAATTGGATATAATGCGATTGAGTGAACAGAACTACGTCGTGCGAGTAGGAATAATTAAGCGGTCGTACGGCTGCCTCGGTATAGCATCGCACGAGGTAGTGGGATGCTGCTGGATGCTTCTAGATGCTACCCACACGCCTCGGTCTTTGTCTGACCTGCGTATGCATCTCACATATTATCGCGGTAATGTGCTATACCCCTATATTATATATTATAACGCGATTTTTCCATAACGTGGTGTTGTTCAGAAACGCTACTACTGCAGCGTTATAGGACTAAAGACTGTATATAGAAGGTAACTGATATTGGCCAAACATCCAAATGCTGAGAAATTACCTGAAAAATTGCTCAATTGGGATTTCACGCAGTAGCATCACACCCCGACTACAAAAACTTGGCAGAACACTTCCAGAATAGGGTAATGGGTCGCAGTGAGGCTTTCCTGAGAAAACAAGCTAAATAATAATAAAATTAAGGAGGCCTTTAGACTGTCAAACTAGCACAGGAGGCAACCTACTCAATGCATCAATGATAGAGATTGAATACATTTGATCGTTTGGTACGAGACGTAGGCTGCGCCTTTGGAAGAAACCGAAATATCTGGAGAAAACCCATCTCGTTTTGGGACACCCCACTATAGATTGACAGACGATTGGAGTCAAAAAGACAGTTGGGCAGATGGATGTATGCATGTTGAACTTCTTTCACACCGTACGTGCGCAACCGTGCTAATCGTAGGTGTGTGGCAAGGACAACAAGCTAAACACAAAAAGCAGTTGTAAAGAAATTCGTTTTCAATCTAGATGGTGATTTAAAAGTGCAAAGCTCCAGTGGCTTCCTAATATCAAAAGGAAGAGCATTTAAGACGGCCGCAGAAAGCGCATCTGAAAGCACGCAATGCAGTGACCGCCTTTGGATGGATAAACAGATGGACAGACAGTCAAAAATACATTCGGCTAGACAACTGAACAGAGCGTATGCACTTTAACACTTTCATACTTTGCTGGAAAGCGACAACAAATGGCAGTGTCAGCAGCAGTGAGGCATGTGAAGGTGCGTACCAGCTTCAGGCCAAGCTGCAGGACCGCTTTCCGAGGAATCTTCTTGCCGTTCTCTTCCAGTATCTTCTGAAGATCGCTCCCGAAACGGTCAATCACCATGAAGCGCATTCTGTGAAAGTGCATACAAAAGAAACATTGGCAACACCAGGTCAAGTATCAAGTGTGCTCCGCTTAACCGTGACCCCCTCCTAAGTAACCCTCTATTATGGCCACCCATTATTTAACCGCGTGGCGGCGAGATGTTACCGACCTTGCCTGGTATACCGGATGTTGTGGGTTCGATCCTGACCCTGACGCCTGTATATTTGGAGTTTCCATGTCCATCTCCCCGTCGTGTGGATTTTTCTCAGGGTCCTTCGGGTTTTCCCTCCATATTTAAAATCAACATGCGTTTAGAGTATTTGGTTGCTGTAAATGTGCACATAAGACACTTCGTTGAGCTACCATTTGTGGCCAGGTCGCTTTCTGAAAAAGACCTATATAACTCAGTGGGCCTTGCCTGGTTAAATCAAAATGGTTTTAATTTAGTAACCCTTGCACGATCTACTGTGTCTTTACTATGTTAAGCGCCTTGAGTGAAGTCGCATTATGTAAATATAAAATAAGATAGGAACCGGGTTGAGGGGAACTCATGGGACCAGGATAAGAGTCTCATTTGCAAGAGTGATCACCTGGGTCACCAAAAATGACAAAAGTAAAAACAAATAAAGTATAGCAATGCAGCAAATAGAAATCAGCGCAAAAATAACTGTCATCACCCTCCTGAAAATCAGTCTCGAAACTCAGTGAAGTTGCCCTGGCTAAACCACCAAAACAAGAATAGAAATAATAATCATCTTAAATGAAGTGGCAGGCCAAATCCGAAGCGTCAGACATCACAACTCACGCGCTGCCCTTCTTTTCCAGCATCCCCATGCCCCAGTAGCGTGGAACTCCAAGAAATTTCAAACGTTTCTCCTTCACCCACTTTTCAACTGCAGAACGGAGGGGGGGGCAGGGTGCAACAGAAACGGAAAGATAAAGGGAGAGGAGTGAGCGTGGAGCACAAAAGCGATAGCGGCAATGGTTTTATAGAACGGTTTAGCAACACCTTCTAGGGTGGGTGACAGTCCGGCCAGTCGCGCATTCGCCACTTGTTGCAGAGGTTCACGGCTGGAACCCTGCAGGCCGCCCTGGTTTATTGGCGCGGAAATGCACCCGTGTCTGGAATCGAACCCAGGCACTTGCTTCCCACCGTCAGGCATAAGTGAGCTACGCGGCTGTCCAGCGGTATTAGCGTTGCTGGTAGTGGTAAATTGAAGCTGCATGATGATCGGGTGGTGAATGTGGTAGAGTGGTTGTGCTGGTGATGTAGTCACGTTTGTGGTGGTGGTAGTGTTGACGTTATGGAGGAGGACCGTTGAGGACGCCACTGGACAGTTGGAGGCAGTCGCCCTCCAACAACAGCGGAGGGCTCACAACAACGGAGCGCCGGGCAGCTAAAATCCAGGAAGTTGGTAAAGTAGGGGGCACAGGTCGTACACCTGCCAATCATCTGTAAGTCAACCCATGGCACCTGGGTCAGTCCCGTGACTTTCTGCCGGCTAGCCTTCAACACTTCACGTGGCCTCGGAGTGCACCTGGCGTGGTTCACACAAGTGGCGTAGTGACGTCACTGCAACTTAGTGGCGAATGGCATCTGTTGTTGATAATAGCGGTGTGAGCGATGAAAGTTGATGTTGTATTGATTTGAGTGGCTGCAAGGCCTAGCGAGTGCTTCTGCGAACACGAGGTACCGGCGGTGGCTTGTGACAGCTCGGCAACACTCACTGAGCTCGGGTTTCGCTGCTCTTTGGTAAAACTTGAGCTCCGTGAAGAGGGGCCCGTTCTCATGAGGCTCCTGTGTGGACGATGGCAAAAAGTCATATTTTATTAGTCATGATGTTATGCCGGGGCCTTCGAAACAACGCTGAAGATCCCCCGTATAGTCTGAACAGACTGTTGGGGCAAGTGCCGTGAGCGAGCACCGATAAAGCCCGACACGGCACACGATGGGGTGGGTGCTCACAAATCTGAAAATCGGTCTTGCATACAAAATGTGTCAGATCGATCTGACATTCATTTCTTTAGAATTGTTTGTTGTATTTAGTTTGACGTCCTCCAATTACCACGGTTCGCTACGTACAGTGCGAAAGAAGCTCAACATACATATATACATATTATGACGTCACATTCCATCACTCATGACAATGTCACTTCCACATTTTCCCCACCAAAAAAGGCATCGCGTGGCATCGGGTAGCACGAAGAGGTGTTAAGTTATCACATCATGTAAATTACGCAACATAAACATCTCACATTTTTCTTAATGTTATCCCGAGCACATATACATACGTGTAAGCATGTATATACACGTGTAACCCTGATTTGTGTGGTGTGAATGAGCGTTTGTTTGGTTTATAACCAGTTGCTGAGCACAGGTCCAAGGGCCCAGCACTATAAAAGTTATAATCGAAAAGCGTGTAATACGTTTCTCGAATTGAGCAAGGTTGTTATCATTATTCTCGTCATAACAAGAGCCTGAGGAAAAGATGAAACGAGCGGAAGAAAATTCCAAGTGGAGCAGACGATTACCTCATCGCGTGCTTTAAGATCCGCTTCTGCGGCCGTCTGGAACACTCTTCCTTTCGATATTAGGAAGCCACTGGAGCTGTGCACTTAAATGATCTAGGTTCAAAACACATTTCTCCAGAACTGCTTTTTATGTTTAGCTTGTGGTCCTTCCAAACCTCCAATTAGCACGGTTGTCTACGTACGGTGTGAAGGAAGTTCTACATAGGTACAGCGCGAGGGAATAAGCAGAGAAGGGGGGACATGTCATGGCCTGCAACGGCGGTGGCTGAGCACAGGGTGGATGCAAACGCACGAATAAGTATACACGGTTTATCTCACCACTTTAATCACAAAGTCGGCATCCTCTCCGACCGGCTGGGAGGTGTTCTGGGCGGCTAAAACAAAATCAACAAACGACAACAACGCAAGATCGACACGTCCGTCATCAAACACGCCGAGCGCAGTTAGCCGGACAGCTCACACTGGTGTCAAGTGGCGATGTAACGATTCACCCCCCCATCCACCTGTCCGTCCCCCCCCACTATCCCCCTCGCTTATCCCCCTACTCACCTTTCCGGTTGTCCCCCGCCCCCCCCCCCCCCGACGACTCGTCCCTCCGGTTGTACCCCCCCACTCGCTCCTCCGGTTGCCCCCCCCCCACTCACCCCTCCGGTTGCCCCCCCCCACTCACCCCTCCGGTTGCCCCCCCCCCCACTCACCCCTCCGGTACTCCCCCCCACCCACTCACCCCTCCGGTTGACCCCCCCCCCCCCAATTGCCCCTCCAGTTGCCCCCCCCCCACTCACCCCTCCAGTTGCCCCCACACTCGCCCCTCCGGTTGCCCCCCCCCCCCCCCCACTCGCCCCTCCAGTTGTCCCCCCACTCGCCCATCCGGTTGCCCCCCTCCCCCCCACTCGCCCCTGCGGTTGCCCCCCCACTCGCCCATCCGGTTGCCCCCCTCCCCCCCACTCGCCCCTCCGGTTGCCCCCCCCCCCGCCAATCGCCCATCCAGTTGGCCCCACACTCGCCCCTCCGGTTGTCCCCCCTCACTCACCCCTCCTGTTGCGCCCCCTCACTCACCCCTCCTATTGCGCCCCCACTCGCCCCTCCGGTTGCCCCCCACCCCCAATCACCCCTCCAGTTGCCCCCCCCATCGCCCATCCAGTTGCCCCCCCCAATCGCCCCTCCAGTTGCCCCCCCCCACTCACCCCTCCAGTTGCCCCCCCCCCCCGACTAGCCTCTCCGGTTGTCCCTCTACTCACCCCTCAGGTTGTCCCCCCCCCAACTCGCCCCTGCGGATATCTCCCCCCCACTCACTCCTCCAGTTCCCCCCCCCACTTGCACCTCCTGTTGCCCGCCTCTCGCGCCACCTGTTGTCCACCTCACCCCCCCCTATTTGCCCCACCGTACCGAGGTAGAGCCGGCCGAATCCACCCTCGCCCACGGGTCGGCCCAGCTTCCACTCCTTCTTGACGACGTCGGAGAGCACTTCGCCGGGCGCCAGCAGCTCGGGCAGCTTGTGCAGGCCACCGGCCTTCTTCTTGGGCGCCATCTGCAGGGAGAGCAGAGACCGCCAGCTCATGAGTAACGATGATGGAGAGGACGGGGGTGGGGGACGACGTTTTCCCTGTGCCTCATTACAACAGCCCTCGCCCGAAGCCTCCCACACCAGCCAACCAGAGCCAAGCACTACCCCTAACCTTATTTACACAAGCTAATTAGTCTAGCACTACCCATAACTTTATCCACACGAGCTAATTAGTCTAGCACTACCCATAACACTATCCACACTAGCTAATCAATCTAGCACTACACCTAACCTTAGCTACATCAGCTCAACAAATCCTACCCTTTTCCCTAACTCGACCTACACCAACTAATCAGACCCTAGCCATAACCTTAACCCTCATTACACGAGCCAATACCAGAGCATTACAGGTGACCCCCGACTTACGACGGATCGACTTGCAACCCCCCCCCCCCACCACTTTTACCACCTTTCTTAAAGTAAGACCCCCACAAAACTCGTATGACTGCTGAACGACTGCTACCGACGATTGGCGCTGCTTTGCTTTTCAGCTGTATGGGTGTGTACAGTATAACCTGTCAGTCTGCAGCTGCGCCTAGAGCGAACGCAGCATCTCTTTCGCAACGCTCTTCACTTTTTGATACATTTTCTTCAAATATTTTTTTCGCCTTTTGCTATGTCTCAGAGGAGGAAATGTGAGTCACATACAGAAGTGCTTAAGGATTTTCAAATGTGTTTGTTTTTATTTAATACATGTTTATAAAAGTAATTTTAAGTTACAATAAATGTTTGTTAGGGTTATTTTCATTTTTTTCGTGGTAAATTTTGGTATTTTTATGTTATGTAATGAGTTTCCAGGAACGGAACCCCAATGGAAACATTGTGGCTATGGGAAATAAGGATTCGACTTACGACGGCTCCATTTCCGACCATTATCCAGGAACCCAATTAGGTCGTAGGTGTGGGGGACGCCTGTATCCCTAGCAACATCAAACAAGCAGAATTTACCTCTACCCTAAGTCTCACTAGCAAAACAAACCTGAGCAGTACCCCAAGTGACACTATCCAACCAGACCTTTCCACTACCCCTTGCAACACCATCCAACCAGACCCTAGCACTGTTCGTAACCACACTAGCCTACCAGATTCCAGCAGCATCCCTAGCCACATGCGCTAACCAGACGCTAGCATTATCCCTAGCCATACTAGCTTACCAGACGCTAGCATTATCCCTAGCCATACTAGCTTACCAGACGCTAGCATTATCCCTAGCCATATGCGCTAACCAGACGCTAGCATTATCCCTAGCCACATGCGCTAACCAGACGCTAGCATTATCCCTAGCCATACTAGCTTACCAGACGCTAGCATTATCCCTAGCCATACTAGCTTACCAGACGCTAGCACTACCCCTTGCCACACTATCCAAACCGACCCTAGCACTACCCGAGCAACACTATTTGACCAGACCCTGACTGAACCCCAAGCCACACGAGCCACCCAAAGCAGATTAACACTAGCCCTCGCAACATCACCCAACCAGACCAAGGCAACAACCTCTATTCTAAACCCAGCTGCTCTTATCACTGACTGTTGGAACGTAACTCAACTCGACATCTGCCTAAGCGCACCAGCCTACGACTGGTGCGCACCAGCCTACGACTGGTGCGTTTGCCCTCACTCTCCCACACACACCACTCACTTCCTGCGCCACGCCACTTACTTCCTTCTGAGCATAACCTGAAAATAACGGGACACTTTTGCGAAAATACACGAGTTAAGTGCTCAGCAGCGCGAGTTGTGACGCAAAAATACAAACCGATAACTTAAAACCAAAGCAGCTGCAATGCCACCAATGTCATCGGCTCTCTTAAGCTAAGCCAGCCCAAGCCTGCTGCGGTGCTCCGTTGTCAATTGAGGGCGGTGTGTATCAAACATCGTCTGTTGTACTGTAGCATGTAGTTACTACGAGCATCCTTACTTAACCCAGCTTGGTGAAATATGTTTAAATGATTAAAACAATCCACACGGCATGAGGCCCTTATCCAGCTGTGGATTTCCACAAGGGCTGCTACAGGTGAACACTCAAAACAAGTGCATGCAACGCCAGATGCAATACCTTTAACTTTACAATCAACAACTTTTATTTTTGAAGTGGTAAAAAAAGCATTTGAGCCATTAAAAACTCGAGATGTGTGGGAGGCAGGGTGACGCAGTGGTAACTATTGTGCTTCACAGTGCATGCCTGGGTTCGACTCCCGAAATGGGCACCTTTCTGTGGTAAGTTTACAAGTTCATATCAAAGGTTTTTTTGGGTTAGATCACGTTACAACCAGCTTCATCAGGCGATGAAACTGGTTGTTTTGCTGAAACGTCGTACCTGAATTGCAAATGTTGTGGATTTACTCTCTAACGCACCGTTGTGCTGAAGTAGTAACTAATTGGCACATTTTGTTTGCGCTACAAACCTTACTAATTGGCTGTGTCGGGTGGTGGCGGATTTAACAATATATTTACACGATGTAACCCAAAATATTATCCGTAATAAAAACCTTTATTATGGGTATTGGTCGCGAAAGCCTACGTGTTGAGTTTGTAAGTTCTCCCCGTTACACTCGTTGACCCAGTAAAGCCTCATTGAGCCTCATGACTCATTTTCAGGAGGGTCCTGCGCAGCAGAGGGTGGCGATGGCCACGTCGCCACTCTCTGCCGCGTTCCCCTTTCTGCGTCTCGATTGTAATTCGACGTTTCTTATGCAGAATTTTCAGGGTTTCTGTTTAATGTTTTCATTAACTTCCAACTTTCTAATCCACACGTCACAGCGGGGCAGTACACACCAGTCAATCGCCCGTCATTCCGGTTAATTTCAATAAAATGTTACGGAACCAAACAAAAACACGGGCCGCCAAGCAAGCTCTCGTACGTTGAAGGCTCTCAGATGGTGATGTAAATTTCACATCGCCACAAGGATCGGTACAATACCTGCATAGCAAAATACCTTTAGAAACGCATTGTTAATATTTATATAAATATGAACGCGTTTCTAAATCCATGGCATTCTCTTAACCCAACCCGAAGCAAGGCTAAACTTGGGTTAGGGCTCCCGGGGTTTAGCCCCTAAATCTGAAACTGATCTAGGGGTGAGACGATTAAATCAATTGATCGACTGACAACTGTTACCAACTTTTTTTGTAAAAGATTACACGGGCACCATTAAAAGCGGACCCCCCCACACCACACACGCAGCCGTGCCCAGCACGACGCGCCTGATGATGCCGATAGCTCCACCAAGCTTCGCCCGTCACCTCGAGTCCAGCGGCACACATTGGAAATCGAGGCGATACTTTTCATTTTCTGCCCCTTCCCCGCCCCCCCCCCCAAACTTCTGAAAGAGCTTAATAGTTAATCGGATTTCTCCAGAATTAATCAATATTCTAATAAAAGATTCAGATTTTCGTGCTATCAGACTAGTCAAGTAATGGATACGACAGCCAGTTGAGAGCAATCGGTTACTTCAATGGGGCATGCCAGCTGAACTGTGTCCCCTACACCTGCCAAGACACTGAACCGGAAAAATACTCAAGGACTGTCATCGTAAACCAATAACAAATTACAAATCAACGCGTTAGTGTGACATTGCACTAAAACGTCACATTTAAACTCACGTTCGTCAATAACAGTTGTGGCCTTTTAAAGAAAAAGTATAATCGACGTTTCGGGCAATGGCCCTCCCTCACACCATTACATTTGTTGATGTGTTAAGTTCCATTTAATTATGCTTGCGCACCACTGAAAACGCAGCAGTGCCACTAAATCATTTGACATTAAAGTGAGGCAGATTTAAACAAAACCGCGCTCGCTGGCGGCTCCTGTGCACGTACAGCGAGTTCGTCAATCCACTGCTGGAAGAGAGGGCCTCTCGTGGGGGTTGCCTGGCCTGACCGTACCTCACCACGCCGGTCAATGCGGCTTCGTGAAGGTAGGGTGCGAGCATAGGACGTGAGAGTACAGCACAACAATGTTTATTCACTGCCATTAGTTGTTTAGTTTGTTGTCCTTCGCCCGCACCTCCGAAGAACACGATTGGCTACGTACGGTGCGAAGGAAGTTCAACATATATACATCTGCCGTCCAACATGTGGCGAATTCCACATTCCTATGCCGGGAGCCAGTACTTTACATGTCTCCAACGATTTGACCACTGTAGTCAAACTGATGTTTCCAAGCCAGTGGCGGCTATTCCACATTCCCATTGCATGCCTAGACGCTACCACTTATTGACTTCCAACAGGTACTCGATTTACCTGCCCAGAAGAGCAATTATGATTGGTCGTGTGTACCCCCCCCATTCCCTTAAAATGAACGATAACCATCGAGTTCATGTTTTTTTTTTAAGTGAGGAAACCAAGACGGAGATACAGAGAGCGAAGGCTGCGGGAAGGCCGCACGATTTTCCCGCGTAAATCAACAACGGCCTCGCGAACCCGAGCGCGCGACGCGACCCGACACACACAACACACAGACGGCCGCGGGAATCCGTGAGGGCGGAAACATCTCCCCCCGATCTCCTCGTTGTGAGGGCGAAAGAGGCACCGTGAGGAGGCTGCGAGCGGGCGGGCCGAGGAGGAGTCGGCGGGTAAAGATGGCAGGAGTCGCTGTGAAGGGGAAGTGGAAGGGGGGGGGGGACCCAACTTCACATTTCCCAGCACGGATAAGCACGCCGCGACGTAACGGCGCCTCCCATTGGTCCGTTGCGCGAGCGCGTGAAGCGCAGAAGCCAATCGGGAGTGGTGAGACGGCACGAGTCGCCAATGCGGTGTACGGTTTATAACGTGCGATTCTTGCTGGGGGGGGGGGGGGTTTAAACATGTAAGATTATTATGTAATGATTTGTGTTTTCTTATGGGTTGTTGTTTAAAAACAGCGGTAATTGCACACACAGTTCGCACGAATGGGGGGGAAACATCTGTGAAAAAGACCTTTATAGCTCATCGGATTCCTCCAGCGTAAATATTCTGGTTCTAATGTACGGTTCCTTTTAATTGCATTGGTGCCTTGCCTGCCACTCTAGCATACACGTCTCTCTCGTACTTTAACCCGAGACTCTACAGCCTTGAGAGCGGCTCACGGGCGTGCATTGGATTCTAACATGTATTACAGTACTCTATTATAGTCTATTATTGTTAAATCTTGTGTAAGCAATGCAACTCTAGTACTATTTAATGGAGTGCAAAGGGCAGCGACTGGCGGTGGTTTTAGGTCACAGCGTCCGTTCTGTTTCTGGACTCGCACCCTTTCTATGAGAAAAAGTTGGGAAAACTATCACAACTATCCAAGGTTATTAACAGTATCTCGCACCTCCGATTCGCATGGTTGACTACGTACGGTGCGAAAGAAGTTCAACATACATAACACACTTAGGGGCCATCCATTTAATAGGTACACACGCGGACTTTTTACACACCCCCCCCCCCTTCCGCGTACGTTCGCTTTATGCACCCCCACCGAATCCTATAGAACGGCCGATATTTAATCCACGCAGAAGCGATCAGGGATTAATAATATTAACGTGTTTAAGCAAACAGATAGTCCACCGCCGGCTGCATTGAATAATTACTTGGCCACTGATGTTGCTGAGCTGCGTGATAGCTGCAGTCAGGGGCACGGCGGCACACGAGTGACAGCTCTCCCACAGCCCCGCCTCTCACGCTGGTGCTTGTTGTCTCACAGCTGAAGACACTCAACTGTGGCTCATTTGAAGGCCAAAGTAGACAAATTATTATCGAGGCTTCACCTCCCCCCCCCGTTTCCTAAGCGCACATTGTCAGTAGAACCCCATACGCAAGCGAACGCATTTGGGTTAACCCCCCTCCATGCGTACGTACTAAAGTAACTAAATGGATGGCCCCTTAAGTTACTATAGGAGGGGGGTGTCCACAAAGTGTTAGTTCCCATTTGCCCATTAGTGCTAAGCAAACTTATTTAATACCCCCCCCCCCCCCCCCCCCCACTGTATTCTCCAAAAGTGGACTCGCCCTCACCTGCGTGACAGGGCGCTGCGCCTCGGTTTCTTGGGGTTCTATTTACGTTTCTTGGGTTTCCCTTCAATTTCTTGAGTTCCCCCTCAATGCTTTGCAGACAAAGTCTCACTGATGCCTTTAGTTGGGGTTGCCATGCACCACTGACTTTTCACAAACTGTTACACAGTTCATTTTACCCCCCCCCCCCCAATGTAATGGGGGGCGACACGGTGGCGAGATGTTAACTACCTCGCCTCGTATGCAGGAGGTCGTGGGTTCGATCCCGATACCCGACCCTTGACGCCTGCTGCTGTATATTTGGAGTTTGCATTTCTCTCGCCCCGTGGTCGCGTGGATTTTTCTCCGGGTCCGCCGGTTTTTCCCTCCACATTTTGAATCAACATCACGCGATCATGATAAGCCACCACTTCGTTGAGCTATCATTTGTGATAGCTCAACGAAGTGGGGCCTTACCTGGTCAAATAAAAAATGGCTTCGTGATGATGGGCTGAAAACAAATGAACAGCTATCACTGGCAGTGACAAATACATCGAACTTAAAATGCATTTTATATTTGAAAAGGGACAATATGCCAACACCAACGTATTCATTGCTCGAGTTAAGCCGTCGTTGTATCTATGGGAGTTTAGTGAACCACGGACTGCGACTCGAACCCGCTATCTGTGCTGTCATCTCCTGGACAACTGTCCGTTCAGATCTCTCACAAAGCAGTGCAATCATTCGTGTGATATAATGGCCCGTGGAAGCGGATAACACAGAGCTATCTCTGAGATCCCTTCCAGTGACATTCGGTCCACATAGTCACGGGAAAGCACTTTCCACACAGACTGGCTCATTAACCCCCTTTCTGCACTGCCATCTGCTGGCCACCTTGCAGCTCACCGATCTCAAATCATCCCACGGTGACCTCTCATGGTCAAGAGCTCACGATGGCCAGTGTCTTGAATGCCACCTCTCCTCGCCATCGCTTCCTTCCTTCTGACAGATACTTCATCTGTGCCACCGTCGGCACATCCTTCAGGCACCACTCTTGCAGTCTCGTACCGGGGCACGGTACTGATCAATGACGAACTGGAAATAGAAATAGGCCCCCATGCATTTGTAAACGGACCGGGCCCAAATTGCCATGCGATCTCATTGGCCCATTTGGGCTGGTCCAAAAAAAACAAATGGCCCGGTGAGGAAGAATCTTTGGGGCTGCCGAATATGACGCAATACAAATTAGAAACATTGTAGTGAAAACATTTTATGAAATGAAGCAATTGGCGGGACCCCGGGGTCCCATCACTGCCCCGGGGTGGGAAAAACCGCGTAGCGACACGAGTCTTGCCTTACCGACAACAAAACTAGTGTCAATCGATTGGCCTCGTCGAGAGCTACTCGGGGCACTATGTTTCGTAAAAAGTTGAAAAATTACATAAACACGTTAAATTCACTGCCTGGGGGGGGGGGCGGGCTCGCCTTGGCAAAGAAGCTGAGGATCGACGGCTGACCGGAGGGCGACTGCGGCGGACGCCCCCCGGGCTTGCGTTTGGTCGGTGGGGTGGCGCCCATCGTGTTGATCGCCGCCTGCTGCTGGCGCTTGTTGACGCGAGTCTGGGCGGGCGGCGCGTTGCTGTTGGGATCACGAGTGGGCGGACTGAAAAATAATAATTATTGACCTGATTTTTGCGGGACTCTGGGGTCCCGCCAAATTATTCAAATAAATAATATTATTTTTAAAACTTTTCATTACACTTGCAATCCCCCCTTATAGACTGCCTCCCCCCCCCCCCCCCCTACTGGCCCTCGAAATAAAATGCCCCACCAGGCATTTGCCCCATGGACCCGCTTCCCTATGGTCAGTCTGGAGCCTTGTGCTGGTGACTCCGTTTCACGTGGCTGTCTGTGATCCAGCACTGTGAAGGCAAGCAGTAAGTGTTGGTGGATCACCGCACGAACGTTGCAACAAATCTCTCCCCATGGGCGTCGAGGAGGAGCCGAACCCTGACTCAACAGCAAGGTACCGACTATCTGTCCCTGCTGTATGGGATAGAGTGTTGCCCCTTCACACGCAAACTCCGGTCATCCTCGCAGCGGCTTTTGGCTAGCCATGGAACAAAGACGGTTACCGCATCACGTCCTTTCAGATGCGCTTCTGTAGCCGTCTGGAACGCTATTCTTTCCGATTTTAAGAAGCCACTGCAGCTATTCACTTTTAAATCTAGATTGAAAACGAATTTATTGAGAACTGCTTTTTGTGTTTAGTTTGTTGTCCTTCGCCCGCACCTCCGATTAGACGTTCAACATACATACACTTGAGTTTTTTCCTTCGGGTGTTCTGGTTTCCTCCCACTCATTATTTGGATGAAAACATTTTAATATATAGAGGACCACAGAGCTCTGGTAATTATTGGTAGTGCCAGCTTCACCGCCAGGCTGCTGCTGCCTTCCAGCTCGTCCGTAGTTCCTCAGCGATTCCTCAATGGCACAAACGAAACATTAAACGAGACTGGCGGCAGTGGTGACACACTTGTGCCTCACAGCCAAGAACGTGCCTAGGTTCGATTCCCGACTAGGGCGCCTCTCTCTGTGAGTGGAGTTTATATTTCTCTACCCTTGCTCTGCGTGGGGTTCCTCCGGCTTCTCCAGTAGCTAACAAATAAAAAGCCCCAATACAATGTAACCGGTATTGGCCAAAACCGCATCCCAACGCTGAGAAATCACGTGCACATTACTCAGCTGAGATCAAACAAAGCAGCAACATCACCTTAACTATTTTTACTTACCAGGTAAGGCCCGCTGAGCTACGTAGCTCTTTTTGAGAAACGACCTGGCTATGACAAATGATAGCACAACGAAGTGGCTTATCATGTGTAAATTGATAGCAGCAACATACTCTAAACGCATGTAGTTTCTAAATGTGGAGGGGAAAACCGGAGGACCCGGAGGGAAATCCACGCGACCATCGGGAGAGAGACATGCAAACTCCGAATATAGAGGCGTTAGGGTCTGGATCGGGGATCGAATCCACGACCTCCTGTATACTTAAAATAAGTTTTGAGACTAAGTGAGGCTTTCTTGTGTAAACAAGCAGAATAATTTAATAAAAAAATAAATAACCACCAGCATCGCCATCTGGCTTAATGCGTGAGTCAATGACCCTGTCTCGCAGCCTTCTCAGTGACACAGAGAGGTAGATTATGAGATTATTTGACAGGGGGTGAAAGAGAGGCGACGGTGGACAGAGAATTTGGTTGACAACAGAAGAGAGGGGAGAGAGGGGAGGATAAAGGGAAAGTAGGAAGATAGAGGCGATGACAGAATTGGAATGGGAGGGAGGAAATAAGAGTAGAGGAGCAGAGAGTAAATTGGAGAGAGGGGGGATGAGAGAGAGGAGGAAGAGAGGGGGGGGGATGAGAGAGAGGAGGAAGAGAGGGGGGGGATGAGAGAGAGGAGGAAGAGAGGAGGGGGATGAGAGAGAGGGGATGAGAGAGGGGGGATGAGAGAAAGAGGGGAGGAGAGTTAGGGGATAAAAGGGGCTGACTGAATCCCACATTCCTGCGCTCTCTTCTAACCCGAACCATATGGGGCTTCGGGATGGGAGGTTCCATTGAGTATGTACACTCACCTACTCACCCACTCACCTATTTACTCACCCACTCACTCACTGAACCACCCACTCACATGCTCACTCAACCACTTACTCACTCAGTCACTCATCCATTCTACCACTAACTCACCTACTCATTCACCCATGCACCCACTCGCTCACCCACTCACCCACCTCATCACCCACTCTGATGCTCACTCTCTCTTTAACTCACTCACCCCTTCTCTCTCTCTCTCGCATTCGCGCTCTCACCCACTCACTCATCCGTGAACTCTGCACTCGTTTTACGCAATCTCTGAGTGAATCTCACAACAACATGGGGGAGAGAGAGAGCCGGGAGAGAGAGGGGAAAAGGGGGGGGGGGGCGAGAGAGGAGAGGGAGAGGGAAAAGGGGGAGAGAGGGGGGAAGCGGGGGACGAGAACGGGGAGAGGGGGGAGATATTGGAGGGAGAGAGGGGGAAAACCGGGGGAGTGAGAAGGGGGAGAGAGGGGGGGTAAGCATGGGGGAAAGATGGGGAAAGGGGGAGAGAGATGCAGAGAGAGTGAAGTGCAAAGAGGTGGGGGGCGAATTGCGGGGAAAGAGAGGCAATAAGTAGGGGGAGGGAGAGTGGGGCGAGTGAGTGAGGGGAGAGAGTGGGGGGAGAGTGGGGAGAGAGTGGGGGGAGAGTGGGGAGAGAGTGGGGGGACTGTGTGAGGGGAGATTGAGGGAGGGGGGAGACTCAACTACATCGCACTTCAGCGCTCTCTCATTGCATCTGCTTTCATCTCTTCGTCATCACAACCATTATCAGCAGCAGCTCGTATCTCTCGATCATCACAATCAGCATCTTCACAATCAGCAGCATCATCAGCAGCAGCAGCGTCCGTGCTGCTCTCCGCCCCGCGTGGAGTGGCCTGCGAGTTGGCGTGGTGGTTGTGAAGTTGCGAGTTCACAGAGGAGCACCCTCCATCACCACCATCACCACCAACCTCATCACCAGCCTCATCATCACCACAGCGGCCCCAGCAACGGGCTTTTTCGGGATATTGCATTGGGCGCGGCGCGAAGATCTGGCGGCCGCTGCTGCTGATCGATAGGGAGCAGGAGGGGAAGCAAGGTGGAAGCAGAGAACAAGCAAGGAAGGAGCAGAGAAGGAGCAAGGGAGGAGCAGAAGTGGAGCAAGGAAGGAGCAGAGAAGGAGCAAGGGAGGAGCATAAACGGAGCAAGGGAGAAACAGAGGAGCAAGAGAAGCAAGGGAGGAGCAAGAGAAGCAAAGGAGGAGCAGGAAAGGAGCAACGATAGAGGAAAGTGAAACGAGCTAGGAGGGCTCCAAAAGGAGGTGGGGAGGCAGGGAAAGCAGAGAGGAAGCACGCAGGGGAGCAGGGCAAGTACCATGCGGGCCGGGAGGAGAGGGGGGGGTCCCTCTGGTGGGGTCTGGGCCCCACGTCTCGTCGGGGTCTGTTTACTCCTCGCCAGCCTCACCTCATCGCAGAGTCCCAACGGGGTCACGGCACCACTAACGGTGAGTAGGGGTTCCTTCTACTACCCCCTCTCTCGTCCCTTCTCATCCCATCCCCTCTCTTGCTCTCATCTCTTATCCCCTCTGTCACACCCTGTCATCCCATCTCTAATCCCCTCATCCCCTCTCTCATCCTCTATTATCCCATCTCTTATCTCCTCTGTCACCCCATCTCTTATCCCCTCATCCCCTCTCATCCCCTATTATCCCATCTCTTATCCCCCCCGCCCCATCCCCTCTATCACGCGAGAGAATGAGTGAGTGAATGAGCAATCAGGTAAGGCAACTGCTGAATGAGTGAGAGCGATTGAATGAATCATGATCGCTTAACTCGGTGAATGAGTGTACGGTAAAGTCAATGAATGAGTGGCCTGTGTCATGAATGAGTAACACGAGGAATGAGAGTGAATGAGAGTGAATGAGTGAGCCAAGCAACTGGAACGGTGAATGAGAGAGTTGACGTCAGTGAATGCGCGAATAAAGTAAAAGAATCAATGAATGAGTGAACGAGTTCAGAGAATGAGATCATTAAAGAGCGACTGGAAAAGAGAATGTGACCGGGAATGAGAGTTTGATGATGAATGAGTTAACGAGAGATTACAGTGCAAGGTAAGTGAACGAGTGACCAAGTGAGATGGCGAATGGTCGAGAGTGTTTACGCACTACTTCCGTCCGCCTGTCCCTCCGCCTGTCCGTCCGTCCGCTTGTCCGTCAGCCTGTATGTCCGTCCGTCCGCCTGTCCGTCAGCCTGTATGTTCGTCCGCCTGTTCGTCTGTCCATACACCTGTCCGTCCACCAATCCGCCTGTCCGTCCGCCTGTCCCTCAGCTTGTCCATTCGGGTCTCTGTCTCTTTCTCTGTAACGGGAGAGTCACAGCAACTGCCGTCCATCACAGGCCGCAGTATGAACGAGGCTTCAGTGTGAAGTTGCGTTGCTATTCGGGACTAAACCTGAACAGTTGCAATTCTGCCAAATTGCTGCTGTGTACATACACAGCAGCACTCCCCAGTTTGCGTCGGGGATGCGTTCCTGAAAGTTGCGACGACGAATATCGAAACGACGTGAATGAAAGCGATGTACAGGGTGGGTGGTGGTGGTGGTGGTGGCGAAGGCTGAGAAAGGGCGGATAGCGAGAAGGGCGGACGATGCCGTCAGCGACGTGACGTGTGGTGCTTCACGTGGCGTGAGTGTGGGGCTTGACGTGAGTGTGGGGCTTGACGCGACGCAGATCGGGTGTTGGCGGTACTCGTCACGTGACGACGACGGATTGGTGAGACGACGTCAAATGTGGGAAGACGAAACCGCGGTGTTCAAGTATGACTGCATCACTGGATTTGAACACAAATCTTCGTGGAGTCCATGCGTTTGCGCGATTGTTCTTCGTTGGTTGAGCGTGAAACATTTACCGTCGCCTCTTGTCCAAGCTGGGTAAATCGGACTTAAACAATGTATTGATTTATGGTTTGGCGACTTGATTTTACCTTTTCATCGATGTTGCACTCCTGTCGTGTTTGTGTGTAATTGTTTGTGTGCCATTGTGTTTGTGTGTCATTGTGTTTGTGTGTCTGTGTGTCAGTGTTTGTGTGTCATCGTGTTTGTGTGTCATTGTGTTTGTGTGTTATTGTGTTTGTGTGTCATTGTGTTTGTGTGTCATTGTGTCTGTGTGTCATTGTGTTTGTGTGTCATTGTGTCTGTGTGTCATTGTGTTTGTGTGTCATTGTGTTCGTGTGTCATTGTGTTTGTGTGTCATTGTGTTTGTGTGTCATTGTGTTTGTGTGTCATTGTGTGTGTCATTATTGTGTGTCATTGTGTTTGTGTGTTTGTGTGTCTTTGTGTTTGTCTGTTATTGTGTTTGTGTGTCATTGTGTTTGTGTGTCATTGTGTTTGTGTGTCATCATGTTTGTGTATCATTGTGTTTGTGTGTCATTGTGTTTGTGTGTCATTGTTTTGTGTGTCATCGTGTTTGTGTGTCATTTTTTGTGTGTCATCGTGTTTGTGTGTCATTGTGTTTGTGTGTCATCGTGTTTGTGTGTCATTGTGTTTGTGTGTCATTGTGTTTGTGTGTCATTGTGTTTGTGTGTCATCGTGTTTGTGTGTCATCGTGTTTGTGTGTCATCGTGTTTGTGTGTCATTGTGTTTGTGTGTCATTGTGTTTGCTGTTGTAACTTTGCTGACCCGCCCATACTGGGCATCTGTAAAAAAGAGCTTCACGGCTCATCGGATTCCTCCTCCAGCAGTCGACATCAAGATTCTGATCCTGAGTTGTGCAATGACAACGCGATGGTTCCGTGACATTGGATGTCATCAGCAAGGGCCACGTGCATGCCTCGCCGTGTGCATCGGAAGGGTGACAGTGTTGTGTGTGTGTGTTACAATGTAACAAAACCTCTTTTATTTAACCCCGCGTGTCCCGTAATCACGGAAACCTCTCTGTTTACACGCACAATGCATTCTTTATGTAATAGGCGCTCAGATTTTGCTGAGCGTTGCACATTTTACCACAGCTCAACATTTCTTGCCTGTGTGTACTTATGAGCGTTTAATACATACAAGCAAAGACAAAGATCCTCCGTGTAGCCTTAACAGACTGTTGTGGGGCAAGTGCTGTTAGCGAGTAGCGGCACGTGTGAAGGCCGGAACGGTACACGAGAGGTTGTGTAGCCAGCAGCTACGCCCGACCGCCTTTGTCTCCCCCTCCCTAGTGGCGATGTGTACTACACACCGCACCAGGTACTCGTTTGAGGCTGAGTCGAGCAAGGGGAGGCCCGGGATCCGTTTAGATAATCGTCACCGGTGTTGGCCGTGAACAGGAATCGAACTCTGATCGCCGGGTTCATAGCGCAGTGCACGACCGCTCCCACAATAATACACGGGGGGAGTCGTGGCGCAATGGTTAGCGCACTGCGCTCCTAACTTTGTGGTTGTGAGTTCGATTCCCGCTTCACGGTCAACATCCTGGACCTACCCTACGTTGACTCAGTCGTAAATGAACACCTGGTGCGTTGTGTAAACATCAGCGCTGGAGAGACAAAGGCGGCCAGTCGAGCGTGGTGTTGTCCACAACCCGACCCAGCTACTGTGCCGGGGTGCCACGGTGGCTATGAGATGTTAACTACCTCGCCTGATATGCAGGTGGTCGTGGGTTCGATCCTGACCCTGACACCTGCTGCTGTACATTGGGAATTTTCGTCCCTCCCCGTGGTCGCGTGGATTTGCCTCCGGGTCCTACGGCTTTTCCCCTCCACATTTAGAATCAACATCACCACGCGTTTAGAGTGTTTGCTGAAATTAATTCCACGTGATAAGCCCACTTCGTCGAGCTATCATTTATATTCAGGTGGCTTTTGAAAAAGTCTATCGAGCTCAGTGGGCCTTACCTGGTCAAATGAAAGATGGTTTTAAAAAGTTTAGTTTGAATAGGCGCTGGCTAACAAGAGTCATTGTCTGTTTCAGGACTGCTCCGAGGGTTACCTGTGGAACGCCGATCGGCAGCAGTGTCTGGGTGAGTCACAGCCGTGCGGGAAGAGGCGTCCCTCGGGTAGACGGCGAATCGGGGCGACCGTCCCGGGCCCCCCCCCAGGCCCCCCGCGCTTTGGGAGGCCCCGTGCCTTGACGTCACGGCCTTAGGTGTAATAGTTCCGCTTTAGCTTGAAGGCGTTTGGGGGCCCACACAGTGGGATTTGCCCCGGGCCCCACGGTGGCTATGAGATGTCAACTACCTCGCCTGGTGTACAGGAGGTCGTGGGTTCGATCCCGATCCTGACGCCTGCTGCTGCTGTATATTTGTGGTTTGCGTGGTTTTTTCAGATCCTCCTGGTTTTCCCTCCGTATTTAGAATCAACATCACGCGTTTAGAGTATTTGGTTGCTATAAATGTCCACGTGATGATAAGCCACTTCGAGAGCTATCATTTGTGATAGCAAGGTCGTTTCTGAAAAAAGAGATACGTAGCTCAGTGGGCCTTATCTGGTACAACAAATAATGTTTTTAGTTTAGTTTAGACGGCCCTGCGTGGGAGAGTTGTACTGTGGAGGAGAGGAAGACACGTGCTCCCGGTGGTGGCTGTTAAGAAGCCGGCTATCAGCCGGGCCGTGGTGGTGGTGGTGGTGGCTACGCTGCACGTGGAGTATAAAGAGGCATTGAATTGAGTTTTACAATCGAATGCAACATTCTGGAGCAAACATCATGGACAAAGCTCCACGGAAGAGAGACGGCCACGATTTTTGACGTCTTGGATGGAGAAAGACGTGGCCCACAGAGCGACCGAGATGGTGGTGGTGGTGGTGAGACCTATAGACTCGCATAGAGACCCATAGACTTACATAGAGACCCAAAGACTCTCACAGAGACCCCCAGACACAGAGATGCATAGACGCACACAGAGACGCATGGACTCACACAGAAACCCATAGACTCGCACAGAGACGCATAGACTCACACGGAGACCAACAGACTCACACATTTGATCCATATATTTTCATTGCATAACCGGTAACCGTATAGGGGGGCGGCGACCGGTAAAAACCGGTTCGTTCATATTCAGAAATGTCTCTCGCAATGAAACGTCAATCTCCTTTGCCCGTCGTGATTGAGACACGGGGGGAAGGGGGGCAGATAGCGCAGAGTGGTGTCCGTGATGGTCAGCCCGCTGGACCTACAACCCACAGGCTGGTCGGCTCGATCCCATATCTTCCGGCGTGGAAGTTGAAACAATGGGGGGCAAAGGGTCCACCCCAGCAGCAGCAGCAGCAGTCTGGATGGGTGCACCCACAGCTGCGTGGTCTCTGTTCGACAGTAGGTCTCGCGTGGTGGGGTAAAGCGTGGGCCACTCACACTCCTTCCAAATACCCCTCTAGGGCTCTCCTTTCGTGGAGGCCCTGCCGCCAGCAGTGACGTGAGCGAGCACTTGCAGAGGCTGCGCCTTTGACGTGTATTCACTCAAGGTGTGTTATATAAACTAAAACTAACCTTGCGTCTTTCATCTTACCAGGTAAGGCCCACCGAGCCATATAGCTCTTTTCAGAAGCGACCTCTAGACTTCCATAGCGACCCATAGACTCACATAGTCCCAAAGACTTATACAGAGACCCATAGACTCACACAGAGACCCATGGACTCACACAGAGGCCCATAGACTCACAGAGAGACCCATAGACTCACACAGAGACCCATAGACTCACACAGAGACCCATAGATTCACACAGAGACCCACAGACTCACACAGAGACCCATGGACTCACACAGAGACCCATAGACTCACAGAGAAGCCTATAGACTTACACAGAGACCCACAGACTCACACAGAGACCCATAGACTCACAGAGAAGCCTATAGACTTACACAGAGACCCACAGACTCACACAGAGACCCATAGACTCACAGAGAGACCCACAGACTCACACAGAGACCCATAGACTCACACAGAGACCCATAGATTCACACAGAGACCCACAGACTCACACAGAGACCCATGGACTCACACAGAGACCCATAGACTCACAGAGAAGCCTATAGACTTACACAGAGATCCACAGACTCACACAGAGACCCATAGACTCACAGAGAGACCCACAGACTCACACAGAGACCCATAGACTCACAGAGAGACCTATAGACTCACACAGAGACCCATAGACTCAAACAGAGACCCATAGACTCACAGAGACCTATAGACTCACACAGAGACCCATAGACTCACAGAGAGACCCATAGACTCACACAGAGTCCCATAGACTCACACAGAGTCCCATAGACTCACACAGAGACCCATAGACTCACACAGAGACCCATAGACTCACACAGAGACACATAGAATCACGCAGAGATCCATAGACTCACAAAGAGACCCATAGACTCACACAGAGTCCCATAGACTCACACAGAGACCCATAGACTCATAGAGAGACCTATAGACTCACACAGAGACCCATAGACTCACAGAGACCTATAGACTCACACAGAGACCCATAGACTCACATAGAGACCCATATACTCACAGAGAGACCTATAGACTCACACAGAAACCTATAGACTCACACAGAGACCCATAGACTCACACAGAGACCCATAGACTCACAGAGAGACCTATAGACTTACACAGAGACCCATAGACTCAAACAGAGACCCATAGACTCACACAGAGACCCATAGACTCACACAGAGACCCATAAACTCACAGAGAGACTCATAGACTCACAGAGAAGCCTATAGACTCACACAGAGACCCATAGACTCACAGAGAGACCCACAGACTCACACAGAGACCCATGGACTCACAGAGAGACCTATAGACTCACACAGAGACCCATAGACTCACACAGAGACCCATAAACTCACAGAGAGACTCATAGATGCACCTCCCCCCCAACCCCCTGGCCCCCGCCCCCACCTTGCGACTCGCACAGACGTGAACGAGTGCGAGATCATCCCGGACGCGTGCAAGGGTCAACTGAAGTGCATTAACCACTTCGGGGGTTACCTCTGCCTGCCCCGCTCGGCGCTCGTCATCCGCACCCCCTCGGGCGAGACCCACGGCGGCGGTGGGAGCGGTGCCCCCCAGCCCGTCGGGGAGAGGCCCCCGGGGGGCCACGCGGCCCCCCCGCCCAGGAGGGCGGTGTCGGAGGCGGGGGACGCGGCCGAGGACGTGATGAGTCCCTGCGCTCCAGGACACGACCTGCAGGATGGCGTGTGCGTGGGTACGTGTGCGTGGGTACGTGTGAGTGGATGTGTGTGGGTACGTGTGTGGGTACGTGTGCGTGGGTACGTGTGTGTGGCTGTGTGTGGCTGTGTGTGGGTACATGTGTGTGGGTACGTGTGCGTGGGTACGTGTGCGTGAGTACGTGTGTGTGGATGTGTGTGGGTACGGGAGTGTGGGTACGTGTACCGGGGGAATCTCCATATGGTACAGATATAATGGGAGGCTGATCGATGCCCGGGTGCAGTCAAGGGACGGCTCCCTATTGCTCAACCACGTTATGTATGCTGATGATTTGGTAATAGCTGCTCATTCAGAGGAGGAGTTGGAGATGCTGCTGCTGAGACTGGAGCGTGCCACTAAGAGATGGGGCCTTACCATCAGCCCCACCAAAACTAAGCACCTGCCTGGGTATTTTGTACCATCGGACACTCCACTCCCACAACTCCCAATCGGTAATGGGGCAGTTGTGGAGAGAGTGGAGAGTTTCCCATACCTGGGCAGTGTGCTTATGACCGGCTCCAGTTTAACAGCAGAGGTCGCACTCCGAATCAGTCGAGCAGCAATATCTTTTCATCGGTTGCGTAACGCTGTGTGGAGGCTACCTGGTCTGTCGCTCTGCACTAAGCTTAAGGTCTTCTCGGCCACGGTCATTCCCTCCCTTCTCTACGCTTGCGAAACGTGGACCCCCCTAATGGGACATCTTCGCCGGTTAGAAACATTTAGGCTGGCCTGCCTACGATCCATCCTGGGTTTAACCAGACTGGATTGTGTGAGGAGCTCACAAATCCTTGAAAGATCTGGGCAAGGTCCCATCGGTGAGCTCCTCCGGCAGGCAAGGCTGCGTTGGCTGGGTCATGTAGCCCGCATGCCTAGCTACCGCATGCCGAAACAGCTTTTGTTCGGCCGGATCGAGGGGGCTAAACGGGCGCGGCACGGACTAGAGAAGAGATGGAGTGATGTGGTACAGGAGGACATGGAGCTGAGTGGACTTGCCGATGACTGGTACCAGCGGTGTCAAGATCGGCCTCTGTGGAGAATGCTCGTGAAGGACGCTACTGGGCAGTTGGAGGCAGTCGCCCTCCAACAACAACAACGGAGGGCGGAGGAGCGACGCTCACAACAACGAGCGGAGCGCCGGGTGGCTAAAGCACAGCAGGTTGGCACAGTGAGGGGCACAGGTGGTGCATCAGCCAGTCATCTCAGTCAGTCGACCCGTGGCACCTGGGTCTGCCCCGTGACCTCCTGCCAGCGGGCGTTCCGACACTCCACGTGGCCTCAATGTGCACATGGCCTGGCACAACCGTCGTGGTGACGTCACCACCACTTAGTGGTGAATGGCGGTTGTTGTTGTTGTGGGTACGTGTGTGTGCATGTGCTCGCGAACAGCACTTGTCCCAACAGTCTGTTAAGGCTAAACGGGGGATTTTTGTGAGTGTGTGGGTGGGTGTGAGGGCGTGGGTATGTGTGGGTACGTGTATGTGGATGTGTGTGGGTACGTGTGTGGGGGTGTGGGTAGAGCAGTGTAGTGGTGAGCAAACTGCGCTACGAACCCGGTGACCCGAGTTCAAATCGGGCTCAGGGCTAACATCGATAACAATTATTTGATTTGGTCCTGGGTCTCACCTCGGTCGACTCAGCCTGAAATGGGTACCTGGTGCGGTGTGTTCAACATCGCCACTGGTGAGACTAGAGCGGTCAGGCGTGGTGCCGGCCACCCACCCCGATGCGTGCCGTTCCAGCCTTAAGAGGTGCTCGTGAATTGCACTTGCCCCAACAGTCTGTTAAGGCTGTTGGGGCAAGTGCATAATTCAATGTCGCCATGCCAGGTATGCTGAGGAGAGGCTTGCGGAGCCCCATTGTGGTTTCTAGTCGAGGCAGTCCTGCCTGCCTGGATAACAATCTCTGTCCGTCTGCTACAGCAAAGGTGTAGGGAATTCCAACAGGACCTACATATGTGACCTGGTCAAGGCCTATGTTCTTTGTGCTTTCGGGATCCCTGACTGCTCACAATCATCAAGGACCTTCATGATGGTGGGCAGGCCCAAGTAAAGTTGTGTGGCCAGGAGTCAGAGCCATTCCCTGCTCATCTTGGAGTGCGTCAGAGTTGTCCTCTAGTTCCCACATTGTTTAACATCGTCTTCGACCACGTAGTTCGAGAAGCCTTACATGGCTGTACCAGTGGAAATTCCATCTAGTGCAGATACAATCGGAGGCGAATCGGAGGCGATTCGGAGGCAAATCGATGCCCGCGTGCAGTCAAGGGATGGCTCCCGACTGGTTAACCATGTTATGTACGCTGACGATCTGGTGTGTGCTTCTCACTCTTAGAAGGAATTGGAGGTTCTGCTGCTCAACCTGGAGCGTGTCACTAAGAGGTGGGGCCTTACCATCAGGCCCACCAAATCTGAGCACCTGCCTGGGTATTTTGTATCATCCAATAACGAACTCCCTCAACTCCCCATAAGTGATGTGGCAGTTGTGGAGAGAGTGGAGACATTTCCATACTTGGGCAGTTTGCTTATGACCAGCTCCGGTTTGGCAGTAGAGGTCTCACTCCGAATCAGCAAAGCAGCATTATATTTGCATCGGCTGCATAACGCTGTGTGGAAGCTACCTGGTCTGTCGATCCACACGAAGCTTCGGGTCTTCTCGGCCACAGTCATGCCCTCCCTTCTCTACGTTTGTGAAACGTGAAGGGCTCTAATGGAACATCTGCGCCGGTTTGAAACTTACAAGATGGCCTGCCTCACAAATCATTGAAAGATCTGGACACATTCCCATCAGTGAGCTCCTCCAGTGGGCAAGGCTGCGTTGGCTGGGTCATGTAGCCTGCATGTCCAACAACAGCATGCCCAAGAAACTTATGTTAGGCCGGATAGAGGGGGCTAAACGGGCGCGACACGAGCTAGAGAAGAAATCGACTGATGCGGTACAGGAGAATGTGGAGCTGAGTGGACTTGCCAATGATCGGTATCAGCGGTGTCAAGATTAGCCTCTGTGGAGGAGGCTCGTGAAGGATGCTATTTGGTAATTGAAGACAGTCTCACCCTTCAACAACAACAGACAGCAGAGGAGCGACGCTCACAATAACGAGTGGCGCGCTGGTCAGCGAGAATGCAGTAAGTTGGCAAAGTAGGGAGTACAGCTGGTGGTGCATCTGCCAGCGATCTCAGTCAGTCAATCCATGGCACCTGCTGGGTCTGTCCCGTGACCTGTCAGCAGCGAGCCTTCGACACCTCTGATGGCTTCAGAGTGCACCTAGCCTGGCACAAGCGCCGTGGTGACGTCACCACCGCTTAATGGCGAATGGTGGCTGTTGTTGTTTTGTGTGGGCACGTGCGTGTGTGTGGGTGTACACGTGACGTGCTTATGGGAAAGGTCCATTGCCCGAAACATCGCCTAGTATATACTAAAACTATAACCTAAACTCTTTTTATTTGACCAGGTAAGGCCCACTGAGCTATACAGCTCCTTTTAAGAAGCGACCTGGCCACAAATGATAGCTCAACTAAGTGGCTTATCACGTGCAATTGTATAACAGCCAAACAATATAAACGCGTGTTTGTAAACGTGGAGAGAAAACCCAGTGGACCACGCGACCACGTGGGGAGAGAGAGACACGCAAACTCCAAATATACAGCAGCAGCAGCAGGCGTCAGGGTCGGGATCGAACCCTCGACCTCCTGTATACTAGGCGAGGTAGTTAACATCTCATAGTCACCAGGCGAGGTAGTCAACATCTCCTGTGTACCAGGCGAGGTAGTTAACATCTCCTAGTCACCAGGCGAGGTAGTTAACATCTCCTGTGTACCAGGCGAGGTAGTTAACATCTCCTAGTCACCAGGCGAGGTAGTTAACATCTCCTGTGTACCAAGCGAGGTAGTTAACATCTCCTGTGTACCAGGCGAGATAGTTAACATCTCCTAGTCACCAGGCGAGGTAGTTAACATCTCCTGAGTCACCAGGCGAGGGAGTTAACATGTCCTGTATACCAGGCGAGGTAGTTAACATCTCCTGTATACCAGGCGAGGTAGTTAACATCTCCTGTATACCAGGCGAGGTAGTTAACATCTCCTGTATACCAGGCGAGGTAGTTAACATCTCCTGTACACCAGGCGAGGTAGTTAACATCTCCTGTATACCAGGCGAGGTAGTTAACATCTCCTGTACACCAGGCGAGGTAGTTAACATCTCCTGTACACCAGGCGAGGTAGTTAACATCTACTGTGTACCAGGCGAGGTAGTTAACATCTCCTGTGTACTAGGCGAGGTAGTTAACATCTCCTGTGTACCAGGCGAGGTAGTTGACATCTCCTAGTCACCAGGCGAGGTAGTTAACATCTCCTTTGTACCAGGCGAGGTAGTTAACATCGCCTGTACACCAGGCGAGGTAGTTAGCATCTTACGCCACTCTTCCTTCTAAGAACCACACACAGTGTTATCGACGAACACGTCAAGTGTTTTATATTGATACATGCGCAATGAAGAAGGGCCATTACCCGAAACGTCGCCTAACACTGATGTATTTATATTTCTCCGTGCAAGAGCAGGACGCTGTGTCAATGCCGAGCGTGCTGAGACTCCTTCCGTGGGAGCGAGGCGGCCGCGGCGGTGTTGTTGTTGTTGTCGTCGTTGTTGTCGTCATTGTTGTCGTTGTTGTTGTCGTTGTTGTTGTCGTTGTTGTTGTTGTTGTCGTTGTTGTTGTCGTTGTTGTCGTTGTTGTTGTTGTCGTTGTTGTCGTTGTTGTTGTCGTTGTTGTTGTTGTTGTCGTTGTCGTTGTTGTCGTTGTTGTTGTCGTTGTTGTTGTCGTTGTTGTCGTTGTTGTTATCGTTGTTGTTGTCGTTGTTGTTGTCCTTGATGTTGTCGTTGTCGTTGTTGTCGTTGTTGTCGTTGATGTTGTCGTTGTTGTCGTTGTCGTTGATGTTGTCGTTGTCGTTGTTGTCGTTGTTGTTGTCGTTGTTGTCGTCGTTGTTGTTGTTGTTGTCGTTGTTGTTGTCGTTGTTGTTGTCGTTGATGTTGTCGCTGTTGTCGTTGTTGTCGTTGTTGTCGTCGTTGTTGTTGTCGTTGTTGTCGTTGTTGTTGTCGTTGTTGTGGTTGTTGTTGTCGTTGTTGTCGTTGTTGTTGTCGTTGTTGTTGTTGTCGTTGTTGTTGTCGTTGTTGTTGTTGTCGTTGTTGTTGTTTCGCGCGCAGTCCGTGATGAGCCCAGCAGCGAGTCGTCTCGGCGGCTCCCCAACAACAACAACCGCCATTCGCCACTAAGTGGCGGTGACGTCACCACGACGCTTGTGCCAGGCCATGTGCACCTTGAGGCCACGTGAAGTGTCGAACGCTCGCTGGCAGGAGGTCACGGGGCAGACCCAAGTGCCACAGGTCGACTGACTGAGATGACTGGCTGGTGCACCACCTGTGCCCCCTACTGTGCCAACCTGCTGTGTTTTAGCCACCCGGCGCTCCGCTCGTTGTTGTGAGCGTCGCTCCTCTGCCCTCCGTTGTTGTTGGAGGGCGACTGCCTCCAACTGCCCAGTAGCGTCCTTCACGAGCCTCCTCCACAGAGGCCGATCTTGACACCGCTGGTACCAGTCATCGGCAAGTCCACTCAGCTCCACGTCCTCCTGTACCACATCACTCCATCTATTCTCTAGCCCGTGCCGCGCCCGTTTAGCCCCCTCGATCCTGCCGAACAAAAGCTGTTTCGGCATGCGGTGGCTGGGCATGCGGGCTACATGACCCAGCCAACGCAGCCTTGCCTGCTGGAGGAGCTCACCGATGGGACCGTGCCCAGATCTTTCAAGGATTTGTGAGCCCCTCACACAATCCAGTCTGGTTAAACCCAGGATGGATCGTAGGCAGGCCAGCCTTAACGTTTCTAACCGGCGAAGATGTTCCATTAGGGGGGGGTCCACGTTTCGCATGCGTAGAGAAGGGAGGGAATGACTGTGGCCGAGAAGACCTGAAGCTTAGTGCGGAGCAACAGACCAGGTAGCTTCCACACAGCGTTACGCAAGCGATGAAAAGATATTGCCGCTCGACTGATTCTGCTCTTAAACTGGAGCCGGTCATACACACACACACTCTCACACACACTCACATACACACACTCTCTCACACACACTCTCACACACACTGTCACACACACTCACACTCACTCTCTCACACACACTCACACACTCTCACTCACCCACACTCACAAACTCTCACTCACACACTCACTCACACACACTCACACTCTCACCCACACACACACATGTGCTCCCGATTTGGGGGTCTATAAACATCTCCCTCGAGTGGGGTCATTGGCGGTGATGGGTGGGGCGGGGGGGGCGGAAACACGCAGCCTCGCAGATGTGAAGAGCTCTGTGGCTTTGGAGATCATGGTTACGGTGTGTGTTCGTGTGTGTGTGTGTGTTACGATGTGGTGTGTAAACATCACCACTGTGGAGACAAAGGCGGCCTGCGTGGTGTTGGCCACCCACTCCTTCGTGTGTCGTGCCCGTCTTCATAGGTGCTGGCTAACAACACTTGCCCCAACAGTCTGTGCAAGCTATACGGGGATCTTTGTCTTTGTTATGTTGTAGTGGGGAGCGGTGGCACAGCGGTTAGCGCGCTGCGCGATGAACCCGGCGACCCGAGTTTGATTCCCGATCACGGCCACCACCGGTGGCCGTGAGCGGGAATCGAACTCGGCATAAATGAATGGTGCGATGTGAAGACATCGCCACTGGAGAGACAAAGACGGCCGGGCGTGGTGCTGGCCACCCACCCCCTCGTGTGTCACAGTGCCGGTAGCCTTCAAAGGTGCTACTCGTCAGTCTATTAAGGCTACACGGGGGACCTTTGTCTTTGTTGTGTGCTATAGTGTGTGTGTGAATATGTATATATTCGAGTGTATGTTTGTGTGAGAGCGTGTGTGTACGAGTTTGTGAGTGGATGCACGTGTGTACTCACGTGTGTAATCTCGTGTGTAATCTCGTGTGTGTACTCACGTGTGTGTACTCACGTGTGTAATTACGTGAGTACACACACGTGAGTACACAAACATATTGAGTACTCACGTGTGTGTACTCTCGGGGATTCAAAACTGGGGGGGTGCTTGACCATACTTCACCACACTGGTCGGTGCGTAATTAACGCCGTCAAGGTCAACTTCCCCCACGCCCCCTCCCCCTCTGTGGCCCTGCCGCGCCGCTACAGACGTGGATGAGTGTCTGGGGGGCGAGCCGCTGTGTCCCCCATCCAAGACGTGCGCCAACACCCCGGGCAGCTACACGTGCCAGTGCCACAGCGGCTACCAAGAGAGCTACGGAGGCGTCTGCGTCGGTAAGTGGCCGCCACAGGGGGGCACTGCTGCCCGTAAGACGCCGCGAGTGTGAGGAGGAGGAGGCAGCACGATGATGATGATGATGAGGGTGGGGGTGGTGGTGGGTGGTGGTGGGTGGTGGTGGGGGTGGTGGGGGTGGTGGTGGGGGGGGTGGTGGGGGTGGTAGTGGTGGGGGTAATGGGGTGGTGGTGGAAGATAAAAAATAAAAAAGATTAAAATAAAAAAGATTAAAAAGAAAAACAAGAAGATAAAAAATAACAATTCTAGATTTTAAGCTTTTGTGACTGAATTCATACTCTTTGTTTTTTTTCGCTGAAGTGTGTTTGTGCTTTCGCTACGTTGTCCCCACCTGAAGAAGGACGCTTGTGTTGCGCCCGAAACGTCGTGATTTAATTTAGTTTTCATTTATCTTACCGAAAAAATAACAAGAATATTAAAAATAAAAAATCACCGACGTCCAAGAGCCCCACTGCGGTCCTTAAAGAGCCACCACCTGCAGCTCCAGAGCCGCAGGCAATGGGGGATACAGCAAGGGGGTACAGCAAGGGGATACAGCAAGGGGATACAGCAAGGGGGCACAGCAAGGGGGTACAGCAAGGGGGCACAGAGAGGGGATACAGCAAGGGGATACAGCAAGGGGGCACAGCAAGGGGATACAGCAAGGGAATACAGCAAGGGGGCACAGCAAGGGGATACAGCAAGGGGGTACAGCAAGGGGGTACAGCAAGGGGGCACAGAGAGGGGATACAGCAAGGGGGTACAGCAAGGGGATACAGCAAGGGGGTACAGAGAGGGGTTACAGCAAGGGGGTACAGCAAGGGGGTACAGCAAGTGGGTACAGCAAGGGGGTACAGCAAGGGGTACAGAGAGGGGTTACAGCAAGGGGGTACAGCAAGGGGGCACAGAGAGGGGATACAGCAAGGGGGTACAGCAAAGGGTTACAGAGAGGGGGCACAGCAAGGGGGTACAGCAAGGGGGTACAGCAAGGGGTACAGAGAGGGGGTACAACATGCAGTTACAGCAAGGGGGTACAGCAAGGGGACTCAGCTTAGTGTATGGGGTTCAGAAATAATCTGCGGCTGCTGTGTATCCCCGTGTGTCTCCCCGTGTGTCTCCCCCACGTCTCCACCACGTCTCCCCCACGTCTCCACGCGTCTCCCCCACGTCTCCCCGTGTGTCTCTCCCACGTCTCCCCCCCCACCCCCCAGACATCAACGAGTGTCTGTACGGGCACTGCCAGCAGCGCTGCGTCAACTCGCCGGGGTCGTACCGCTGCCAGTGCTCGGCGGGCTTCATCCTGGCGGACAACAACCACTCGTGCCAGGGTGAGCGGTCGAGCGAGCTAGAGGTCTGTGAGCATCCACCGCGCAAACCACGGCAGCAGGAGATGCGGATGGTAGCTGATGATGCGCAAATGGGAAATTAAAAACTGTCCGGTGGTGGTCTGACGGTGGTCATCCAGAACCGAGCGGAGTACAACGTGGAACGACTCTTTAGCGAAGGAGACATCATCACAGCGACGACGACGATGATGATGATGACACACGACTCCACTACTGCTCCTGACGCCGTTGTCTGGGCTTGCCCACCTGAGTGTGACATTGTAGACGTCGCTCTGCATCTACAACAGCAGCGGTCTGGAAGAAGGAGATCGATCCAGCACTTCCCATAGACTCAGCACTGCCCATAGACTCAGCAATGCCCATAGACTCAGCAATGCCCATAGACTCAGCAATGCCCATAGACTCAACACTGCCTATAGACTCAGCACTGCACCATAGACTCAGCACTGCCCATAGACTCAGCACTGCCCATAGACTCAGCACTGCCCATAGACTCAGCATTGCACCATAGACTCAGCACTGCCCATAGACTCAGCACTGCATCATAGACTCAGCACTGCCCATAGACTCAGCACTGCCTATAGACTCAACACTGCCCATAGACTCAAAACTGCCTATAGACTCAGCACTGCACCATAGACTCAGCACTGCCCATAGACTCAGCACTGCATCATAGACTCAACACTGCCCATAGACTCAACACTGCCCATAGACGCAACACTACCCATAGACTCAGCACTGCCTATAGACTCAACACTACCCATAGACTCAAAACTGCCTATAGACTCAGCACTGCACCATAGACTCATTACTGCCCATAGACTCAGCACTGCCCATTGACTCAGCACTGCCCACAGACTCAGCACTGCAGTCCATAGGCGGGCCGTGCCTGCCGGACCTTTCTAAAAATAACTCTTCACTTGCCTTGCCTGCACGGGGCTACCTGGGGGAGCTTCGCCTCTGTCTCTGTGTGCGCGCAGACGTGGACGAGTGTGCGGGCGAGCAGCAGCCGTGCGCCCAGCTGTGCACCAACTCGCACGGCAGCTTCCAGTGCCGCTGCGAGGCGGGGTACTCGCTGGCTCGCGACCGCCGGGCCTGCACCGGTACCGGGCTGGCGGGGGGGCGATCACGATGATTATGATTGTGATCATGATGATGATGATTAGGATGGTGATGATGATCACGATGATTATGAGCACGATGTTGATGATTATCACGATGATGATCACGATTATTATGATCACGATGATTGTGATCATGATGATGATCACGATGATGATGATGATCACGATGATTACGATCACGATGTTGATGATGATCACGATGATGATCACGATGATGAAGCATGATGATGATGAGCACGATGATGATGAGCACGATGCTTATGATGATGATCACGATGACAACGATGACGTTAATGATCACGATGATTATAACGATGATCACGATGATTATGATGATGATCACGATGACGATAATGATCACGATGATGATCACGATGATGTTCACGATGATGATGATCACGACGATGATGATCACGACGATGATGATCACGATGATGATCACGATGATGATGATCACGATGATGTTCATGATGACGAAGATCACGATGACAATGATGACGATGCTGAAGATGATGATCACGCTGATGATGATGATCACGATGATGATGATCACGATGATGATCACGATGATGATGACGACGTTGATGATGACGATGATGATGACGATGATGGTGATGCCGATGATGATCACGATGGAGACCAGAGTCTCAGAGGTTGCTTTTGGGAACTCGTGACGGGAGACGGTTAGATTGAGATTATTTAGTTTCATTTACTTGAGCAGGACGGTGCTGGGCTCACCCTCTCTCTCACTCACCCTCTCTCTCACTCACTCTCTCTCTCACTCAACCTCTCTCTCACTCACCCTCTCTCTCACCCTCTCTCTCACTCACCCTCTCTCTCTCACCCTCTCTCTCACTCACCCTCTCTCTCACTCACCCTCTCTCTCACTCACTCTCTCTCTCACTCAACCTCTCTCTCACTCACTCTCTCTCTCACCCTCTCTCTCACTCACCCTCTCTCTCACTCACCCTCCCTCTCACTCACCCACTCACTCACCCTCTCTCTCACTCACCCACACTCTCACTCCCCCTCTCTCACTCACCCGCTCTCACTCACCCTCTCTCACTCACCCTCTCTCTCACTCACCCTCTCTCACTCACCCTCTCTCTCACTCACCCTCTCTCTCACTCACCCTCTCTCACTCACCCCCTCTCTCACTCACCCTCTCTCTCACTCACCCTCTCTCTCTCTCACTCACCCTCTCTCTCACTCACCCTCTCTCTCTCACTCACCCTCTCTCTAACTCACCCTCTCTCTAACTCACCCTCTCTCTAACTCACCCTCTCTCACTCACCCTCTCTCTCACTCACCCTCTCTCTCACTCACCCTCTCTCTCACTCACCCTCTCTCACTCACCCTCTCTCTCACTCACCCTCTCACTCACCCTCTCACTCACCCTCTCTCACTCACCCTCTCTCTCACTCACCCTCTCACTCACTCACCCTCTCTCTCACTCACCCTCTCTCACTCACCCTCTCTCACTCACCCTCTCTCTCACTCACCCTCTCACTCACCCTCTCTCTCACTCACCCTCTCTCTCACTCACCCTCTCACTCACCCTCTCTCTCACTCACCCTCTCTCACTCACCCTCTCTCTCACTCACCCTCTCACTCACTCACCCTCTCTCTCACTCACCCTCTCTCACTCACCCTCTCTCACTCACCCTCTCTCTCACTCACCCTCTCACTCACCCTCTCTCACTCACCCTCTCTCACTCACCCTCTCTCTCACTCACCCTCTCTCTCACTCACCCTCTCTCTCACTCACCCTCTCTCTCACTCACCCACACTCTCACTCACCCTTACTCCCCCTCTCTCACTCACCCCCTCTCACTCACCCTCTCTCTCACTCACCCTCTCTCTCACTCACCCTCTCTCTCTCACTCACTCACCCTCTCTCTCACTCACCCTCTCTCTAACTCACCCTCTCTCTAACTCACCCTCTCTCACTCACCCTCTGTCCCTCACTCACCCTCTCTCACTCACCCTCTCTAACTCACCCTCTCTCTCACTCACCCTCTCTCTCTCACTCACCCGCTCTCACTCACCCTCTCTCACTCACCCTCTCTCACTCACCCTCTCTCTCTCACTCACCCTCTCTCACTCACCCTCTCTCTCTCTCACCCTCTCTCTCACTCACCCTCTCTCTCACTCACCCTCTCTCTCACCCTCTCTCTCTAACTCACCCTCTCTCACTCACCCTCTCTCTCACTCGCCCTCTCTCTAACTCACCCTCTCTCTCACTCACCCTCTCTCTCTCTCTCACTCACCCTCTCTCTCACTCACCCTCTCTCACCCTCTCACTCACCCTCTCTCTCACTCACCCTCTCTCTAACTCACCCTCTCTCTAACTCACCCTCTCTCTCACTCACCCTCTCTCTCGCTCACCCTCTCTCACCCTCTCTCTCTCACTCACCCTCCCTCTCACTCACCCTCTCTCTCACTCACCCGCGCTCTCACTCACTCTCACTCACCCTCTCTCTCACTCACCCTCTGTCTCACTCACCCTCTCTCTCACTCACCCTCTCTCTCACTCACCCTCTCACTCACTCATCCTCTCCCCCTCTCTAACTCACCCTCTCTCTCTCACTCACCCTCTCTCACTCACCCTCTCTCTCACTCACCCTCTCTCTCTCACTCACCCTCTCTCACTCACCCTTACTCCCCCTCTCTCACTCCCCCTCTCTCACTCACCCTCTCTCACTCACCTTCTCTCTCACTCACCCTCTCCCCCTCTCTCACTCACCCTCTCTCTCTCACTCACCCCCTCTCTCTCACCCTCTCTCTCTCACTCACCCCCTCTCTCTCACCCTCTCTCTCTCACCCTCTCTCTCTCACTCACCCTCTCTCACTCACCCTCTCTCACCCACTCTAACTCACCCTCTCTCACTCACCCTCTCACTCACCCTCTCTCTCACTCGCCCTCTGTCTGTCCACCCCACGAGATGTGGACGAGTGTCGCCACTCCACCTCGCTGTGCCACTTCCGGTGCCACAACACGGACGGCAGCTTCCACTGCAGCTGCCCCGAGGGCTTCTCCATGCACAGCAACAACCGCAGCTGCCTGGGTGACTAGCAGCGTCAACACCGTCAACATCGCTTTCATCGTCATTGTCATCATCGTTAGCATCGTCACCTTCTTTGTCATCATCGTCATTGTCTTCATCATCGTCATCGTCGACTCCATCATCATCATCACCGTCTTTACCATCATCGTCATCATTGTTATCATCATAGACTTCATTATCGGCATCATAATAATCATCGTGAGCATCCCGCACCTCCAATTAGCACGGTTGGCTACGTACGGTTGGCTACGTACGGTGTGAAAGAAGTCCAACATACATAATCATCGTCGCTAGTATCGTCATCATAATTATTGCCATCATTATGATCATTGTCGTCATCATCATCGTCATTGTCGTCATCATCCTGTCCCCGTGTGCCCCTGCATGTCCTCGTGTCTCCGTGCTTCATTCCTCTCCATGTCCCTTGCCCCCGCCCCCCCCGGCTAGACGTGAACGAGTGTGAGGGGCAGTCTGGGGGGGGCGCTTGCCGCGACTCCCAGCGCTGCTACAACCTCCCCGGCGGCCACCGCTGCATCGACGCGCTCGTGTGTCGCGAGCCCTACACGCAGTCCGCAGACGAGTGCGTGTTCAGGCAGAGTTCACCGAGGAGTGGACCACGCACCCACTCACTCACTCACCTGCTCTCTCATTCAACTACCCACTCACTCACCCACTCACTCATTCAACTACCCACTCACTCACCTGCTCACTCGTTCATCAGCCCACTCACTCACTCACCCACTCACTCATTCAACTACCCACTCACTCACGCACTCACTCATTCAACTACTCACTCACCCACTCACTCATTCAACTACCCACTCACTCACTCACCCACTCACTCATTCAACTACCCACGCACTACTTTATTTACACACTCACCAACTTACTCACTTATTCACCCACTCACTCATTCACCCGCACACGTAGCCAAAACTAAACAATGTTTTTATTTTACCAAAGGCCCACTGAGCTATACAGCTCTTTTTCAGAAGCCACCTGGCCACAAATGATAGCTCAATGAAGTGGCTTATCATGTGGAAATTTATAGCAGTCAAAATACTCTAAACGCGTTTACCTTCTAAATGTGGAGGACCCGGAGAAAAATCCACGCAACCGCGGGGAGACAGACACCACAAACTCCAAATATACAGCATTATTAAAGTACCCAATCACACAACACTCGTCCACTCACTCACTTACTCAATCACCCACTCACTCAATCATCGATTAACTCACTCGCCCACTTACTCGCTTATTCGCCCACCCATCTGTCTGCGCGTGTGTCTGTGCGTGTGTCTGTGCGTGTGTCTGTGCGTGTGTGTGCGCGTGTGTCTGCGCGTGTGTGTGCGCGTGTGTCTGTGTGTCTGCGTGTGTGTGTGTGCGTGTGTAGCCTGTGCGTGTGCCCCAGCGAGCTGCCCGCGTGCACAGACCTGCCCTACTCGGTACGCTACAAGTTCATGGACATCGCGGGCGGGCGCCGCGTCCCTGCAGACATCTTCTACCTGCAGTCGCGCGTCCACTACCAGGGCGCCTACAACTCATTCCAGATCCGCGCCGGCAACGAGGCCAAGGAATTCGTGCTCAGGGTGAGAGAGGACACCCCCAGCGGCAGGTCACGGTTGCCAACCTGCTGCCCACCTGCCTGCCAGCCCACCTGCCCAAACGCCCACCCACATCCACTCGCCCACCCACCCATCCATCCTCTCGCCCACCCACCCACCCATCCTCTCGCCCACCCACCCACCCATCCTCTCGCCCACCCACCCATCCTCTCGCCCACCCACCCTCTCGCCCACCCACCCTCTCACCCACCCACCCGCCCACTCTCTCGCCCACCCACCCACCCTCTCCCCCACCCACCCACCCTCTCGCCCACCCACCCATCCTCTCGCCCACCCACCCATCCTCTCACCCACCCACCCGCCCACCCTCTCGCCCACCCACCCTCTCGCCCACCCACCCACCCATCCTCTCGCCCACCCACCCACCCATCCTCTCGCCCACCCACCCACCCTCTCACCCACCCACCCGCCCACCCTCTCGCCCACCCACCCACCAACCCTCTCGCCCACCCACCCATCTTCTCGCCCACCCACCCACCCATCCTCTCGCCCACCCACCCACCCATCCTCTCGCCCACCCACCCATCCTCTCGCCCACCCACCCATCCTCTCGCCCACCCACCCACCCATCCTCTCGCCCACCCACTCACCCATCCTCTCGCCCACCCACCCACCCATCCTCTCGCCCACCCACTCACCCACCCACTCGCCCACCCACCCACCCATCCTCTCGCCCACCCACCCACCCATCCTCTCGCCCACCCACCCATCCTCTCGCCCACCCACTCACCCACCCACTCGCCCACCCACCTGCCCACTGGACCCGCCCCCCACCCCTCCGGCCAACATTCCGCCCACCCGCCTCCCGCAGCAACTGAACGAGCACACGGCGATGCTGGCGCTGATCCGGGCGGTGCGAGGGCCTCGCGACATCCCCCTGGAGCTGGAGGTGGTCACCGTGCACCCTCTGCTGGGCCTGCACACCTCCTCACTGCTGCGCCTGCACATCTTCGTGACGAGCCAGCCGTTCGGCAACCGCTGAGTCCCAACGTCGTCATCGTGACCCCTCCCCACTAACCCCCCCCTACTAACCCCCCCCCCCACTAACCCTCTCTCACTAACCCTCCCTCACTAACCCCCCCTACTAACCCCCCCTACTAACCCCCCCTACTAACCCCCCCCCACTAACCCTCCCCCACTAACCCTCCCTCACTAACCCCCCCCTTCTAACCCCCCCCTCCAACCCTCCCACTAACCCCCCCCCTACTAACCCCCCCTACTAACCCCCCCCCACTAACCCTCCCCCACTAACCCTCCCTCACTAACCCCCCCCTTCTAACCCCCCCCCCTCCAACCCTCCCACTAACCCCCCCCACCAACCCCCCCCCACTAACCCCCCCCCCACTAACCCCCCCCACTAACCCCCCCCACTAACCCCCCCACTAACCCCCCCCCACACAGCGCAGAGCCGCCCGGCGCGGACGTTCCGGATCGCCCGCCCCCGAGCCCCCCCACCCCATGGAGTCATCGCCACGCTCGACTTAGGGGGTGCACGCAGTGCAATCGGTAGCCCCCCCCCCATCTCCTATCATCACCGAACCCCTCTCAGCCCCCCCTCCCCAGCGTCTCCGCGGGCCGAAGTCGCTTCTCCGCACGCCGCATCCGTGAGGCTTGCCCAGAGGCGGCGGGAGGGCGGTGCAGCGGCAGCACCCGACACTCTGCGGGCCACCACCACCACCTCGCCGCCACCACCTCACAGCCACCACCTCACCGCCACCACCTCGCCGCCACCACCTCGCCGCCACCACCGCCGCCGCCGCCACCACCTCGCAGCCACCACCTCGCCGCCACCACCACCTCCGCCTCGCTGTCGTTCAGTGAGCGCGGTTTGCCGCCCATCCAGACTCTGAGCAGCCTCAAAGCCTCGCTTAGCTTCCCAGATCTGCCTGGATCCGGACCGAGTGCATTCTGCGTGATGTGGCCACATAGCCTGTGTGAATATATACATACAGATAGCCTGTGTGTATATATATACAGATAGCCTGTGTGTATATATATACAGATAGCCTGTGTGAATATATATACACAGATAGCCTGTGTGAATATATATACACAGATAGCCTGTGTATATATATATACACATAGCCTGTGTGTGTATATATATACAGATAGCCTGTGTGTATATATATACAGATAGCCTGTGTGTATATATATATACAGATAGCCTGTGTGTATATATATATACAGATAGCCTGTGTGTATATATATACAGATAGCCTGTGTGTATATATATACAGATAGCCTGTGTGTATATATATACACATAGCCTGTGTGTATATATATATACAGATAGCCTGTGTGTATATATATACAGATAGCCTGTGTGTATATATATATACAGATAGCCTGTGTGTATATATATACAGATAGCCTGTGTGTATATATATACAGATAGCCTGTGTGAATATATATATACAGATAGCCTGTGTGTATATATATACAGATAGCCTGTGTGAATATATATACACAGATAGCCTGTGTATATATATATACACATAGCCTGTGTGTATATATACACACAGGCTATGTGTATATATATACACATAGCCTGTATATATATATACACAGGCTATGTGTGTATATATATACACACACACATAGCCTGTGTGTATATATATACACAGATAGCCTGTGTATATATATATACAGGCTATGTGTATATATATACACACGCATAGCCTGTGTGTATATATACACACAGGCTATGTGTATATATATACAGGCTATGTGTGTGTATATATATATACACACATAGCCTGTGTATATATATACACACAGGCTATGTGTATATATATAAACTCATTCGACGTAGACTTTCTATATTTTAAGCTTGTCCCGCCCCTCCCCCGCTTTGCCCAAAATGTTTTATATTTGGTATCGTTCTGACATCGGATGTTTGGGTTCGGCCATGGCAATGATCCCGGCCAAATCTGCGTTGTTGAGAACCCCTCCACCACCCGGCAGCAAAGGGAATTGTCGAGCGAGCGAACGAGCAAACGTTGACGAGCAATCGGCCAAGTTTAACAAAAAAATTATCTCTCGTCTGAGCTACCTGAATCTGATTCCATGCAATTGTAGCAATCGGTCTCGCTGCTAAATCCGGTGGCGAGAAGCAATTGCTCTCCGGCGAGTTTAATAACATTCGGCGCTTTGTGAAACGGGTGCCACGGTGGCAATGAGATGTTAACTACCTCGCCTGGTATACAGGAGGTCGTGGGTTCGATCCCGACCCTGACACCTGCTGCTGTATATGTGGAGTTTGCGTCTCTCTCTCCCCGTGGTCGCGTGGATTTTTCCCCAGGTCCCTCCGCGTTTTCCCTCCACGTTTAGAATCGACATCACGCGTCAAGTGTATTTGGCTGCTAGACATGATGTCCACGTGATGATGATGATGATGAGCCACTTCGTCGAGCTAGCGTTTGCGATAGCCAGGTCGCTTCTGAAAAAAAAAACAGCTATAGAGCTCAGTGGGGCCTTACCTGGTAAAAAAAACATACGAGAATGTTTTCGTAAAAAATGTTTTTACCACGACAACAAGAAGAAGAACGTCGACGACGATGGGCGAGCGGTGAAGCATCTGGCGCGTGCGTCACGACTTCGCTGCGTTTGGGTCCCGTCGGGTGGCGGAGGGTTCTTACACAGCGACGTCGTCAGCTCGCTGAACCGCGATGTTTAAACTCTCGCCCTCCTCCGCGCGTAGTCAGAACCCGGTCTCTGCGTTCGCAGCGGTGACGCTGCCCTTTTGCCTCTTGATTATTACCGATTTGTTGATGCATTCGTCGTGTTTTTTTGTTCCTTCTGAGGTTACATCCCTGTGTTTGACCGATGGCGCGCGCGTGTGTGGGTGTGTGTGTGCGTGTGTGTGTGCGTGTGTGCGGTGCGGGTTTTGGACACACGTGGGATCTTTGGATGTTCATGGCTGTATGCCTCGTTTTTTAGGACCATATTTGTGATTATTATTTTAAAACCCATAGAATATATACATGAGTAGTGTTAACCCTCGCTCTAACTGACATCACACACACACACCGTGACAACCACACACACACACCGTGACAACCACACACACCGTGACAACCACACACACACACCGTGACAACCACACACACACCGTGCCAACCACACACACCGTGACAACCACACACACACACACCGTGACAACCACACACACACCGTGACAACCACACACACACACACACCGTGACAACCACACACACACACCGTGACAACCACACACACACCGTGCCAACCACACACACACCGTGACAACCACACACACACACACCGTGACAACCACACACACACCGAGACCACACACACACACCGTGACAACCACACACACACCGTGACAACCACACACACACCGTGACAACCACACACACACACCGTGACAACCACACACACACACCGTGACAACCACACACACACCGTGACAACCACACACACACACCGTGACAACCACACACACACACACCGTGACAACCACACACACACACCGTGACAACCACACACACACACCGTGACAACCACACACACACACCGTGACAACCACACACACACACCGTGACAACCACACACACACACCGTGACAACCACACACACACCGTGACAACCACACACACACCGTGACAACCACACACACACACCGTGACAACCACACACACACACACCGTGACAACCACACACACACAGTGACAACCACACACACACCGTGACAACCACACGTAGAGATACAGAGAGATACACAGTTTATTTTGTTAACCGGCTGTGAGAACTCGACAGACCAGGTCAGAGTCTCATTTGAAAAAGTGTCCGGCTTGACTGACCAACTTGATCAAAGCAAAAATAAATAAAACCGCCGAGCAGCAATGACGCAAGTAAAGACCAGCTCGACAACAATTGCGTAGTTATCACGAGAACTTCGAAATTTGTTTTACAAACGCAGATCATTGTTCAATTGTAATAACAGCAACAGCAACACAATCCCAGCAGCACAAAGTCGGCCTGGGGCAGATTATGTTTCGACTTCACCATAGCACGGTTACGGTGGCTATGAGATGTTAACTACCTCGCCGGGTGTACAGGAGGTCGTGGGTTCGATCCCGAGCCTGACGGCTGCTGCTGTCGTTTCAGTTTGCGTGTCTCTCTCCCCGTGGTCGCGTGGATTTTTCTCCGGCTCCTCTGGGTTTTCCCTCCATACAGAGCACAGTTGGTCTTACCTGGTACAACAAAAACAAGTTTGAGTTTTAAATAGTTTAGTTTACAAGTTACAAGTCAGGCCACGTGCTGTGAAGTCGTGCAAGCCGTGTGCCTTTCCCACAGGGCTGGATGTTGTCGGCCTTTCTCACTGCTCACGGTAAAAAAAATTACCTTCTCATTACCGCCTCTAGCGGGCACACCACATTATTTTAAGGTGATAGAATAAGTGTATATTTTTTAAACGTGATGTACCTTGATAATGTTAATAAATAATATATACCCAAGTCAAACAAAATATCACGGTACAAGTTTTATAGAAGTGCCTGTAATTCTCTGCTGAGCTGGTAATCATTAAGTTCAATAAAACATTAATTTCTTATCAGTGATGACTGCAAGTCGTGTAATTAAGATACGCAAACAATATAATATTAACATAGTTTCAATTCGTAACACACTGCAAAATATCTGCTCTCTCTAAGAGAGAAAACGACTCAGAGAGAGAGGACGACTCTCATAGAGAGAGAGGACGACTCTCATAATCTCTCATAATCTGAAGATCGTGAGTTCGTTCCTCACATGGGGCACCAAGCCTCCTCATCAAAAATGAACTGGCAAAAGTGCAGCGGCCTGCTGGTTGGAGCGTGGGACATGACCGAGTGTCCCGAGAAGGCAAAAGTCATCAATTGGAGCACAACATCGCTGCACCACCTGGGAGTGTTCATCGGACCAGAGGAGGAACCACCGCAGAGGAACCGGGTCGAGCTGGAGGAGAAGGTGGAGGAGCGGCTGGGCACCTGGAGTCGCCTGTGCAAGTTCCTCACCTTCAGGACAAAGACGTTGGTGGTGAACCAGCTGGTGACGTCCATGCTGTGGCACCGACTCTTCTCCCTGCACCCCCCCATGAGCCTCGTCAACGCACTTCAGAAGCGAGTCCTCGACTTCTTCTTGTCGGGTGGAGGACACCGGGTCGCGACTGGGGTCCTGACCCTGCCACTGTACGAGGGCGGTCACGGGCTGGTATGCGTGCGGAGTCAGCTGGCCACCTTCCGACTGCAGGCAGCGCAAAAGTTCCTGCACGCCGCCCCGGCACCGCCCTGGAGCGTCACGGCCTCCTTCCTCCTGAAACAGCTGGGGGGTCTGCAGTGCTCCAAGCAACTATTCTACATGGACCTGCAGGGCCTCCCACTGGGACAGCTGCCACCCTTCTACAGAAGCGTCCTGCAGACATGGAGCTTCCTCGGCGTCAGGAGGCTGAACCAACCGCGATCGGCCGAGGATCTGGTCTTCGAACCGATCCTCAGGAACCCACAGACAAAGCTGCCATCCACCACCACCACCCCTGGCATGGAGAGGCGCCTCGCCAACGCGAGGCTCACCAGGATGGGAGATCTGGTGGAGCCTGAAACACGGGGCCGGTGGCTCGGACCAGGAGACGTGGCCGCAAAGACAGGGGGGCTGCAGTCGCTCCGGGTGGCTGCCCGGATCCTGGCCGAAGCCAAGGGGGCCTTCTCAGTGGCAGCGGGGAGAACGCCCCCCATCGGCGTTGGGGATGACGAGGCCCCTCTCGATCCCCCTCCACCGGAGCTCTAAGTCGTGCCACTGCATCGCCAATGCCGACAAACGAAGGCGGATCACAACCTGTGCCGGCTAGAAGACCTACCGGAGGTGGCCTTCACAAATGTAAAGAGGAAGGTGCTCTACTCCTACATGGTCCGGTTCCACCAACAGGACACCCTGAGGAGCCACAAGGACCATGCCTGGAGGAAAGCCCTGCCCTGCGTCTCTCCGGAGAGGCCTCGCTGGAGGCAACTCTACTCCAGCCCGACGTACAACCGCATCGGCGACCTCAGCTGGAGCATCGCCCACTGCACCGTCACCACCAACGTCTCCCTGGCGCGCTTCACCGACACGTCCCCGGAGTGCCGGTTCTGCGGTAAAGTGGAGACGGTGGCGCACCAATACGTGGAGTGCAAGAGCCTGGACTCGCTGTTCAAGGTCCTGAGAAACATCCTCCTAAGGTTCAGCCTCCACTTCTCCCCGACGGTCCTCATCTTTGGATACCCGAAGGGCAACGGACCCCAACATCTTCAGGGGCTGGTCAACGTGCTCTTCGGCTACGCCAAGCTCGCCATATACAGGGCGAGGAAGGTGGCCCTGGAGGGGCAACGTCCAGCCAGCAGCCTGGGCATCTTCCGCGCTCTGGTCGGAGCCAGGGTGTGGCCGGAGTTCCGCCACGCGCGGCTGACCCACGCCGTGCCGGCCTTCAAGGAGCAGTGGGCGCTGGAGGAGGCCGTGTGCTCGGTGCCAGATGACGGAGAGCTCTGCATGCAGATCTAAGCTACCCGTCGGAGGCCGTTTGACTGTGGGAAGGGCTGCGTGCAGATGCAGCACTTGTCGTAGTTATAAAGAAAAAAGAGAGAGCGAGAGAGAGCCAAATGGAGTAGGAAGAGAGGGGGCAGAGAGAGAGGGGGGGCGGAGAGGGGGTAGAGAGAGAGGAGAGGCAGAGAGGGGGGTAGAGAGAGAGGGAAGGGGAAAGAAAAAAGAAAAAAAAATTGGGTCTTTCATTTAAAAGGGGGGGGGGGTTACATAAAGCAAAGCATAAAAAAACGAAATGATGAACGGAGCAAAGTGCCGACTACACCGAGCATCTTCTTGTTTCTTCTGATCGTAAAAAAAAAGAGAACGATGGACGACTTAGAGAGACAGACAGAGAGAGACAGAGAGAGAGAGAGACAAAGAGGACGACTCAGAGAGAGAGAGAGACAGAGAGAGACAAAGAGGACGACTCAGAGAGAGAGAGAGACAGAGAGAGATGGACGACTCAGAGAGAGAGAGAGACAGAGAGAGATGGACGACTCCCAGGCGCCAGGAGGAGGAGGACCACAGACGAGGAGCGGGAAGGCAGCAGCAGCAGTCACGCGGTGAGGATCCGGCGCTACCAACAATTGCCCGAGCTCTGCGGTCCTCTACACATGGAGGTGGCATCGTCCTAACGAATGTGTTTAGACACGTGGGGGGAACCCGGAGAAACCCCCACGCGTGCGAGCGAGGCAGCAACACTCTACCTCCCGTACAGGAGGGAGCGATGGGATGAGTCCCCACTCTGCTGTGCCGCCTTCTCATGGCGAGGCAGGGGTACGGCTCCTCGTCTACGCCCCCACCCACGGGTAAAAGGAAGTTTCGCAACACCATGTGTGTGTGATCCACCAACCCTCGCTGCTGCCTCCACAGCCCTGGGCTAGAGGCAGCAGCAGCAGCAGCTCGGTGCTGTCACCCCCTTCGACCCAGAAGGTCCCCTCCCTGCACCCCAGTGGCGCACCACCTCGCTGCTGCTTCAACAGTGCGAGATCACAGGCGGCCACGTCCATCTGGCTCTCCACGGCAATACATTGAAGTCACATTTTTAGACAATCCATCGGCCCACGATGATTGAGGACAAGAAAAGATACTCCGAAGAGCACGGTTGGCTACGTACGGTGCGAAAGAAATTCAACATACGTACACATGTACATACATACAGACCCATATCTTCATGAGAGGGTCCTTGCCTGTAACATCAGCCTGTTCGCCAGCATTGTGTCAAGGGAGCCTTCTACTGCTGATGAGACAGACGGTGGTGGTGATGATGTTGGTTATGGTGGTGATGGTGGAGCTGGTGGTAATGGTGGTGATGGTAATGGTGGTAATGGTGATGATGTTGGTTATGGTGATGATGGTGGAGGTGGTGGTAATGGTGGTTATGGTGGTGATGGTCGAGGTGGTGGTGGACGTGGTGGTAATGGTGGTGATGGTAATGGTGGTAATGGTGATAATGTTGGTTATGGTGGTGATGGTGGAGGTGGTGTTAATGGTGGTTATGGTGGTGATGGTGGAGGTGGTGGTGGACGTGGTGATAATGGTGGTGATGGTAATGGTGGTAATGGTGATGATGTTAGTTATGGTGATGATGGTGGAGGTGGTGGTAATGGTGTTAATGGTGATGATGTTGGTTATGGTGGTGATGGTGGAGGTAATGGTGGTGATGGTAATGGTGGTGATGGTGATGATGTTGGTTATGGTGATGATGGTGGAGGTGGTGGACGTGGTGGTAATGGTGGTGATGGTAATGGTGGTGATGATGGTGATGTTGGTGATGGTAATGGTGGTGATGTTGGTGATGAGGCTGCGTGTTTGGTCCATGAAGGACGTATTGACTGCATTATCTTCGGAGTCTGGCAGCACTGGCTGAGGGGCGACTTGCGTTTGAGCGGCTCGTGGGCTTGTCCACATGTAGCACTGGCTCGGCTTCTCTGGCATCGAAAAACTATCGCTATCTTTTTTATTTTACCAGGTAAGGAGGCCCCGCTGATCTGTGTAGCTTCGTTGAGCTATCACAAATGATAGCTCAACGAAGTGCCTTATCATCATCATCGTGTGGAAATATATCGCAGCCAAATACACTAAACGCGTGATGTCAATTATAAATGTGGAGGGGGGAACCGGAGGACTCGGATAAAAATCCACGCGACCACAGAGACAAAGAACTCACGACTTCCTGTATACCAAGCGAGGTAGTTAACATCTCACAGCCACCGTGGCCCGAAACGTCGCCTATGATAGACCACTGGGGGGCGCTACCCCACAGGGGAGCGTTACCCCACAGGGGAGCGTTACCCCACTGGGGGGCGCTACCCCACAGGGGGGCGCTACCCCACAAGGGGCCCTACCCCACTGGGGGGCGCTACCCCACAAGGGGCGCTACGCCACCTCTTGCCGGCTGTCTGTGCCGTGAGTCAGAGAGACGCAGAAGGAGACGCGCACTCTGGGACCCTGGGATTGAACCCAGGCCCTCTTGACCCCTGTGAGGACGCCTGCCACCTGTGTGGTGGACTACCTCTGTGTGCGATCGAGTTGAATGGAACAATCGACGCACGTGGTAATGTCTCGGCTCAGTATTGTTGTGGTGGTAAGTGGAGTGAATGCGGGGGGCGGTGATTGTGGGAGGGGCGTAGGACGGAGGAGGGCGGGGTTTAAAGTAAGAGGCGTGGTTTATGGGGCCGAGGCGGGGCTTAGGTGCTAAAGGAGGGGCTTATGTCGGGGAATGGCCCTTCTTTATATACTGTACTGCACTATGAATAAGGGCCATTGTCCGAAACGTCCCTTACGATGTATCGTGCCACAGTGTTATCGAATGAAGGCGCGAACCATTCGGCTTAGGGGCGGGGCTGGAGCTCAGGGGCGGGGCTCGAGTTGTGAGAGGCGTTGCTCGGGCTGTAAGGGGCGGGGCTCGAGCTGTGAGGGGCGGGATTCAGGCTATGAGGGGCGGGGCTTGGCCAGTGCGACTTTTGGGGGGGGGGGGTCGCGCGCCGGAAGTGACGTAACGCGCGGGAAAGGCCGCGGGGCTCGCGCGCGCGCGGAGCGAGTTGCGGCGGCGCCTCAGAGCGCGGACTCCGCTCGCCTCAGAGCCGCCAACCACCGCCGATTGCGGGGAAATCGCCCTCGTCCGCTCATTAAACATCGCGGATCAAACACAACACTATATATTTTTTTTTATAACAGTATTTTATATATTTGTAATAACGTTAAAAAAGTATGAAGTTACCTCAGCGCTGCCTGCTGCTACCATTGGAATGAATGGGATGGGAGGCGATTCTGACGACTGAGCGCGGATTGAGGAGTTTGTAGAGACGACGAGGAGACGACGACGAGTCGGGGGGTGGGCACCGCCAGGAGAAAGACGCCGGCTGCTGTGGAGACGGCGCGGTCATTGGACCTCGCTTTGAGCAGTGACTTAAACCGCCAACCTCACCCACCATCCCATCACGATACACTGTTTCATCATTGTTAACGTCTTCATTTTACCGTTCTGTGATTTAACTAACCGTTCGGGGTATATCTATCGACCAGCGTTTTGGTTTTCCTGTACAATACAGTATATATAGACTGTCGTGATTTACTGTATGCCGTACACTGTGTTACAGTACACATTTGCAGCAATTATTTTGTGTATCGTATTAAGTAGTGAGTACTCAAACTACGTTATTCTAAGTTTCAATACAGTGTACAAATGCATTCCGTCTAATGTTGGTCTATGCACTGCACTGTATAATACAGTGACGTGCAATTATATACTGTACCATTGCATATACAATGCAGTAAAGACTACTGTACGTGCTTTGGATATACTAGAGAGTTGTTAATTCATTATGGAGTGTAAACAGTTTTTGCTCACTTCTGTGTATATTGTAACACAACACTCTTAATAGTACTGTATACAGTAATCAGACGAGTATATACTGTTACCAGCCGAGGCAGAGACCTATACCTGCACATTGTATGCAGGAGAGATAATGTGCAGTCTATATATCTTTACAATATACATAGACGAATTAATTTTAGTGGCCTCTACTGAATGAATAGCCCATTTGACACCGGGCTCTCTTGCCAGGCAGTTCCTTCTCTTGTAACTGCGTGAATATGATCACGATTGAATATTATCTGTTATCTGTTTACTAGGCTAGATAGAACGCGAAATGGTACAATACTTCTAAGGCTAATTCCGTGTATAGTGTATATTTTGTATTACTTTCGTGGAATACCCTTTGCTAATACAGAGCCCATTTTATACAAGTCTTAGATCTATTAGTTTACTGTTCTTTACCTAAGTGGGATCTTATTGGTGGTGTGTAAGGGTTGTGTATATAATGTGTGAATATGTATTAGATTGGAGTATCCGTTTCCAATAGATTGATACAAGACTTGCAAGAGCGTTCTCGCAACTAGTGTACATCTTTATTCGTTTACTATCCTTTACTTATAGAGAGCCCATTCACATAAGTATTTTGAACGGGTGATAAGTTATCTCATAGTAGAATACACCTCAGCATACACCCCCGTCACAGTGCACGCATCATACTCATCATCTCGGCAGCAGCCGCTGTCGCATCCAGCCACACCGAGAAGACATCCAGAGACACCGAGCCCGTCTTGCGGAGTGGCCCGGGAGGACCGTAGGCCCCGCCACACCCCACCGATCGCACTCGACGGTGGCCGTCATGGCGAAGAGCGGCGAGGACGCCAAGGAGAACCTGTCGAAGCTGCCCGACGAGGAGCTGCTGCGCTGGAGCAAGGAGGAGCTGGTGCGGCGCCTGCGCAAGTCCGAGGCCGACAAGATGTCGCTGATGATGGACCACGGCAACCTGATGAAGGAGGTGAACCGCCGCCTGCAGACTCACCTGCACGAGATCCGCGGCCTCAAGGACGTCAACCAGCGGCTGCAGGACGACGCGCAAGAGCTGCGCGACCTCTGTTGCTTCTTGGACGACGACCGACAGAAGGCAAAGAAGCTGGCGTGGGAGTGGCAGCGCTTCGGGCGCTACACAGCCGCCGTGCTGCGAAAGGAGGTGGCGGCGCAGCAGCGGCGCCTGCGCGAGCTGGAGGTGCGCCAGGATGCGCTCGTGCGCGAGAACTCCGACCTCAAGGAGCTCTGCCTCATGCTGGACGAGGAGCGTAACGGTGGCGCCGCAGGCAGCCGCGGCTCCGTGGGCAGCCAGACGAGTCTCACGGGCGCCGCCGGCGCCGTCGCCCCCACGGGTGGCGTCGGTGCAGCCGCCGGTGTTGTCGTCGCCGCGGCGGCGGCCGTGGCAGCGCCTTCGCCGGGCGCGGGGACCCCGGCTGGCGGGGCGAGCGTGCGAGACGGAGGCGACGGAAGTAGCAGCAGCTCGTCCAGCAGTGGCAGCACCAGCAGCCCGGATCACCAGCACAAGGTGGCGGCGGCGGCAGCGGCGGCGGCGGTGGCGGCACAAGGAGGAGCCAACGCTGTTGCCCGGGAGGCTCAGCTGAGGGCGTCTGCAGAGGACCTTGTGGATGCTCAGCAGCAGCACCAGCAGCAGCTCCGTGGGCTCGGCTACCCCAACGGAGTGAGCGGTACGAGAACCGCACCTCGTACGCGCCGGTAGCTTCGGAGCTTCCCAAACTCCAGCTCCCCTGCGTGTGGCCACGCGGTTGTCTCTCCCTCCAGAGTTTTGCACGTGGAGGAAGATTCACCCCATCCGTAGGATGGGCTGCCATCTAGTCTACATTATAAAAACAAAAAACTTTATTTTCTCGTCTGTTGTGAGTCCGTCTGTCAGTCACAGCACTTGTAGGCGAGTGAAGGCTCATTCTGACCGGAAGTAACCACGGACCGATGGTATTAACACTGAGCTACGTGTGACCTAAGACCTTTCAACTTGATCAAAAAAGCTACGGATTAAAAATGTCACATCCTATGGTAAACTTACATGCTTTTAGACATTTCCGAACTTTCTTCGTGTTCCTATGGGAATAGTTTCGTAAAATTTGAGTAATGTCACTCGCGTACAATGTATGCAGCTTTGTTGGATCAACTTTTGGAGGTCACAAGTGACCGGGTGGTCGAGGCAGGAGTGTAGTTTAGAAATATTTAAGGTTTCACCCCGTTCTGTGAGGAAGGGCTTATTCTTCATGATTTTGTTGATGACCCTTGCTATATGCGGTGCTGTGGCAGACTGCCTGACTCACAATCCAGAGTTCACAAGGTCAAAGTCAGCGGCCAATTGAGCCCATTATCAAAATCGTCGTTGTCATCTCACCAGGGTCAATAAGCAAGTGGGATGTTGTGGGAAATCAACGGTGAGATTGGTCCCGCACCGTAGGGATGTGGATTCTTCACGGCTCGCTCAGGACTGTCAATGGCGATCAGTGTAAGCCGCCATTGCTCATTTGATCAGCAGGACGCTTCTATATTGGGAACGACGAGTGTGTTGAGTGTGCACTGAGGTGCAGACTGGGATGAAAATTGCAAAATTTCCCCCCAAAAATCCTGTTGTAAAATATAAAGATAAATCTTAGCCCACATGTCACATCTCACTCATTGAACTCTCCACCCATGTTGAGGACTTGGTCTACCAGACTGACTCTCGTGCCTCATCCACACTGTTCAACCAACACACTGCAGGCCACGACAACACACCTGCTCACCACACTGCAGGTCACAACAACACACCTACTCGCCACCCTGCAGGTCAAAACAACACACTCACCTACTCGCCACCCTGCAGGTCACAACAACACATTCACCCACTCACCTGCTCACCACCCTGCAGGTCACAACAACACACCTACTCGCCACCTTGCAGGTCACAACAACACATTCACCCACTCACCTGCTCACCACACTGCAGGTCACAACAACACACTCACCTGCTCACCACACTGCAGGTCAAAACAACACACTCACCTACTCGCCACCCTGCAGGTCACAACAACACATTCACCCACTCACCTGCTCACCACCCTGCAGGTCACAACAACACACTCACCTACTCGCCACCTTGCAGGTCACAACAACACATTCACCCACTCACCTGCTCACCACACTGCAGGTCACAACAACACACTCACCTGCTCACCACACTGCAGGTTACAACAACACACCTACTCGCCACCCTGCAGGTCACAACAACACATTCTCCCACTCACCTGCTCACCACACTGCAGGTCACAACAACACACTCACCTGCTCACCACACTGCAGGTCACAACAACACATTCACCCACTCACCTGCTCACCACAGTGCAGGTCACAACAACACACTCACCTACTCGCCACACTGGAGGTCACAACAACACGCTCACCAAATTACCTACTCACCACACTGCAGGTCACAACACTTCCCGCTCTGCTTCTTCCCTCGCACGGCTGCATTTGAGAATTCCCTCTCATTGTCTCTTATAACCTTGCTGAATTCAAGAAACGTGTTTTACTCTTATGTATCACATCTTTAATAGTGCTATCTGTCGCTGCCTGCTTGACATGTTGAGTATTTGGGCCTGGGCTAAGATGCTGCATACAAAAAAAGTGGAGGTGTTGCTGCTGTCGACATGGAGCAGTTATCTGATAGTCAGAAGACGTGAGGGACTGGCATTTTGGAAGCTCCAGACATACATCAACCAACAGGTGGTCACTAGGACCGGATTTAAATTCCTTGTCCCTCACACTGGAGCAGACAAGACCACTCCTTCCCCTGACATAAAGACACAAAAACCCCAATCTATTGCGGTACACACTCCAATGAAGACAGTATTGTTTATATTGTTCATATTAAAAGGATAATATGAATTAACAGTCCTAATTTTGTTCAGAAAAAATATTTATTTTATGGGACCTTATTCAGAGTTGTGCCCTGGATAAATGTCATCTTCCCCCCTCCCCACCTCCCAAAAATCCGGCCCTGGTTTTCCCTTACACAAGAAGCTGTCACAACTGCACAAGCACCAGCACCTTCACCCTTTACTTTCGTTTCTCAACCAATTCCCTTACATGCAAGCGTGCGATGTGCGTCTGTGTAGTCTCACACTGAAAAATGCACAGGTGCGAGGTTTTTAAATCGATGGTGCCCTATTGGACAACTGCAGCCAATGTTGGTCGATAGATTTCTGTGAATACAAATGGGTGCTGCTGCCTTTGGCCACATGCACCAAAAACAAGATTTCTTCGCTTCGGTGTTTTTGTCTCTGGCGAGCGCTCTGCGTTGGGCGAGCAGCCTGCTGCGTGAGTAGTGGGGGGTTTTTTGTTTTAGTTTGTTGTTTTGGTATCAATAGCCAAGGCTGTTTGCCCAGACACCCATGTCTGTCTAGTGAAATAAGAGTAAATGCATTGCGTTGGGAGGAGGACGCTACCACCACGGTGGTGTTGTAATGGTTAGTACTCTCGACTTGCAATCCAGAGGTTGCAGGTTTTATTCCATCTCCTGGCTCGGCAGTTTTGATCGAGTTTCTTAAACCCCCTCCCCCCGGCCCCCACCTCTGTTCACCCGGCACTATGCTTGGGAATGCCGCAGTTAGCCAACCAGCAGATCACGTGTGGTCAGGTAAAATGTGGGTGCTCCACCTTTTCCGAGATGTCTGGCCGGTGCGAAATAGTCGGACCAATACCGTCCAGATGGGACCTCAGGAGCTCCCTCGAGTGGAGGTCCTTTCACAAGCAGTGGTGGTGAGCAAGCAACCGCAGGGCTGCACCTTTATCCGTTATTCTTTTGCACCATAAGTGCACCGTAAGTGTCGTGGTATTTAACAATTCCCACGTGATTCATATTCTTAGTTCTTTCGGTAAAGTCACGTTGAAGGGAAACAATAAAATAATAAAATATATATATAAAACAATAAAAATTCTCACGACGTTTCGACCATAACACAAATGGTCGTCATCAGGTGTGTCGGTTTGCAAAACGTGAGAATATTTATTGTTTTTTATATATATTTTATTATTTTATTGTTTCCCTTCAACGTGACTTTACCGAAAGAACTAAGAATATGAATTACTGCAGTCACGAAAGCTTTAAATCAAATTTTTTCCCACGTGATTGTTTAAAATCGATTCTTTACGCTCGTGAAACATGCGTCGATATGCGCGTGCGAGAATTGATTATTCAGTATTTGTGTGTGATGTATGTAATCGGTTCCTGTCAACTCCTGTAATCACTGCAGACTCTGTTCACCATCGTGACAAAAAAAATCGATTATTAAATTAAATTGGGACCCCTTGCACACCCCCCCAGATCTTGACTATTCATAGAATCAGAGTATGCGTTTTTTTATCAGAGTATTTTTTTGTTTGCATTCTGACCACAAACATTGTGGTTAATGCAGACATGATCCCGTGTAAAAGGTTTCAGTTTGTTGTTTTAACATCTTCACACCTGTTTTGTTGCCAGAAAAAAGGGGAAAGACCTATTATATTTTGGTACTGGCAAAGGAGATCCCATGATGTAGATGCTCACCCGAGCTCCCATTACTCTGATAGTGCATTGTCTTTGGGCTGTACGCCTTTTGGCGTCTTCTGATCTAACACCGTTTGAGACGAGGCTCAAAAGAAAGATGTTTCTGGTGTGGACCAGTCAGTTTCAAGGACAATGCATATATTATCAGTGTTTTTTTGTTTGCATTCTGACCACAAGCATTGTGGTTAATGCAGACATGATTCCTTGTAAAAGGTTTCGGTTTGGTGTTACAACATCTTAACACCTGTTTTGTTGCCAGAAAAAATGGGAAAAACCTATTATCAGATTCATGGAATTGCAAAGGTGGTGATGAGCCGCTGTCTACTGTTAGGTTTTGGATTAATTCTATGGGCTGCTTCATGTTTTGGCCTCTTAATAAAACGGGGCAGAACTGGATGTGAACCCCAACTTATTTACTTTTACAAGCTTCGATGTTCCATTATAATTGTTAAGAGTTCACTGTTAATTCCTGAGCCACACACAATGGTCAACTACCTAAAGCACCACTCGGATTCTTCGCGTTTGTTGTTAATATCCAACGTCGACAGAGTTAGACTCGGGTAGCATTGAAGATCGTTCAGGATGAATTTCATATCAGCGCCTGAGGTTTGCAGAGCCTGACCAATGCATCTTAAGGCATCCCTTGGAAGGTAAGTACTCCATTAAAATTAACACTTTCCTCTCTCATCGAGCCACACCGAAGCACCCTTAGGAACATTAGGGTTCATTCCTCACCTCCGATTAGCACAGTTGGCTGCGTACGGTGCGAAAAAACTTCAATATGCATACATTCTGAATGCCCGAGGCTTGTAGAGCCAAATTAAGGTTATTATATCTCAATGCCTATTTCTCATTCAGCCAGACGAGAGGGATAATTCCAAAGGCACGGAGACCCCAAACGGAGGCACCCCGCGGCGTGATTCTTGTGGCGTTCACAACGACTGCTACTAGACAAGTCTGGACTTAAGCGCTCTCTTAGGGTGCGTGGAGTTCAGTGCTAACGCTTGCATTTTCCGTGCCTTTGCTTTCCCCTTGCTCGTGACACCTCCGTGGTTTTTTTTGCGCCGTCAACAATTAAGTTAAGTCAGTGCACGCGGCTGTATTCCAGTCTCCCCGGGTGGTGCA